AGCTAAATGGATGGAAGGGTGCCAGGGACTCTGCAGTATTACAAAGAGGGACTTTTTCCGCCTATTTTGGACTGCCTGGGATAGCTCTCTTAAACCCACGACCATACTTTCAGCCTTTGAAGCTACTGGACTAGCTCCTTTTGATCCAGAACGGGTACTAGCATGCTTCCGCTCACGAGATAACCGCCCATCTTCAAGTGACAGTACTTCATCAGTACTTAGTGCTAGCGACTGGCGTAAGATTGAGCGGCTTCTATGCCAAGTTGTGGAAGATATATACGATTCATGGGCATCAAAGCTCTCCCATACAATACACTCAATTGCCGCAGAAAAGCAGATCCTCCAGGTGGAAAATGAGCAGCTCAAAGAAGCACTAATCAATGAGAGAAAGCGCCGTCAACGAGGTAAGCTGTTGCTCCTTGAGCCGGCAGCAGAGTACAATGGGGGTGCTGTATTTTGGTCACCTACAAAAGTTGCACAGGCACGCCAGCACCAGGCAGATAAGGATGAGGAGAAGAAGGCAATACAGGCTCAAAAGGATGCAGAGAGCAAGCGGCGAGAGGAGGCAAAGGCTCAGAAAGCTGCCTTGCTTGAGGAGAGACGACAACTACGAGCTGCTGCTAAATTAGAGCGCCAGTGGGAGCGTGAGCAGAAGGCCTTTGAGGTACAGGAAACCCAGCAGGCCCGCACAATTGAAAAACAACTCCGTGATGACATAAGACTTGCTAAAAGAGGCAAGAAAAAGAGCCTTAAGCCTCCTGCAGCAACTCCGGAAGCTATTAAGGAAGTACAGCCAGAGATACCCGTGCTGGAAGTAGACAGAGCTGCTACAACACGTACATGCAAGATACGGCTACCTAGCCGCTTCCGCCAGGAGATATAGTAATATATTGTGTCACATGATACAATAAGCCTCTCTAATTGCTACACCAAAAAATCTGGTGATTTTAATATATATATAGCCTTGTACAGCCTCACTGTTGTAGCTGGTGAATGTCCCGAAATCGTGCACGAGCCAGTCCCGTGCATGAGCCAGTCGCTGACGTTAACCGTAGTGCGACTAGCGACGCTTCCACTCACTCCAAAACCTTCCCCAACACACGATGCGTCTCAGACATTATGCAAATCCCAGCTAACCCCGCCACAGCCTTCATGTTGCACCTTTCATGCCATGTCTCGACGGGCCACTCGTTCCGTGGCGACTTACTAGCTATTATAACCTTGGCGACATCGATATCTTTCAGAATATTGGAGCTCTTCTCCCTCCAACTCCTTATCACGACCTTCTCCTTCAATAATATTCCCTTATGTCATCGTTGCTGAGCAATGATCCTTCTTTCTCACTCGCGCTTCTTATTGCTGTTCATGTCGAGTGGCCTGCTATGGACGGAAACCACTGGTCAAATGCTCGGTGACTGGAACAGAAGAGGACTATTACGCACGCGACAAAATGGAGGTGGAAGAAATAATAATGGTAATAATAATGGGCCTGATACCAGCGCTTTCAACATTGTGAATGGGAGAGTTTACACCCCAGGATTGGGAATAATCCTAGCAGTGAGTCCTTTCCACAAGACCAGCGAGCGAGGGCGGCTTGAGTGCGACCTGTAAGCTCACAAACTCAAGCCCCAACCGTTTACGCCGATGGGCGGGGACTTCCTACACATAGCCATTGATGTATCTGGCGATGGGAAGCTTCCAGTGCCACCACAACGCATGAACGATCCGCTCACCCAAGTTTTCAACTTCACGATGTTTCTTACCAGCGACTCTCTCCAGAAAAACTTCACCATATCGAACCTTACCACGACGACACCTCCCTTTGCCGACATCATGAGCCAAGAACTTGGGCAGACTGTAAAGCATATCAACTTCGAATGGCCAGATTGCCTCGTTGGCGATGGTCGAGAAAACATCGGCGCAACAGCCCGAGGGGACTACAATATCTCCATTCACCAGAACTATCGACTCAATGGCAACAATCATTACAGCATATTCAACCTCCCGATCAGTGTCACCAATAGTATCAGCCAGTTCCCAGGAGCAAACCAGCTGCTTACCGTTCCGCCTCCAGGACCTCTGAACGCCAACGGAGGACGGATGAATTGTGATTTGATTTCAAATCCAATGATGCGCTTCGCAGATCTTGTAGCGAGTGTCAACAACCCGCCTGGTCAGCCTTTCCAGGACGTCGCCGTTGAGACTACACAAAGGAGTGATGGAGGGCAAGTTGGGTCACCAGGGAACGCAAATCCCAATAGGAATGGGAATGGTTTTGGCAATGGTAATGGTAATGGCGAAATTGGGAACGGAAACAACAATCAACAGATCGGGAACCAGCAGGGAGACTCACAAGCTGCCCTGGGTGGGGCAGGTTCAAGGCTGGCGACCACTGGAATTGTACGCGCCGCACTCATCACGGCTTTGGTTGTTCTGCTCATATAATCACCTCAAGGGCTTGGTTGGCCCTCTAGTTTCCGCTATCACATCCGACGACTAGAGACAGTCATTCGAAGTTTTCCTCTCCTCGTCTCTCCCGACAAGGCTACTCGGACGAACTGAGAAATGTCCAAAACGGACCTCACGATATCCGTAACATAGTGCATCATCATATACCCATCTTGACGAACTTTTATGCATATTCGGACAAATACATATCACCTGTTAATACCAAAGCATTACCCGTCAGTGCCTCAGCAATGCACACATCCACTACAGCCGAGCAACATATGACGTTGTAGGCTAGGCAAATAATTGAATCAGCGGTCAATGCAGAATCTGCAGGCCAGGCTCAAAGCTCATGGAAGGCGTGTCAATCGCTATGCCGGGCTGCCCTGTTTCAGAGTTGAGGGAGGGGTTAGTGCGTTCATGCAGGGGGTTTCGCAGTTTCAGCCTTATAGAACGAACCGTGAACTGGTCCTCCCATGGTTCGACGCAAGCTCTCTCCAGATTAGGCGCGGTTCGAAGAACTCGCTGCCACGAGCTCAGCATCCGAGCTTACATTCACAGCTACTGTCCGAATAGAGTTTAGCGCGTACATGGTCCAACAGCTCGCGTTTGCACGACGCACACGTATAACAAGTTTTCGTTTTTCATTTACTTCGATCGCTTGTTGTAGAACGCAGCTATCGGCTGCACTCAAGAGCATGGAGAATCGTCGTTGAGCGGCATTGCTGCTAGAAGCACCCAAGCTGTGGACTTACCCAGCTCCCATGGGTTTTTCTGCTGATGTATCATCCTTATGGTTCTTGTCCGTATTGTAGATAGAAGATGTGTGTTCAATGCATATAACGGCCGACTCTCTTCAGATCCCTTGCATCTCTTCTACCACTCGACATACTTCTACTTCCATCCTTTCACCCTACACTATCACCATTCGCGAATCTCCCCTCCGGGCCCAATAAACCCAGGACTCACCCAAGCTTTTGCATCCTTAGATAACTCCCGGACCATGTCCTCATCCACCTCGATGCCTAGGCCAGGGCCTTTGGGCAAGTCAATATACCCGTCAGACACATTCCATACTTCAGGATTCTTCGTATACGACGTTAAGTCCTGGCTCCCAGCGTTATAGTGGATCCCCAAGCTCATCTCTTGAATTGCAAAATTCGCACATGTAGCGTCTACCTGGACGCATGCGGCCAGCGCAATCGGGCCAAGCGGACAGTGCGGGGCCAGTGCTACATCGTAGCCTTCACACATGGCCGCTATGCGCTTCATTTCTGATATGCCACCGCAGTGTGAGATGTCAGGTTGGAGAATGTCGACACATCCCGCTTCCAAGAAAGGACGAACGTCCCATCGACTGTGAAGACGTTCGCCTAGCGCTATAGGACAGGAGGTTACTTGAGCCAGAGCTTTTATCCCTCCAATGTGCTCCGAGAGAAGGGGCTCTTCAATGAAGAGCGGTCGATGAGGCTCCAGTGCTGCAGCAAGCTGTTTGGCCATCGGCTTGTGGACACGCCCATGGAAATCCATTCCCGCATCCATCCCCAGCGCCTTGACAGTCTTCAATCTTTCGACAGCCGCATCAAGCTTGGAGGGGCTATCAAGCCAACCAATATCTTCGGTTGCATTCATCTTTACAGCGTTGAAGCCCTGCGCTTTTCTAGTCTGGGCTTGTTTCTCGACGTCCCCTGGACGATCGCCACCAATCCAGGCATATACTTTTAGCTTGTCGCGGACCTTGCCGCCGAGCAGTTGGTACACGGGAACGTTGAGTTTGCGCGCCTTGAGGTCCCATAGTGCAATGTCGATGCCCGCTAGTGCGGACATGAAGACTGGCCCACCACGGTAGAAGGAGGTCCGCCAGCACATTTGCCATATGTGCTCAATGTCACTGTCATTCAGTTAGCCCACGATATGAGAAATAACAGTGGAGGGGAAGAGAAGAATCAGTAGGGGCCACGTACTCTGCTTCAAATCCTACATATCTCTCCGCCCACGCGTCGAGACACCCTTCTACGGCCTGTGTATGGCCTTCCAGAGATGCTTCACCCCAACCGATATGTCCATCTTCATCTGTGATCTTGACGAACAGCCAGCGGGGAGGAACGCGGAAGTACTCGATCTTTGCGATTTTGCCCATTCCTATTCTTTTGCAATGCGTGGCGAAACGAAAATGAATTGGCAAACTATGGGAACCAATATTCGTCTCAAACTCAGGCTCACTTATTCTCGCATAATCGTGATCGTTCCTAGGGAAGAAAAGCTAGTTGAGGGGCATCGGATTACCACATTCAGTAACTCCCCCAATCCTCTGCCGTTGTGCACTTCCATGAATGAGATGACAGTGGTACCTGACGATCATGGACTCGTTTGCGGGGTGCCGACTTAGCTTCGCAGAACGGAACAAATGATGCCGAAGTGACCTTAAGACGCCCGTAACCCTCATACGCATGGGCGTCTTTGCTCTCCACCGGCTTCAGATTCCAGAACTAATACCGCGTACGGAAAAGCAGTCTTCCGTATTGATCTCACTGAAAGACAGCTAGTGCACGAGCCACGTCATGACCTCACCACCGACTGGCGTCTTCGTTCCCGTCCCAACTTTCTTCAAACCCGCGTCGGCGACAGAAACTCTCCAGCCCGCTATCGATGTCGAAACCCAAGTCGCACACTCCGTCCACCTCGCGAAGAATGGAATCCGCGGCCTCGTTCTGCTCGGCTCGACGGGGGAGGCCGTCCACATGTCGCGACAGGAGCGCTTCGACCTCCTCGCCGGTGTTCGCAAGGGACTGAACGATGCGGGATTCCCCGATTACCCGATCATGGCGGGAGCGCTCGTCGACAATGTGGAGGAGGTGTTAGAATGGCTGCGGGACTTCGAGAAGGCTGGTGCACAATGGGGACTTGTGCTTGCACCAGGATACTTTGGAGCAGTTGCCGATCAGCAGAACATCAGGGAATGGTACACAGTGGTGGCAGATAATTCTCCGATACCGATTCTTGTGTCAGTAGAACAGACGGAGACTTCGCTGACTCCTGCTAACTGCAACAAGGTATAATTATCCGGGCGTCACGAACAATGTCATGGTTACTCCCGAGACATATCGGATTCTCGCACGACACCCGAACATCGTCGGCTGCAAAATGTCGCACGGGAACGTCTCTCACCACGTACAAGTTTCCCTAGATCCCGATATCGATCATACAAAGTTCCGCGTCTATAGCGGTTTTGGACAACAGCTGGGTCCTATCGTGTTTTTTGGTGCTGCTGGTGTCATCGACGGACTTGCAGCGATATACCCGAAGACAGTATCTAGGCTCATGGACCTGGCAGAGAAGAGACCGATAGAGTCCAATGTGCTGCAAGAGGTACAGGAGCTCCAGTATGCTGTCAGTTCGGCGGAGGAGTATGTGGGCAAGTACGGTATTATTGGGATTAAGGAAGCGGTGCAAAGAGTCTTAGGTATGGGAACGCTGGAGGGCGGAAGATTGCCTCTCAAGGGGAAGTTACCAGAAGGGGAATGGGAGAAGTGGCAGGAGGTGTTGGGACGAATGCAGGAGATCGAAGAGTCGTTGTAGATGTTGGACATGATGTGAGAATGGCGCGCAGGGGGTTGGAGTAACAATTTCGCGATATAGCATCTGACGATTCCCCAAGTCAACATGACGGTATCGCGCAAGACGTCAACTCGCCGATACTCGAAAAGGGGACTGAGATCACCATGAGAGATAGATCGGAGCAGAAAAACGCCCCGCAGGGACTAGAGCCCTGGAGTGCAAGGTTTGGGACATATGCAACCCCACCAATCCCGCGCTGATCCGAGGACGTCTGCTGTTACTGTGCACCGCTACAGCTGCAATCGCGTAGTTAAATCACAATTCTAGAAGTTACCTGGGATGTTGTTGACAAATATATTGTTGACAAATTCAACGCCAACTATGACCTGATTATCGGGAAGCACTCGGGATACCCGAATCGCACGACATAAATTTGAGGTACTGTCTAGCACCACAATCACCACTCTGTGCCAACAGGATTATACACAGTATCGATACCCTTCTGACGGAGAGCTGGAGTTTGGGACTCTCTGGCCATCGTTTAGTTCTCGTTTCGATCTTATATTCCTTTGATTTGTTGCAATGGCGGACTCAACGACGCGTTTCAACGCCTTCAACGTCCACACCACGGCATACAAAAAGGTCGGAAATCATGAAATCGCCGTCAGTGTTCTGATCCCGAAAACTCTCAATCCTGGCAGACACCCTCTCGTCGTCAAGATCCACGGCGGTGGACTCGTCCTTGGAGAAGCCCTGTACAAGGGTTGGTTCGCGGCCTGGCTCGTATCCTTCATCCTGCGCAACAACGCCATCGCTGTTCTGCCAAACTACCGTCTGATTCCCGAATCCAATGGCAAGGATATTATGGAAGACCTGGCGGATTTCTGGAAATGGTTCGACGAGGATTTGCAAAAATGGGTGTCTTCGATCAACGAGGGTATCGCGCTGGATTTCGACCGTGTTCTGGTTTCTGGTGATAGCGCAGGTGGCCTCCTAGCGCTGCAGTCAGCGTTCACTCAACCGGAAGGGAAGATCAAGGCGGTGTTGGCCCAATATCCCATGACAAACATCCTTCGGAGGGACCCCATACCGAGCGGTGTTCTACCGAATGGTGCGCCGGCACCTGGCCCTGAGTACATTGACCAGCACATCGCGTCCATCAAACCTGGTACTATTATATCATCGTCCGTACCATACGATCGAATGCCGCTCTCGTATGCATTGTCGGCATACGGTCGCTGGCAGGAGTTCTACGGTACCGATAAAAACCTCTTGCCCATTACTGCTATTGAGGATGCGAAATATCTGCCGCGTACATTCATTTTCCATGGGGAGCAGGATACGGCGGTCAGCGTGGAGGATACGAAGACTTTTGTAGAGAAGGCAAAAGAGGTTTTGGGGGATAAGGTGGATATCAAGCTGGTTACTGTGAAGGGACAAGATCATGGTTTTGATTGCGTAACGGACGTGGACGAGGAGAAAACGGAGTGGTTGAAGGAAGGGCTGAAGTTCGTTGAGCAGAAATGGTTGGCTTGATTGAGTCAGGCCATGATAGCACCTCGATTGATTCATACTGTAGAGAGATTGTGAAGAAGCCAAGAGTGGTCGATTTATCAACATGCCGTCCTCGGCGCATTCTCTGTACTTCGACAGTAGTGTTCTATCAAATAATGAACTCATTACAGGCTACACATCCCTCCACTTACTGTAATGGAGGTCTAATTTAGCGGGATACCATGTTGAAATCTCTACAAAACATGCTTTGCCCTAGCAGAAATCCAGCACAAAGCTTGTTCAAAGTCGAGCCGCTTTTCCGTGGCCAGGTGGAGAGCACCCTGAATATCCGGGACCCTGTCCGAGGTTTCCCGGTCCAGGTGGCCCGCGCGTGGACGTTCATCACGACTCATATGCACCTTTTCCGTGCCTGAGGGCTCACCATCCGTCCTATCACTCTGCTATGCTCACGAGTGTCTGGTAAGTGTAAACGCCATGGAGAGGACAGACGAGTCCAGTGAAACGCCACGAGCTGCCTCGTGGCACGATGGCATCAGCAATCCAACCACTGGGAATGGGAACTCCGCATCGCCGACTCGTCCACATACGCTTACCACAAAGGAGTCGCCGCCAGCTAAACGCAAGAAGCAAGAGAAAGAACGGAGTCGCGTCAGCAGAGCTTGTGATCGATGTAAGAAGTAAGTATTTCCATTTTCCCGTCACTCGCGTGGGCGACTCCCAGTATCTCTACTATGATGCTGACTAATCTTGTTCAGAAAGAAGACCCGGTGCAATGGGCGTTGCCCCTGTCCGCTGTGTGTGCGGGCTGGATTTATCTGTGAATTCACTGCATCCTATACCAGAGGAAGGCTGCCACCAGTGATGATAGATGCAGATGCTCTGGCAGCGGTGAACGGATCGTCTACCACCCCGACCACAGCTTCAATCACTCATACCACATCTGGGAATTCGTCAACATCCCCCTTCCAGGTGCCGAAGATACCTTTGCAAAATACCGAGTCCCTAAATAGTAGCCACGGACGGATGCCTGATGGCTTTCCTGGCACCGAAACATTGGATGCAGCGAACGAAGATGTTGCACGGGATTCACTTTCCAGATCTTCCCCTGAGCCCACCGAGACCGACCGGCAAGGACATTATATAGGTCCTTCGTCAGGGGTGTCATTCCTCCTGCGGATCCAGAAAAAGCTGCACGAGAACCGCTCGTTGTCTCACAACTCCTCCATCTTCACATTCGGCGACGCTCCCCTCCCTGATCATGATGACACATTTTTTGTCTTGCCTCCTAAGGCGGACGCCATACGCCTTGTCGAGAGGTATTTTGACTTTGCCGCACCGACACATCGGTTTTTGCATCGACCTACTATAGAGAATTTACTGGATGAATTTTTCGAAACGCGAGGAGAGATGCTTCATAAAGAAGACGCGGCTGCGAAGAAGGCCCTGTTGTTAATGATTTTTGCACAAGCGCAGGCATATATGGAGCCTGCAACCGCTGGCGGGGATAACAGTGCCCAGTATTACTTCGCTGCGGAACGACAACTAGCGAAAGAGCGGGGTGCTTGCACATTATCCAGCGTGCAAGCAAGGCTTGTTGAATGTTATTATCTCCTGGCTCAGTCTCGGATTAATCAGTGCTGGAGTCTGTTTGGAACTACCGCCCATCTTGCCCTCGCGATAGGTCTCAACAGAAGTAGGCGTGGCGACAGTTCTGGAAAGGTTGATTATCTCGAGCTCGAGTGCCAGCGAAGGACGTTTTGGAGTGCATATGTACTCGACAAGTTTCTGTCTGCCGCTCTGGGCAGGCCCATGACGTTGAGAGATCCGGATATCGATCAGGTACGAAGACTGCGAAATTTGACGGACGTATGAAAGTGTCTAATCCTCAATAGGAGCTCCCAACGGTAATCAACGACGATGACCTGTTTTCCCACACCATGAAGCCCACCCCACCAACCACGCCATCCATCATGCGAGCGCCTGTTGAACACATTCGACTGTCCCGCATAGTCTCCTCCGTCCTGCGCGACCTCTACCCCATCCGCCCACCGTCAATGCCCCTTCGCATTGAACTCGCGGCCAAATACTCCACCCAACTTGTCGAGTGGCGCTCAAGACTCTCCCGCTTCCTCGACGCCGAAGGCATTGACTCGTCACTCCTTCTCCCGCTTTACCAACGCCAACGTAACGTCCTCAACCTCGCTTACTACCATACAATGCTCCTTGTCCACCGCCCCTTTCTACTATCCAACTTTGCAAGTCTGTCGAACATTGGTGCACGGCCGGGTCAGGTGTCCAATATCGACACTAGCGAAAACATCACACAGTGTCTCGACGCCGCACTAAGCATCGTCCGCATCGTCGATGAAATCTTCCAGAGCTCACAAATCTTCCGTGCGTTTTGGTTCACGCAATACTACGCCTTCTGTGCCGTCGTCGTGATCTACATCTACCGTATCCAGCAGCAGCATTCGGTCGACTCAGGGAAAAGTGAGGAATACTTCGCTGCGGGCCAGAGGTGCCAGGCGCAGCTTAGTAGTTTGACGGATACGGATTGCCTAAGTAAAAGGTACTGCCTTGTCCTCGAGGAATTGAGGCTTGAAGCTGCAAGGCAGACCACTGGGAGTCCCGCGACCTTGCGTCCTGATGTGGCGCCTATGAATATGGACACTCAGAATACCCGGCCATCCGAGCCTCTTCCGAATGGTACTCCGAGCTCAAGTCTTGCAGTGCCGGTGCCGACGGCATCCAACGCCGACCCTAACCCATCGACATTTCAGTCTACTTTCTACAGCGGGGCCATCCCTCCAACACCAGAGAGTGCAGTGTTTACGAGCACATGGATGGGTAGTGATGGCTTCATGGAAGATTTAACTACATGGGGTCAGTTTGATAGTTTTGTCACTGCGGGTATCGGCGTGCTCGACGGTGTAGGTACCGGGTTGGGACGGTGATGATGATCACTGTTTCACTACACAATGCTTAGTCATAGAAGTGAGCAGGTATATAAGGACGACTTCTGCGATACGTGGATGTACAGGCTTGAATTTCACTCATCGAAAACGCAGGAACGGGGGATCCATGTGCTCCCTTACCTTTTGTTTCGAATCGTACATCTTCATGAATCATGTTTGGTCCTTGGACATCGAAAACAGTCTTCCCAAGACGTCATGTTTCCTGCGCGCGGGATCAAAGATTCCTCCCTGTACTCTTCATGTCGACCCTGCACCCTGAAAAGACATCTATACCGCTCACTTAATGTCCCATGCAGTCCCCAGAACTGAGAAGATTGACGCATCCATGAACATGGCCGTTCTTGTACAATTTGCGCCGTACAAAAGCCTTGTATCATTTCTCATATTCAGATATGGCATTCAAAACATTCCATCCATTGGCCATGTCGCACCCGCTGTTGGGAATTGACGATGAGGCCCCGTCATGGCGGGAGAGTGCAGTTGAAAACAACGGCAATTGGCAAAATGTTTTCTGCTGTGGAAAAACATTGATGACCATGGTATGTGCCACGGACAATCCAACACTTTGCACTCTCTGTGGCATGTTTCTTCTTCCTTCTAAAGAACATTGCCTCACCCCGACCTTGATTTAAACTCATTTGGGATACACATATGGGAATCTTCGCATCCTCCGATACGTGCTATGATGGTTGCCGAACCCGCTCAGCTTTCGAATAATGGTCTCCCTTCAGTAATTTCGCAATGTCCAGGTTCCCGCCACATGAGTGGAGTGCAGGCTGTTCAAAATCTGACATCTACAAATAAAATGTCACGATCTGGATCACGAATTCAAAAGTGAAACTTCGCAATGTCATGGATGAGCCACCGAGCTCTCTCCCTTCTGCCCCAGCTGTTGGTTGGAACCTGCTTCAACAAAGAAAGACGGAAAAAATAGAATGACCCTTTTTGCACGGGGTTTTGAGATGCGGATACCTCCTTCGACAAGTAGGACTTGATAACACCGATTTTGAGATATGGGCGATCAAAATCTCAAAGACAGTGAGCGAATGTGGTGTTGCGGTTGCAGTTCAAGAATACAAACAGTTTGGGTACACGACCCATGCTCCGGGCTTTCGCACCAGAAAGCTTTTACACGTTACCACACTCCTTAAAAGTCGTCAGGATATATTTCACTCTGGGAGCTAAAATTACTGATCACACCTCTCATGATTCGGAACTTTCATTCTGACCTGCCAACTGGGAAGTTCTTCAACTTGGTGACCTAATATCCACCTTCAGTTTACATGAGCGCAAACGTGGCGTCTGCTCAAGAAACTATAAATGAAAGCCTGAATGGTCCAAGTGACTGAGAGCTGTTACCCACGATATAAAATCAAATGGCGTTTTGTCTATGAACGCGCAATATAAGGGATGTGCGGCACCATAAATGTCCGATCACACGCACTATGACTCCTTTGTTGATGTTTTCTGCCTACGTCGGCTCGACACACTCTCCCTTTGGATATCTCCGCTCCTTATCCATCCTAAAAAACAGAAACCCGGGAATGCACGTGCCACGGTGCCTTTCACTAGCATAATTCGAAATTTTAGTTCTTCACTACTACTACATAGGACATGCAACGTTTCGAAACCCAGAGCACTTTTGTACAGCTACAAAAAAGCTCGGGTAACTTAGAACGCGAAATCTCTAGGTCGACATCTCTCTCGTAATGCGGATATCTCCAAAAACGGAACCTCAACTTGAATGTGCACGCGGACAGTAGTTCTCTATGGATTTTACGCATACCCCAGAGCGACCTATGCTTTTCTTCCTTGATAATCTACGTTAGCGTATTTTTCCCGACATAAATGTGCACTCGGACGTCGGTTTACTATAAAACATGACCCATACCCCAGGGTACATGCTCACTGCCTGCTCGACAAGTTTCACAACGTGTATTCCTTGGAGGAAAAGAGGGGAAGAAAAAAAAGACGATATCAGATCAATGTGTAACTCACTTGACCTTCCCTGAAGATAGCCAATGGAACGTCATGTTTGTCGAACCGCAAAAGAGACGACGCGTATGCGTGCTTCCGGGCGTATGCGAGTCATGAAAAGATGCGGAAATGATGCACTCAATTAACTTGAAAATTCTTTAAGGCCTCTTGACCTAAAAGTGAGGGCGGAAGAATTATGTGTTTGTCTTCTCGTCGGCATCAGAAACAAATTTGCCTAAACTAGATGACATGTCTCTCTGGTATCTGCCTAGATCAGCTGGTGCTCCGCGGTATGGCTCTTGCTGCAAGACAGGAGCTGTGAGACATGGAGCAGCTACCATCACTGGGGATTGTTTACCCCGATTAGGGTGGTAGCTAGTCAGTTGGCCTCATTTATCTGTCGAATGGGCCCAACCTCCTTGATAGCTAAATACCACCCCATCATTTTACATGCATTTCTTGCTACAGCTCTCCGCCTGGTTGGACAAACTCCTTGTTGGATTACTGGAACACTAGACAAAGTCGCCGCCTGTAAAATACACATAGTTATTGCCTTATCGGACCATGGTAATGAAAACTCGCCAACGACGCATAAGTAATGAAGGCTCAGATGCTCCTATGCGATTAGTTCGAAGGCGGAGAGCGGTGGTGATGGTGATTATCATGAGTAGAACCACTCAGACAGTCCATTCATTATAAGTTTAGGAATCTTGTGGTACTTTCATGTTCCGTTATCTGCCCTGCAAACACAGAGACCTAAATCAGTGCAGTTTAGAAAGTCGAAGCAGGGAAATAGAGGACAGCGACATCGGCTTATTATCCTCCATGCTGTTTCTGGGGACGCATATAGTCAACAGCATCATTGAACTCCTTCTTGAATGGTATTCGCTGGCGCAAATTGGGCAGAGAGAAATTCTAGGCTGAAATTCACTTCTCGGAAATGTAATCACAGACGTCTTGAAGGGAAGGCTTGAAGGAGCAGGGTTTCAAGGGAGATATGTGAACGTCTTTCAACCCTTCTTGGGCTATTATGATGTAGGAAAACGCTTCATTAGACGGAGGCACTCTGGTTGACTCTCCAGAAAAACGCATTCGCCGACATAAGTCTGTAATGATGGGATTCAGCATCGTGATGTTGTGTGAGAATCAGCTGGTATAAACGATAGTGACCGCGGAGATACTTGATGCCGAATCGTAGGGGCATCCTCTGCTGGTGTGTTGAGGTGGACGGCCGGATAGCGGATAGATGAAAGAGGCGAGTCCTGATTCGGTTAGCTTACAGCCTAGCCTACAAATAGACACAACAAAGGGCAAGACGTCTATTGACCCATCGACCTAAGACATTCTGTGTGAAAGCAATCAAAATAGGCAAACAACGGCATCTGCAGCCCTGGAGTCAGGCACCCGTTGCGGGCCGAGTGTGATTTTATTAGCCTTGTCCCTGAGTCTGGCCACTTCGAGGTCGAAGAGCCGATGGGGAGACGACTTGTATGACCGTCGTACGTGTCTCCAATGAGACCCTGGCGTTGTGCAGGCCATTCACGAGCACACCCTTTTTGGACAAACCTTTTGTGGACCTGTCCCATTTCTGATGCTCCGAGCAATCCCGACGTGCCGCCATGTCACTGACAATAATGATGTGTGCTTCTTACAAAAAGCATAGATATCCGACAACTTTAGCGTGGTGCAGGAGAAAATGCCGCAGTCGCATCCATTCATCCATCCTAATGGAGACGCACAATAGTGTGCTGTGGACACATACAAGAGTGAGTTTAAGGTCCGCAAGAAAGCATGACACACATCTGGGAAAAGGAAATCTTCTGTGCATCCTCAGGGTCTCTAGCCTCGGTGGGCACGTGGTGAAAGGCAGAGTCGAGACACCTTTTGACACTATCCTCGGTCTCGGATTGGGGCCTGCAGGTGCTATGTAGCCCTACGGAGGTACACAAGCCGGAAATAACGCAGTAGGTATCCATATGAAGCTGTGCCAGCGCCCTCAGTCCTCTCCAATCAGGTACACGGGCTGTCGCAAGGGGAAAAGACTCAAGAGAGCAAGTTCGGGTGGTCTGAATCATAATATCCTGCCGCCAGCTGACGGTGTAACGGCGTGGACGAGGCTTGTGGTTGATAGACTACTGTGTAGAGAATAATCATGGTGCGGTGCGCTGGCAGAGGACTGTCTGCTCGTGTGCCACAGGGTCGGTCTTTTGTCCCTGGCCCGGCCGGCCGAATCAGTCAATGAGGTCAGCACCTGGCACCCACCTAACCACACCTCACACCTCACCCACTCTCCAGAGCTGCCTCCCTCTCTCCCTCCCTTTCTCTCTCCCACCCTTCGCTCCCCCACGTTTCCGTCCCAGCAAATGCTCCCTAACCGTCCGTCCTGCCAGGAGAAACACGCCCAGCAGCGCTCCAACGACAGCGCGCCGCGTGCGTTCACGCCGTCCTCATCTATTTTGACCGCCTCGTCGCTCGGTTGGCTGCAGGACCTCTCCCAGGCCTCTGCGCTTTAGTCGCCCTCCCAAGGCCGACCACGTCGACACCGCAACCCAGGATGCAAGCCCCTGAGTGAGCTTGCTGAATCTTCGCTATGAGCTCCAACGACAACTCCGCTCGCTCTACCGTGGCCGCCGTTGCGGACCCTGCAGAGCCCGCTGCAACAACCCCAACAACAACCACAGCAACACCACAACCACCACCTCACAACACCCCCCAACCTCCAATGCCTCCCACGCACGACACCTCCGCGAATAGGCGGCCCACGCCCGCTTCTGCCGTAAACACCGCCGATGCAACTGGTCGCCGACAGAGAGCCCTCGGCGCCTCGAGCTCGCGGAACGCGTCTGCTTCCCCTTCGACCCTACAATCACCCACGTCCTCTCGCGACACGTCGCCCTCACGCCAGCCACAACGTCTGCAAGGCTCGACAGCAGCTCCCCTTAGGTCTGGATTGCGTTCCCGCAAGAATAGTATCGATGTCAGTCCAAGTGGAGCGCCAGGCGTCGCGGGCTCCAATGCCACCGGCCCTTCGGCCGCCGCCATCCAACGTGCCCTTTCCTCGGCAACAACACCTCAGCTTTCGCCTGCACCTCCGCAGGATTTCACTAGAGCTTCCGGCCCTTTGAAAGGTGCATCGGCGTCCAGTTCCGGAGAAAATACCCCTCGTTGGCCGGTTTCCCCACGACTAAAGTCCCCGCCTCCAAATCCAGATAACCGCTCACGCTCCCGGCGCAACTCGCTACGTGCGCAGAATGCAAAGAAACCAGACATTCCAGCGACCCCGTCAATCGTCGTCCAGAGCTCGTCGCCTGTCCCTTCATCCCGTCTTCCCGTCCAGGATGAAGAGGGTATCGAAGACGTCGAAGACCAGCAGATAACCATGAAAGCACCATCTCGAGGGGTGGCACCAAAACTGGAAACCGTACAGGAAGCTAGCGTACCCACAACGCCGTCCTTTGAAGGGTTGGAGATTGGAAGGTACGAAACTCTCATTCCCGGTGCTTGGCATCAATCTGAACTCGGTGAACAAACTGTGGTGAAAGCGATTTACTAACAAACACACTTCAAACAGTGTAGTCTCGAGCCTACATAGCCAGAGGTCATCAGACGACGAGCGACATGACGTCACATCGACCAAAGTTACAGAGGACCTTAGCGCAAGAACTAGCCGGCATAGCGAATCCGGCGGAGAAAATAACGATTCCAAAACAAAGATGCAGGAGCGCCGTTCTTCCTCCGCGCAACGTCCCGCGACGCTCACGCCACGAGCTTCATACTCGTCCCTGTCCACTATCAAATCGCGCACCGATGTGCCCACTCGCAACATGACGGTGGAGACGGAGACAGTGCCGTCTGTGCCTTCTCAATCCAACATTGGAAATCAGGACCGCTCGGCCTCTGGCAGAGCCGAGGGGAGCCTACGCCAAAAGCCGAGCAGCGAGACGATCCGTCCAAAGAAGGAGAAATCTAGACCCAAGCGCAAAGCTCCGTCCATCGTCTCCGGGACAGGTAGGTCTCCCACCTTTTTTAATGCCCGACACCACCACCACCGGCACTCGGCCACGGTTTCTTTGCTTGGGAGCCCGGGATCATCATATTGCTCGTATGATGACCCCCGGTTGACGATTGATGAGTCGCCCCCAAATCCGGAGATGCCAAGGCCTTCCTTCCGCCCTACTCTCCTATATTCTTATTCATTCTCAAGCGCTAACGGAAGTGCTCGCAAAGCATCATCCAAAGCCGATGTATTCGAACAAAAAGTCGCCAGTGCTGTGGATGAGGCCAATTCCTCAGACTCCGAGGCGACCTTCATATATGAGTCCAACCCTCCTGAACCGCAGCCGCATCGTAGCAGGCACCACTCGCGCACGCCGAGTATGACATCCATCGCCAGTGTGGCAGATCGTGGAGTCCGTGATGCGCACCGGAATATGGGCAAGAAGACCAGTATGAAGTTCGCCAATCCCTACGCCAACCAGAATGCAGAACTTGGATTCTCGGATCATGGGGACGGAACTGTGCGCGTTGGTTCGGGCAGAATAAGCGCAGCAGGACATCACCATCACATTGGTCGTCATGGACATGGTCGAGGTGCCCTGAATCACTTGCTCGTCGATAGCGACTCCTCCCTCGCTCAATCTTCCCGCATAGCAGCGGCACGTGCCGGATCGAGGCATACCTCTCAACCCAACAGTCCAAGGTTCCAGAACTTCGCCGTCTCGAACATGACCAACTATAATGACGCTATCAAAAACCGGGAACACTCCACCTATGATATGGACACGGAAAATGCTGCCGACGACGAACGGACTCCCTTGGTATCATCAATACGAAGCCCCAGAGCACGAGGCCCTCGCCAGCGAAACGGCATACTCATCCGGCACCAGGACCGTCGACATCGTCGTGGCACAGGGTGGTTCCGCCGGATCGCAGGCTGTTTGGTCCTTTCCGTTCTGGTCTTGCTGCTCGTGTTCGGCGCGGTCGGTCTGATATTCGCCACAACGAAGCCGCTCACAGACGTCAAGATCCGTGCTATCCAGGACGTGGTAGCAAGCCAGGAAGAGCTCATGTTTGACCTCTTCGTTGAAGCGGTGAATCCTAACGTCATTGGTGTTACAGTTGCCGATATGGACATGAACATCTTCGCAAGGAGTAAGCATGTTGGCTCGGATAAGTGGTGGCGGGAACATGGTGGCGAACATGGGAACGAGGAAAATTGGCAACATATCTCAGACAGCGCAGCGGCGCCCGTGGAGTTAAATCATGCTCGTACTAAAGGCGTTGATGAGGGAACAGATCCAGTTGAAGATCCTGAAATTGGCGAGCCACGAACCATGTTACTTGGCCGCATCTTCCACTTTGACTCCCCACTGGCTTTTGATGGGTCCTTCTTCAAGCGCCACAAGAGCCAGTCCCTCGGCGCCTTGCGTCTCCAGAAACCGGGAAACAAGACGGAAGCCGGTGGGACCGAAAGATGGGAAGAAGTTCTCCAGTATCCTTTCGACCTGATTGTCAAAGGTGTCTTCAAGTATCAGCTTCCTTTGAGCACACAAGAACGTAAGGTGGCGGTCAATGCATCATACCACTACGACCCCGACACCGAAAAGAAGAAATTGAAGGCTGCTAGCTCACGCAAGCGGCAGTTGTTACCAACACCTGTAAACTTACCCTGGGGACGTTATGCTCGCGGCCTCGCCGAAGCAAATGCCGCAGCGTATTCCTAGGGAACCATTTTCTTGCATCGCATGGACGGAAACCACAAGAGGACCTTGTAACCCGAAAACCGATACCCAATATACACGGATTAACGACTATAGACTGGCCGGTGCCACCCACTGGTCCCATTGGCTCGACAGCCTTGACGAATTTCCTTTCATTTTGCTTCCTCAGCCTTACTAGTCGGCTTTGGTTTTGTCTGAGTCCAATCGGAGGACAGGCCTATAACAGGTTCAACCTTGTTGCTTGTACGCAATTTAGCGCGGTGTTCTGTTCCCATTGGCGGCCGTTGGCCTCGCTCACCTTCCTTGCGGAAATCTTTTTCTATGTCAGTCGTATGTTTGGCGTCTTGACTACGGGGGAGAGTACATCGATAACAAGTCAGCCGGGCGCTATCGAGGATAAGCCGTATAGCACAGGGGTGGGATGACGGTCCTTTGGCGTTCGGAGCTGCGTATGAAGCCGAGCAACGGTGGTGTGCCCTTTACAAGCTGCTGATGTCGTATAGTTTCGGCGTTTCCCTTGCCTTGGCGTGCTTATTGCTGGCTCTATGGGATCTCAGCTTGCTCAAGATTGTATTGCTACGAGAGGAACCGTGGTTGAATGAGTGAGGGACTGCTTTGTGGAAGGATTCTTCAATGGAAGCGATTTGTGAGAGCTGAGGAAGTAAGGGCTTATAGTTGCCTGATAACGGATACCCAATCATTAATGGCACCTGGCCCCTAAATCATGGCTACTGGAGACACAGTGAACTAACCACTTTCCATTGGCAAAGACATATCGTAGAGCTCCCACACACTGGAGCGGGTGACAGTGGTTTGAATGGAGCGTCGATTCGTACTAAGATATCCACACGGATTTAGCCCTCTGCTACAATCATCGGCACCAGCTATAAGATGGTTTCAAATACGAAAAGCGTTTTAGGGCCTGTTCGGTTCCAAGTGTCATTTTTTCGAAATGGAGGCCCAGGGGGGTAAGCGCCGGCGTCGCGCTTGCGTGAAATGGAGCAGGGGGAAAGGGCTTCATTTTAGAATTACTGTGGTATCCGGCCGAAGTAGTGTAGCTGGTCCGGGCACGACAGGGGTGTTTAGCTAATGTATTCAAATGACGCTTTTCCACATCTGTCTATTGTTACATACAAACTTCAGTACTTTGTGTGACCTCCTTCCACCTCAATCACAGCTTGGCAATGAGCTGGCATACTATCAATGAGCTCTCGAAGCACTTCTACTGTGATTGACTCCCACACCTCCTGAACCACCGTACGCAGTTGATCATATGTAAGTTGCCTCTCTCCCTCTTGCTCAGGATAGAATTGCTCTATATAGTCCTTCATCTTGTTCCACACAGTCTCAATCGGATTTAGGTCAGGAGAGAATGCTGGCCAGAAGGTTGGGTGGATATCCCTTGATGAGAGCTCCTCCATTGTATACGTAGCTGAATGCCCAGATGCCCTATCTTGCATGAACTTAAGGTGAGGATTCAGGTGTAGCCAGCCATCAATAAGAGGCACAATTCGATCACAGTAGCTCTCTTTGTTGATCGACTTCTATTCTTTCTCCTAGAAGAGATGAGGGCCTTTTGATATGCCTGAGAAGCATGCCCAAAACATCCATCCATGCTTCTTATGAATTTTATCCACCAAGCACGTATCATCAAGCTCCTCTCCTGGCTTTCTTGTAACCCATTGTTTTCGATGCCACCTACCAGTTATCCAGATCTCATCGCTCCATAAGATCCTCCACCACTCCCACGGCTGCCAGTTGATGTGAGCTTGTGCCCACTCAAGACAAATCTGCCGATTAGCCTCAGTAAGGGGTGGCTTAGCTCGAGCTATGTAGCGTCTGTACCCTCTTCTTCGTAGAGCACTCCTGATTGTGTATTCACCAACACCCCAGTGCTCAAAGGGGCCCTGAGCAAGTTGGAGGTAGCTCATTTGTTGGGTATTGTAGGATGATCGGATGTATGCCTCAAGCTCATCAACTTGGGCATTAGTAAGATGAGGCAGACGACCGGAGCGCTTTTTAGATGTGACGAAGTTCTTGGTTACTGCATAACCAACTTGTCATTTAGTGCAATTAAGCTGGTTCACAATAAAAGTATAGCTATGGCCTGCTCGATGTAGGGTGCGGGTCTCAACAATCTCATTGCAAGTGAGGTATCGGTGGTGGTGGTGAGGAGATGTAGATGGGGCTTCAGGCATCGTGTTGATGGTAGGTAGATGCACGACACGACAGAGGTACGTGGAGTTCTATACAAGATATGGGTGCTACTCATATTTTTGTCTGTAATAACATTTGATTACATGGTCCGAGTACCCTTGTCATGCGCGGACCAGCTACACTACTTCGGCCGGATACCACAGTAACCTCCCGAGGTTAGTTTAGAAATGGCCTTGTTATATTTGCGCACAGGGCAAGAAACTGCCTGTGTCCACGCTAAACAGGGCCTTATTTCCTAGCGTAAATAGAGCCTTCATATTTCCTGCTAAGCTAGCACGTGAGAGCTAAAAAGGGGGTTTTTTACGAAATTCATCAGCAACTTGGCGCGTTACTTTGAAATGGGGGGCCGAAATGGAGCCTCCATATCGCGCACCGAACAGGCCCTTATTAGTTATCTCGCATTGACGTTACATTCACCGGACTGGTGTTTGGCTGCGTAACTGTTGTCATGTCATGCTGAAGTATACGCACAGTCTCTTTATCACCACTACGGTCTAGCTCGTCCAAGGCGGTGACAGAAACGCGCAACGCGTCACTTCGCGTCCACCCATTCAGACCTCAACTGGAAAGCACATCTTGCCAAGTCTCCGTGATTCTTCTCTTCTTCCTTTCACTTGTTTCTCCTGTAGTTCTGTTTCTCGTTTCCTGTGACGATGGCTTCAAGACCCGAGCTCAAAGAGGAGGACGAGTCCAGTTTCTGCAAGTTCTTCCGCAATCTGCCTCACAAGGGCAACGATACTGTACGCATTTTTGACCGTGGCGATTATTATTCGGCGCATGGCGAGGATGCGAAGTTTATTGCTGCTACGGTATGTTTTAAATGTTACATGTCCCCCACTCAGAGCAGAACCCAGCAGAAGAGCGGCATGCTGAGATTCCAATAGGTCTACAGGACCACGGCGGTCATCCGCAAGCTCGGCCGCGAGCCAGGGCTCGAATCGGTCACCCTGACGGTTATGGTGTTTCGGAACTTCATAAGAGAGGCGCTGTTTAGACTTGGAAAGAAGATCGAGGTGTGGGGGTCGTCGGGGAAGAGGATGGATTGGAAGATCATAAAACAGGCCTCGCCAGGCAACCTGCAGGATCTCGAAGATGAACTAGGCGGCCAAATGGAAAACGCACCCATCATACTCGCAGTGAAGGTATCGGCAACAGCCCAGGGCAGGAAAGTGGGGGTATGCTTCGCCGATGCCAGTGTACGAGAGCTGGGCGTGGCCGAATTTCTGGACAACGATTTGTACTCCAACTTCGAGTCGCTGCTGATTCAGCTCGGTGTCAAGGAGTGCCTAATACAGGCGGACCCGACGAAGAAAGACGTCGAGCTGAGCAAGCTGCGGACGATAGCGGATAACTGCGGGTGTGCACTGGCAGAGAGGAATGCTGGAGACTTTGGCACAAAAGATATCGAGCAGGATCTTTCTCGGTTGCTGAAAAATGAGAGGTCTGCTGGCACACTTCCCACTATGGATATGAAGCTTGCTATGGGCTCTGCGGCGGCGCTGATCAAGTACATTGGTGCCCTGGCGGACCCCACGAATCACGGACAGTACCAGTTGTACCAACACGATCTGGACCAGTACATGAAGCTTGACGCAGCTGCTCTCAAGGCTTTGAATCTTATGCCCGGCCCCAGGGACGGTGCGAAGACGATGAGCTTGTATGGGCTTCTCAATCATTGCAAGACTCCTACGGGCAGCCGTTTGCTTGCGCAGTGGCTGAAGCAACCCTTGATGGACATCAAGGAGATAGAGCGGCGGCAACAGCTGGTCGAGGCGTTTGTCAATGATACGGGGCTTCGCCAGACGATGCAGGAAGAACACCTTCGGTCGATCCCTGACCTCTATAGGCTGACAAAGAAGATGCAGCGCAAGGCCGCCAATCTGGAGGACGTGGTGAGGGCGTACCAGGTTGTTATACGTCTTCCTGGCTTCTTGAACACTTTGGAGTCAGTCATGGATGAGCAATACAAGGACCCACTGGACGCAGAGTACACGTCAAAGCTACGCGAGTATTCCAGCGCCTTTGCCAAGTTCCAGGAAATGGTCGAAACGACCGTTGATCTGGATGCCCTGGACAACCACGAGTTTATCATCAAACCCGAATTCGACGACTCCCTGCGCACGATCCGCAAGCGTCTCGACAAGCTGAGGCGGGACATGGATGCGGAGCACATAAAAGTGGGCCGCGACTTGAACCAGGATACAGAGAAGAAGCTGTTTCTGGAGAACCATCGTGTGCACGGGTGGTGTTTCCGACTGACGAGAAATGAAGCCAGTTGCATCCGGAACAAGAAGCAGTATCAGGAGTGCTCTACGCAGAAGAACGGCGTGTACTTCACGACGTCGGCTTTGCAGAGTATGCGGCGGGAGTTTGACCAGTTGTCGGAGACGTACAACCGGACCCAATCGGGCCTGGTGAATGAAGTGGTTTCGGTTGCATCTTCGTACATACCTGTGTTGGAGAAGTTGGCGGCTGTGCTCGCGCACATGGACGTCATTGTAGCTTTTGCACATGTGTCCGTTCATGCTCCTACTTCCTATACACGGCCGAAGATGAACCCTCGCGGAACGGGTAACACCATCTTGAAAGAGGCACGTCACCCGTGCATGGAGATGCAAGACGACATCTCCTTCATCACTAACGACGCCAGCCTGATTCGGGGAGAAAGCGAATTCCTCATCATCACAGGGCCCAACATGGGCGGAAAGTCGACCTACATCAGGCAAATCGGCGTCATTGCGCTCATGGCACAGATTGGCTGTTTCGTGCCTGCGGCCGAAGCCGAGATGACCATCTTCGACTGCATTCTCGCACGCGTGGGCGCCAGCGACAGCCAAATCAAGGGCGTCTCGACCTTCATGGCGGAAATGCTGGAAACTGCCAATATCCTCAAGTCGGCCACCAAGGAGTCGCTCATCATCATCGACGAGCTCGGCCGCGGAACCAGCACCTACGACGGCTTCGGCCTCGCGTGGGCCATCTCCGAGTACATTGTCAAGGAGATTGGGGCTTTTGCCCTCTTCGCGACGCACTTCCACGAACTCACGGCGCTGGTGGATACGTATCCGCACGTCCAGAATCTACACGTCGTAGCGCACATCTCGGAGGGGATGCAAGAGGATGCCAACGGGCCGAAGAAGAAGCGCGAAGTCACACTCCTGTACAAAGTCGAGCCCGGCGTCTGCGACCAATCCTTCGGCATCCACGTCGCGGAACTGGTCCGGTTCCCACAGAAGGTGATCAACATGGCGAAACGCAAAGCCGACGAGCTGGAGGACTTTTCGGGTAAACATGAAGAGGGGTTCGTGCAGGCGAGCAAGGACGAGGTGGAGGAGGGGAGTAAGCTTCTCAAGGAGATGCTGGTGGAGTGGAAGAGAGATGTGGAGCAGAAGGGGTTGACGAACAAGCAGCTGGTTGAGAGGATGAGGGAGCTGGTGAGGGGGAATCAGGCGCTTCGCGAGAATGCGTTCTTCAAGACTATTCAGGCGCTGTGAAATTATGGGATACGCGTTTTGCGCGCAGGTTATTAGCATCCGGGAGGTGTTGGAGAGTTCATGGTCATGATACCAGAATATATTCGATTTGTACTAGTTATGGGTGAATGCCTGCGCCACACTTTTCAGCCACACTTCTCCCCCGCCTCGCCCGCCCAAGCTCCAACATCTACTCCATCTCGAGCTCCAATGTCCACCTCCAAGATCCCCATATTCCGGCCCCTCGGCCTCCGTGCCGTGTATCTTAGAAACAAAACTAAACGGGCACCATGGCGCCCTCATCCTCCGTAGTGGTCCGTCACATCTCCCACTCCACTCCGCGATTGCAAGTCCCATCTAACAGACCCCGCGATAGAACAAGCTCAAAGTGCAGCTCAAGCTCTCCATCTCGCGGCTACGCATGATGCAGCAAAAGGACAGCGCGAAGGCGAAGCAGCAGCGGCGGGAAATGGCGCAGCTGCTCGAGGCCGGCAAAGTGGCGAGCGCGCGCATCCGCGTCGAGAACATCATCCGGGCGGACATCACGACGGAGCTGCACGAGATGCTCGAGCTGTACTGCGAGTTGGTGCTCGCGCGGTCGCAGTTGTTGGATGCGCCGGGGAACAACCACAGCAGTAACAATAATGGGGCGGCAGCGGCGGCGCTGGACCCGGCGCTCGAGGAGGCGGTGCGCAGCCTCATCTATGCGGCGCCGAGGACGGAGGTCAAGGAGCTGCATGCGGCGAGGGCGCTGCTGGTGGAGAAGTTTGGGAAAGAGGTGGCGGTGGCGAGTATGGAGGGGGAGGGGGTCGCGGAGCGCGTGGTTGCGAAGTTGAGGGTCGAGACGCCGAAAAGGGAGTTGGTGGATGCGTATTTGGGGGAGATTGCGAGGTTTTATGGTGTCCCGTTTGGGAGGGAGGTGAAGGTTGAGGAAGAAGAGGATGACGATGAGGGTGAAGGTGGGGTGAAGGAGAAGGCGGAGAGGGAGGGGAGGCAGTTGGAGGCGCCTTTGGAGGCAGAGCCGGGGAAGGCGAAGTCGACGGCGAGGGTGAGGGAGGAAGACGAGACGGAGGAGCTGGTCAAGGCCACGCCGCCCAAGACTTTGGGTCCGACCAGCCCGTTACGCATCACGCCCCCGAGTCCCAGTACCGATAACGTGGCGCCCAAGTTGAAGTTGCCGGGGGTGCCGGGGGATATTGCGGCGCCGCCGGCGGCGAAGGGTAGGATTAGGGAGGAGAAGAAGGTGAGGAAGGAGGATGGGGCGGGGGCTAGGATACCGGATGTGGATGAGTTGGCGAGGCGGTTTGCGGAGTTGAAGAGGTGAGTTCGGGTGGTTGGGGGATGGGGCATTGGAATGGGTGGATGGGCGTTGAAGGCGTGCTATATATCATATGGTAAGTATCTTCAACTCTGAATGGGCTTATTGAGCGAGATATGGTATGGCTTTCTATGGGTACAACATACCTGATGCTTCTAGGTTTTATACCTTTTTGGGCACTTCAACATGTGTCTGTGGTTCCCTTCCCAAACCCATGTTGGCAGTAGCTATGTTGCTTAGCGATCTTGGTGCCATCAAAGCGGTGTTTCTGCTACGGGCAGCTATGTTTGTTAGCGCTCTCCGGGGCCATCGAAACTGAAGTCTTAGCACGGTATCATTGCACATGTGAGGAAGCATTCCGCTGTAGATCGAGGCAGACGAATCACTGCCACCTTGCACAACGATCCGCCTGTTAGGAGTGTGGCAAAGCATACACCGTCGCATTCATTAAATTGCAACCGTGAAAAGCACAGAACGAAGTATAGCCTTGGTAATGTTAGTGATGATAAGCGCCATCACAGAGCATCTGCGTGGGTGCGATTTATGAGAGACGCAGTGAGCACGCGACACCATTCCGCCATTCCGCCCTTCTCTCCTGATTCTGGGAAATGGACGCTGTCTCATCGGGCGTCACCACCAATATTCTAGGATAAACGCCTCGACGCGGATTGGTAAAGGGGAAGTAGAACGGTTTTCACGAGAGTTATATACTTTCCACGTGCAGAGAGCTGCGTAATCACATTTACGGTTTTTCGTCACGTAAGCTTGCGTTGAGGAGTTTAATTGAAGGAGTTGCGAATATGAGCGTTGTTTACATGTGTTTTGTTGCGGTGATGAGTAGCACTAATGCGATGAACATAGTGTATCTAGACGGTTCTCAACACTTCAACAGCATAGAGGGAAATGACGCAGAGTTCCCCGGGAAAGGCCACATCATGAATCCTTGTACGGCTTTTTGATGAATTTCAGAATCTCTCAACGATTAGGTTGTTGATCTCGCTGGCAGCATGGCAGGTAGGAAGACGGGTTTATATACATAGTTGGCGTAGAAGTGCCTCACATGACGCAGTCACGCGTGTCCGACGTAGCTGACCTTCATGCCGCTTATGGATATTTAATACGCGCACTAGTATACTTTTGCGATGCTTTTAATGTCTACTAGCGCTGCATTTTTTCCCAAAATTCGGGCGTGCCTGCACCGGTGGTCAAAACAACACGCAGATGGAAAAATGTGTCCTTGTATAATTCTGCTGTACTTGGTACTTTTGGAAACTGGCGGCTCCATGAATGGCCTCGAGTGTGGTTTTCAGCAGCATTGGAAAAGAACTCCCGGAATGAATTATATACAGCTCCACGAGTATACACGAGTATATCGCGTTCTTTAATGCTGTATACATTAAGACCTCACCCTAGGTAGGAGAATCTCTCAGCATACATCACTTTCAGATAGTGAGCATTATCACCGTCACGAACATTATATGCTCAAGGGGTTTTCGAATTGATGAAAAGAGGCGACTCCGTTATCCTCACAGAGAAAAAGTCGTGGTACCGACACTGCCAAAAGCAGGACAGAGAGCATTCAATGGGACGGTTTTGAATGATAGAATGAAGCAAGTGTGACGGTTCGATGAGGAGGAGAGAAGAATTATATAGACGTTACTGGGCAGGATTTTTTTGGCTTTTTTGATTTACAATCGAATCTATCCTGCATCTTGCAGTGATTTGCATTACTACGTAGCTTCAGGCAAAGAAACATATCATCCAAGAGAGATATCTGAGTACCCTAACAACTATTCCGTCAGCGGCCTGAAGGCCTAAGCAGTGACCATGCGATGCTAAGGATGGGAACACCACCATCACCATCATCAAGTGGTTGCAGTCACGTCGAGAGATACTCAAGTTACGACACGGAACTGTTAGGAGAACGATAATCATCAACATTACACTTGCTACGGGTAGGCTATTGTAAGCTAATATAACTCTTTAATGCAAGCAATCTTGTTAAATTAACGATTGCAAAGAAAGAAGCTAAAACTATTATGCAGTTGCTTAAGCTCTTTTAAAAGGGAGGATAGCACACATAAGAGTTAGTAAACTTAGATTTTACAGAACTATTGCCGCGAAATCTAGATTTCATAGAAGTAGGTAGGAGACACTTAACGGGTCTATCTACACTCGTGGAAAGAAAGGAACTAGGGTAGCTGCAGATCTGCGACTCTATAATTGCCCATCGTTGGTATATGCCGAATACCAATCAAGATTCTTCACCTGTTGCATGTAGGTTATAGGCAATCAAGGAGATACTGCTAGTTAGTACCTTCAACGACGTACCCACTCTAGCCACAAACGAGCTCGTTCATACCAGAATACAGCACCTATAATGCAACGCAAGAAATAGAAAGGAGAGAGTTCATGTTCCGGGTTCCTTCGTTATTTGCACAGCAAGGACGGCCACACATTGGATGCTAACAGGGTTTTTTAAATAAATTAGAAAGAGCGCTAGCAAAAGTTGAAAGTTGGCTAGAAGGTAGAAGACGAGGTTTATATATGTACGCTTATACACTAACGGCTTTTAGGAATCATGTACAAGTCGCTCGTTTAACTCATAGCATTTTTTGTTGAAAAGTTTTGATATCAGATACCTAAAATTATGCACTGTAATTATACTTTTTTAATAATAGTAATCACCGTCTCTATTACTCAGCAAAATACGCCGCTATAGAGCAGTAGAAATGTTAGGGGAGCGAAGGGCACAAGACGACCTATACATGAGTAGAAATCAGGAATGTTTGATGGTTGAAACGGAACCGCAGCCACATCCGTGTCCTTATCAGCTGTTTGAGAAACGGTAAAGAAACTCTCATTGTAGAAGGAAATAGAATAACCGAGAAGGAAGCTGCTTAAATACATCACAAACATAAGTCAAAGATCTGTAAGAATTTACTAAATCTTAAATCTTCGCTGAATGTGCGCCAAAATAGAGAAGGTGACGGTTTCGAAAGTAGTGGTAACGAATGCAGTCATAATAGCACTCATCAGCATGCTTATAAGTAAGATTGAAGGTTCAAAAGAAGAGCATAGAAGAGCAGAAGACAGTAGAGAAAAGCGAGGAGGGGCGCTTGCAACTGCGTCCATGGGGTGGGTGTATTGAGTTCAACTTTCGGAGACTGCAACATAGGTTCCCAGAGACGGCTCTTTAAGAACCAATTCTTAGAAGCATTGTACACACTTTTCAAGCAGATCCAAGAAGTGAATGAAGTGTTTATATTACCCTATTTGCCCTAGTGTGGGTTTGCCCTAACGCCTGGCCGCGATATTCAAAGTCATACTCCGTAAGCTGAACAGCCGGCAACACTTTTAGACAGCACCATCACCATCACCATCAAATCCTACCATGCGCAATCCCCGTGTTTTGCTTCTCGAAAAAAAGCAGGAAGTTCACATTCCGACGGTTGATTCATGATTTTAGAGAAGAACCTAGAACTTAGGAAGCGTGGGACGTAGGTCAAGAAGGAAGGGACGAGGGTGACATTATATATATCTAAGCTGGAACCACTTTACCCCTACTATGGCATCAACTTCTTCCCTAAATTCTAAGAAGCGGATAAGTCTACATGTGGCCGTAAATACAGGATTTGAGAAAGTCTCTCTAATGTGTAAGTAGCAAACAAGGAACATAGCTAGAAATGTGCGATTTCCCAGGGTTCATACACGTTTAAGACAGAAACCCCCGTGCCCCACACCAACATCTCCACTCTCCCGATTTGCCTGAGAAAGAGGGAGTTCCATAGCAGGAGGCAGATATAATTATTCAGAAAGAATTTTGGAGTCGTGAGGAGCGAAGGAAGAGCGAGGGGAGAGGGTGGGTTTATATACATCTCATCGAGCTCGCCCGAGCGAAGTTTCCTACGCAGACTTGACGCAAATCGTTGATGATAAGCATCATCATCACCATATCGGCTACGTCTACCATTGCTCTCCAACTCCGTTGGGAGGCTCTTCACGCGATCCACCATGTTTCTGCCCGTAGCTCTTTGAGAAAGAGAGAGGGGTGCCCCCAAACCACATCTCATCCTCGTTTCCGTTTTGGTTGAACTCGAAGTTTTTGGTGGGAAGAGTCAAGGAGCAAGGTGAGGGGTTTATATATCTCTCCAGGCTCATTCGCGTTTGCGGCACGCCGTGCTCAGTCATCAAGGGCTGTAGACTATAAACAACGCTGGGAATCTTTCTAACGGTGCTAGACTGTGATGATCGGCTGAACTGATACTACCCATCACCAGCAACCGTAATCACCATAACGACCATTCTAATGCTCAAAGGTCACTGCATGTTGAACAACAAAAGCCCCGAACACGCCATTAGTGTCTCAGCGTTTTTCTTAGAGACAAGAAGGGAAGAAACGTGCTCAAGAACTGCGCCAGTTTAGGGTTTGGGAGAGGGGAGAGGTGTACTATGAGCAAGACGTCACGGAGAGAAACGACGGGATTTATATATTCGAGAATCTTAGTCAAGATTAGTGGATTGGTAGTAAGTAGTGAAGAATATCACCAATATCACCGATATACGGGCCATGAATTCAGGGTGTAAAACTTTCTCCACTCATGCGTTCGATCCAAGACATAGTGACACTGCAAACCATAATTCCCGATGGTACTTTATAAGAAGAGAGTCGGCGATACCCCATTGGCTAATATGGCGACCCTTTAGAAGCCTTGAGCACCCGGAAGGAGTCTGTGCAGCAGCTAGAAGAAGCCAGGTCAACGAGTCGACAAAAAAGGGGGGCTTATATATTCATCCACCCTGCGAAGCGTTTGCGGTGGGCCAAAATCAGCCTTTCTTCATATTAGAACATGAACATCTATCCAGGATGTGTGTTTTTGAAGACGGGCAGGCTGGTGATGCAGTGATGCGCTTTATCACTCACCGGCCGCAGTAATCGCCGCCCGCATCCTGACAACGTTCTCTTGACTTTATGTGTTTTTTCGCCCAGTACAGTCGTCGCATGCATGGGACTTTCTTGCTTCTAGATTACAGAAGCAAACAACAGGAACCATCGACGGAACATAAAAACTCTTTTGAGAGGCGAAGACGCCTCGCGGCAGTGAAGAGTTTAGTATAGAAATGAGGGTTTATATATGCGAGAACGGTTGTACAGATTAGTAAGCTCCGTCAATGAACTTAGAAAAACGGAGAAAGGTTGGGTCATGTTCTGATTTTGGTACAACGTGTGATGATAATGCCTGGTGATGATACCCACCATCGACATGCAAGGCACTCCACAACCACCGCAAGGTTGATAGCAGCGCAATCACAATCACAATCACCTATGCCTCCCATTTGAGCAGGACTGTTACTCTACGAGCTAAGAGCACACCACTCCATGCCAGCATCTACCATCTCTTTTAAGCAAGCAAGGACAACCCACACATTCAACGCCCGCATTTCGTTTTCAGTCCAAGAGTAGGGAAAGCAGTCAAACGTGAGGGGAAAACAGTGGAGGTGTGAGGGATTTATATATCCTCAATGGTCCAACCAACAACTCGTTCAGACGAACATCAACACAGCACAGACGTTTTCAAAAATATATTAGAGCATGGTTCATGTGTTGCCCCATTTCGAGACAGTGACAATGCTGACCATCATCATTGATAGTCTAATCTTCACATAGCGAGATCTAGATGCTCGATTCCCTTGCTACCCCAAGAAAGTCACCGCATGGATTTGGGGAGCTACGTTTTGAGAAATGAAAGGAGAAAGGAAGTTGGACATGTGAGAACCCTTGGAGCGAAGTTGAAGTAAGGGATATTCATACCTAGATCGCTGTCGCGCGGATTAGTAAGCCACATAAAAGTGGTGTGATAACAAGAGTGGCGAATGGGGAATATGATGGTGATGGTGTCTATGAATGGTAAGATTCCGAGTGAGCTTGAGCGTGACCTAACGACTATATCAACGACAACATCACTTTGGAGCTATCGGGATGGTTCAGGAACATGTGAGCGGAAAGTCCTGATTTATGTTAAGGAAACATCGTCCTTCTTCTCAAAAATTCTCCTCTTCAGCAGTGGATATCGTATCTGACTCAATATCTCTCTTCCACAACTCCTCTACAGCTTCGTCGCATGCCTACTTAGTCGCGTTAGCGTACATGACTAGTCGCCTTTCTCTACTACATCCCGTACGGTACCGAATCTACTTGTACATAATATTACGTATTTTCATTAGGGCTATGAACAATCCGTTTTCACACGCATGTTCACTGTTTTGTCGCCAGCACCTTCAGGTGCGACCGCCACTTCGTCTTCTGAATACCTTCTAACTGCGCCTCCTGGGTCCTTTACGACCCATATCCATTTCCAGGAAGAGACGCCAAGTGAGAAATACAACCAAGAAATACAACCACTCACCCCGACTTCACGTACTCGTCGAACCAAGCCACGGCCTGGAAGAAGGCCTGCTCCTTCGCGAACTTCTCACGTCGCTTGGAGAGATCGCAGCGAACTGCGAAACCATGCACGACGTCGGAGAAGAGGTTGATTTGGTAGGGAACTTTGTGCTTGAGGAGGATGGCTTCGGTCTCGTGGCGCTTTTCGGCGGGGAAGATATGGTCGGTTTCTGTTCATCCCGCATTAGCTCTCTTCCGTTCACGATTTAGGATAGTACCACGTACCTGCAGCAGCAATGCTCAACGGGCCCTCGATACCCTCAACCTCCTCGGCGTCGACGAAGCTGGGATGCGCAATGTAACCGGCATCGAGCTTGCCCGACTTGAGGAAGCGACAGACGTACTTTCCGCCGAAGCAGTATCCGACACCCCCCAGTCTCTTGACGCCGTAAGAGCCACGAAGCTCTTTGATGGTGGCCTCGAGGATGGGGTCGACCTGGTGGGTCCTGGGCATGCTATCCTGGATCCACTTCTTGATGTCGAAGTTGGGGTCGTTGACTGGGGCAGGGGCACCGTTGAAGAGGTCAGGGGCGACGACGAAGTAGCCGTTGGCGGCGAATTGGTCGGCGATGCTGGTGGTGTGTCAGGCATATTGTACAGGAAATTTGTTGAGGATTGACGTACAGCTGGACATTGATGAAGTCCATACCCAGGATATCTGGGTGATTGTTAGCTTTCACTTGATCGCTCCTACTAAGAAGACTTACCAGTGATGATGAGGATGGCATTGTGCGTGCTCTTGTCCTTTGGATAGGAGAAGTAGGCGCGAACTGCTACAGTCAGTGTCCCTCTCCCTCAATGAATTGGACTGTGGCATACCATCCGCAATTGTTTTCACCTCCCCGACCGCAGTTCCTTCATGCTTGACGCCAACGGCACAGCACTGTCCGGGTGGATTGGAGGCCATTGTGTGGTACGTGTAAGAGATGAGGAACGGATTGGAAAGAGTGTGGAAGAGCTCAAACCAGGTGGGCAAGGCAAACTTCTGGGGGTCTTAAAGTCCGTCCCATGCTCCTTAAGTACCTTTTCCATTTTATCGTCAACCGAGGGATAGCTTGCCCCACCAAAGGACGGGTGAAGGATTGGAACTGCATCGAATCGCAGTCTGACGGATGCCCTAGGCACTAGCGAAGCTTACTCAAAAGGGAGCCTGGCCGTTGCCAAGAACGTAACAATGATGACCTCATCGCGGGGCTGCATAATGCGGTTTGAAAGCCGCCAATTGTAGACGATGTCTAGAGAGACTGCACTCTTATCCGCCATGTCCCGCATCATTGGAGTTTCGAGCGAGCCATGGAGCCATTTCGGATTAATAATTTCCCATACTTTACAAGCGGAGATAGGCGATAGATGCGGAGGCAACATAAACGGTACTTGTTATTGATGGTTGCTTGAATGCGAATTCGGCAAAAACAAACAGTCAACAAGACGTCACTCACTCTATGCGTATCAATACTAAGAATACAACCTGAAGGCGAACCATTGGTCTCCTTTCTGTCACGGCCAAGTTCATGTCACAGTACTGCTCCTTTTCACGTCCGACTGAACAGACAGGGGTCGCAGGGGTATATCTGACGCTGTGATTGGCGTGACAGCGCCTTCGTCCGGGTATAATGAGCCTTAAAGCACCGTGCTCTAGTGCCTTAAACTAGACTGTGGCCAATTGAAATGGTTGAATTAGGTGATCTAACTCAGAGCAGCGGTACAAGGGGGTGTTCAGTCGGATGTGAGAGGGCGCAGTAGAGTCGGAGGGGCCACTCGTCGGGGGAATCATCCGTCGGAGAAATCGTTCGTCGGAGAAAGCGGTCGCCGGAGGGGAGCGTCTGTAGGACATGGCGATCGTCGCTGCTCAAACGCAGACAGCATCTAGGACTTTACAGGTAACGCGGAGAGGACGCGCGTCTGAGTTTGCGGTCTCGTTCGCGACTTCGGCTGCGGCTACGTCTGGAACCATGACGGTGGCTGGCGTTCCCTTCATGTCTTCTCCTTGGGCTTCGACTGCGACTCCGCCTATGGTGTTCGTACTTCGAAGAGCTACGCCGCTCAGAATATCCATCTTCCGCAGCGGGCTCAGCATCGCCTTCCTCCCGCCTCTTTCGCTTCCTGTGTCTGTGTCTCCGTTCGTCTCTCTCTTGCGCCGCTCGAAGTTCCCTCAGCTCCCGCTCCCGTTCCTCGGCCCATTTCTTCCTGTCCTCTCGCGATTTCTTCAACTGTATTTGCGCTTGGTTCATGAAAGCTAGAGGATCGCTACTCGCAATGCGAGCCTTCTGCCTCTCCTTCCGCCCAGGGTCTTCATTCCCCCAGACATCTTTATCTGAAAATCCGGGTACTTGTAAGCTTCTGTCAGGACCCTCGTCCTTGTCACTCCGCGCGGCTGCATTTCCGTTGAGATACCACGGCTGTCCTGAGCTTCCTTTACCAGCCGCATTCGCCAATCGCATAGTATATTGGTCCTCAAAAGCTTGCTCTTTCTTGCTCTTTTCTTTCTCGGCTTCAGCATTCTTTTCCCTCCTTACAGCCTCCTTCACGTCCACTGGAAACAGGTTGATATTGCCCGCATGATCCGTCAGGGGTGCCTCATTCTCAGGTTTCCGCAGCTTCAAGACAGACAGATCTCCATCATCTTTGGGACCCGTCATCGACTGTGCAAGGCGTATGTCTCGGTCCGTATCATCCTCTCCCGCAAGGCGCCTACGCTTGCGATCATGACCGTCCCGTCCCCGTTCTGTTCTCCTTGCTTTGCGTTCCTGGTCGGCGACGTCTGCCGGCAGAGGTGGAGGCGTACGCCCTCGCAGGATGGCTGCTCTGCGTTCCGCATCAAGCTCTTGCATGCGCTGCTCCTCGGCAGCTTCGCGCGCCGCAGCGGCGGCCTCGTCCGCCTTGACACGGGCGATATTGGCGGCGTTGTAGACGTTCCATGACTGGATGGCGTCAGCTCCTTGATACTATGCGGCAGGACCTCTCTCGACGGTTGATACCTTCTTGCCTAGCAGGTGCCTGCAATTTTGTCAGTACTGGCATTGCAGCCAAGCCTTTGCGCCTGGCGGTCGTATGCCATGTTGGTGACATACAGAGGCATCTTGATGAACCGTGAATGATCCGCTCACTCAAAAGAACAAGCCGTGATGAGGAGGAAACGGGTAGCAGGCCAGTGGGGACCTCCGTGCCGACAAGCAGTGGGCCGATGGATCATGGAGTGGTGGCTTGGGGTGAGCTTTGGGTTTGGTCGCTGCGGGGCCGTAAGCAGGGGTGCCCCTTGCAAGGGTCAACGACATACCGTTCCCCATCAGCATCTCACCACCATACCACCTAGTGAGCATGCAACCCCCCTTCTCAATCATTGATGATCACTCATTCCCATGAGAATCAATGTCCTTCAACTTCCATGTCCGCAGCTAGAAGGAGCCTTAACAATACGGTGCCTTCCCCAATCGACCTTGTGAAACTTCCGGCCGTCAAAGCAACTCCTTCCCAGCATAGTCAACTTCCAGCATTGACCTTCCCAAGTCGCAATGTCTCTGGCACTTAACACCCGAGGTGTATGAGCTAACACGCACTTTGAATCTACACCGCTTCCGGTCTGTCCCACTTCCCCCAGCACCGTATATGAGTACATGCTTATAGCTACAGTCTCCCTCGCAGCTTTTGGGCAGAAGTCTCCCTCCTGCTTCGAGATAACTCAGGGCTATAGGCCAGTTGATGCCTACGTCTCCAGCGCCTTAGCACTATTGATTGTCCGCAATGCCAACCTGGCTTGTCCACGGTTTCCGATGGCCGCGTAGCTTAATCCGCGTTCACGTCATACTTGAGAACCTTGATGATGCCGCTCCAGGTTGGTTGATGGCACCTAGAACCACTGCCGCCCTGCTTGAGAACTTTCGAAATCTCCACCCCGAACAAATGCGGATGCTTCCCTCATTGCAATTCATCGAACAGTATGATCCCAATGATTGGTCGACAAGCGAGCAGCCGTATGCATACGTCTGTGACCAGGTCCATGAGATCAAACTCAGCGTGGATATCGACGACGTGCGCGGGAAAGGAGTTTCTAGCGGTGCTTGGGCTGCACTCGCTGATCTGCGAGACAAAGTCGCAGCGGGGGAGAAGATCGGTTGGTTCATCGTGGTAAATGGCGATGTAGAACGAGGAGTACCTTCGAGCGACCCAGTAACTCGGCCGCCGAGTACAGCGCAGTCTGGCGCATTTGGACAGCACTTGTCGTTCACCCCTGGGCACGGTGTGCCTGCCGTCCCCGATATTCCCCATGGGGCACGTCGGGAGAGCAGCATTGATCCAGTGAGTTCCCTAGTCGGCAACATCTCACAGTGACTAACGGTATACCTCAGACGAAGCGAGACCAAAAAGGATTGAGGAAGTGGCTGAGTGTCAAGGTCCGAAAATCGAAAAGGTGAGTGCTCCATGCTTGGTGAGGAGAAAGTCTAACTTTATGTAATATAGCTCAAAGGATCTCAGGGCGACCGAGATCCGGACTGTTCCACTGACTCCACCACTACCCAATGGCCGACGGAACGGCTCGTTTAGTTTACCAAATAGACTCATACAGGCCGCAAGCGAGAACAAGGAGCACAGAAGTAGGGCATCGGTCCCGTCGAATGTTGCAAATTGATCCACCTCAATTTGCCTCAGCCCTTTGTTTCCCATGAACTCACTAGATGAGCGACTTACAGCACGACTTCGATCCCCTCCCTGAGCACGATTCCCAACGGCAGCAAAACATGGCGTACTTCTCTGCCCACCTCTTTAGCCGACCTTTTACAGGCAATCCCAGGTTCTCTTTGTCATGGAGCATCTTGGCAATCTTGACGTACCACTTATCCTGCATCTCGCTGACGGGCAGCTAGGCCTCGCCACTGACGCTGTTGATGAGGGATGCGACGATGGGCAGGACGCCTTCCCAGATATACTCGGCGGACTCGAAGGCGCCGTGCCCGGCTGTGTAGAAGGTGCCGATGACGCCGGCGCCGATGACGAGGCAAATGAGGACGCCTAGGCCTACGCCCGACTATCTTTACAGAGAAAGAATCTGAGCTTAGGGAAGAGGCTGATGGAGATGATGGAAGCGGCCGACTTGATTCACGAGTTTCGTGCTAATGGCATCGTCATGATGCGGTTGTAGGGTATATTTCGTGAAACGAGGGGAACGGAGAGGTCACGCTGGTTCGAGACTCGCCCGGAGGCAAATGAAGAAGACTGTATATGCTCTGTTACTGTTGCGGCGTTGGAGGGAGACTGGGGTCGAGTCGAGGATATGGCTTCAAAGATCCAATGTGCCGTCAAAGTCACTTACCAGGAACCACAAACACGTTCGGCATGATTGAGGATATTGGTATCCGATTGACAAGATATCATCGGGATGGTGATGAAAATATGATTACGACTAGGTGCAAGGACGATTTAATCAAATGGAACTATGAGGATTTCAGCTCGGGAACAGGTTACATGTGTACTACTTAGCGGTATTTCGAAGGGCAAATGAGGGATTCTATACTTGGCACAGTCCAACCGTGTTGTTATAGAACCCTAACGTAACAGGTAGTCCTGCATAATACCCACACGAAGAGATATATATAGCTACGCCACTCATCTAAGCCTTTACACATATTAGAGTCGTAATATTCTGTTTGACGTTATCCTATCATGCTTGCAATCTGCTACGAAAGCCTTGGATGTGAAGGAGACGTCACGTGGAAATGCAGCCTAGCGCGATGCTTATATAAGCGATGATCGATATCTGGTCGCCGCCATCACTTTCGAATGATCACTACAATTCTCTTTCTCAAAACTATTTCCCTCTTACCTCCTTGCCACAAACTATTACTCTTTAATATACACACCGTCCACTCCATCCGTCCAAGAATCGTAGCATATCCCTCGTAACTGAGCGCAACCGACACAATGAGCGGCAGACGGGACTTCCTGTCCATGCCCGCGCCCGAGAACTATGTTGCGGGTCTCGGGCGTGGCGCGACTGGCTTCACGACGCGCAGCGATCTTGGGCCTGCGCGGGAAGGTCCGTCGGAAGAGCAGATGAAGGAGATGCTGGCAAAGCGCGCAGCCCAACTTGGAAAAACAGCATCATCCGCATACGGCGCGGTGGAGAAGGAAGAAGATGAAGACGCGGACCGGTTTCAGGACCTCGATAATGAGGTTGGGCTGTTTTCCAGTGGGATGAACTATGACAAGGATGACGACGAGGCCGATCGCATCTATCAAGATGTAGATGAGAAGATGGACAAGCGGCGGCGAGCAAGAAGGTTAGTAAAACCCCCAATTTCCTTTTCTCCCCTCCCTGCCACTTTTCCTCGTCCTGCGTTCCATGTTCAATCCTCATCAACGTGTTCTTTTCGAACAGATACCGACCGTATTTTGCCGTATAGGGAAGCTCGAGAGAAGAAAGAACGCGAAGAGTACGAGAGGAACAATCCGAAGATTCAACAGCAATTCGCCGACCTAAAACGAGCGCTCGGTAGCGTAACCGAAGAAGAATGGGCGGCGTTACCTGAAGTCGGTGATATGACGGGCAAGGCGAAACGAGCGCGCGAAGCTAGGTTGAACAATGCGCGGTCATATGCTGTTCCCGACAGTGTCATATCAGCGGCCGCGCAACAGGGCCAGCTGGAGACGTCGATTCCGGCCGACTCCGGGGACGGGACAATGACGAACTTTGCCTCGATTGGAGCTGCGCAGAAATCCGCTCTGCAAGTACGTCTCGATTCCGCAGCCGCGAACAACTCGGGGACACAAACGAGCGTGGGAGGCACATCTACTTCGGTTGACCCGCGAGGGTATATAACAGCGCTGGAGAAGTCACAGGCAAATGGGATGGCGGCGCCGGTAGAAGATATAAACCGCGCTCGGGTGCTCCTGGAATCCGCCGTCAAGACGAATGTGCATAATGGCCCCGGTTACGTTGCCCTTTGCCGTCTTGAGGAGGTTGCGGGGAAAATTCACACAGCGAAAAAGGTCATTCAGAAGGGTTGTGAAATGTGTCCGCGATCTGTGGTCGTATGGGAGGAGGCTATTCGCATCAATCGCGACAACTTGCACAACGCCAAGGTCATTGCTGCCGCCGGCATCAAGCAGAATCCGAAGGCGATCAAGCTGTGGATAGCGGCCATCGATTTGGAGCAGACGGTTGCCGCGCGAAAGAAAGTCACGCGACAGGCTCTGGACCACAATCCGCAGTCCGTTGAGCTGTGGAAGATCCTGATCAACGATACGGAGGAGATTGAGAACGTGCGCATGCTTTTCGCAAAAGCGACTGAGACGGTGAAGCTTTCCGAAGAGCTGTGGATTTCGTATGCGCGTGTCAGTGAACCGGAGCATGCTCAGCAGATCCTTAATGCAGCGCGCAAGGCCATCCCTACCAGCTGGGCTATCTGGGTTCAAGCTTGTAGGCTGCAAGAGCAACTCGGCAAAGTGGAGCTCTGCGACAAGATCATGGAACGTGCGGTGAAGGCATTGATCAAGGAGAATGCCATGCCCAAGAGAGAAGAATGGATCACTCACGCTGAAGTCTGCGAGGAAGAGGGCGCCATTGTCACTGCTGGATCTATCATCAGAGCAACCGTCGGATGGGGCCTGGATGAGGATGATGAGCGGAGGGACACTTGGTTACAGGATGCGAAGGACAGCATGGCGAGGGGAAGATATGGAACGGCCAGAGCCATTCTCGGCTACGCAGTGAGCGTGTTCAGTCAAAGCACGACAGTTTGGCATGCTTTGGCCGATCTCGAGAAGCGGCACGGGACGACAGAAGTCCTACTGGAAACACTTGAACGAGCCGTCAACGCATGCCCCAATTCCGAATCGCTCTGGTTGCTCTATGCGCGCGAGATGTGGCAGGGTGGCCGACCCGAAGATGCACGGAAAGTCATCGCACGGTCCTTCCAGCAGCTACCCGGTAACGAGAACCTGTACACTCGAGCTGTCGACTTCGAAGTCGACGCCAACGAGTTCGACCAAGCTCGCAGATTCCTCAAGATTGCCCGCGAATCCGCAGCGACGGATCGCATCTTCATGAAGTCGGCGGTCCTGGAACGACAACTCGGCGAACTCGACACGGCGCTCGACCTTGTCAACCAGGGCCTCCAGACCTGGCCCGGCAGCTGGAAACTGCACGCCATCAAGGGCCAGCTGTACGAATCCATGGGGAAGCTGAAAGAAGCCCAAGAAGCCTTCGCCGTCGGCACCCGTGCGAACCCCAAAGCCCCCGTCCTCTTCGTCCTCCTGGCCCGCCTCCAGGAACGCACCGGAGCCATCGTGAAGGCGCGCTCGACCCTGGAGCGGGGAAGGCAGAACAACCCAAAGACGCCGCAATTGCTAGTCGAATCCGTCCGTCTTGAGCGCCGGGCCGGTAACATGAGCGCAGCGCAGAAACTCATGGCCCTCGCTTTGCAAGAGTGCCCGCACTCAGGCCTCCTCTGGGACGAGAAAATCATGCACCTCGAGTCCCGGACGCAGCGGAAACCGCGCGCCCTCGAAGCCATCAAGAAGGTTGAAAACGATCCCCAGTTGTTCGTCGTCGTGGCGCGGATTTTCTGGTCAGAGCGCCGGCTCGATAAGGCGGCCACCTGGTTCACCAAGGGGATTACGTTGGACCCCGATTATGGCGATGGATGGGTGTGGTATTACAAGTTTCTGGAGCAGCATGGGACGGAGGAGAAGAGGGCCGAGGTCGTGGAGAAGTGTGTCATGGCGGAGCCGAAGCATGGTGAAGTGTGGCAGAGTGTGGCCAAGGATCCCAAGTTTGCGAGGAAGGGGTTGGATGTGATTCTGAAGGAGGCGGCGAAGAGGGTGGAGTAAGATGGTCGGGAAAGGGGTCGGGAAAGGGGTCAGGAAAGGAGCTTGAGGCTGGGGATCTCGTCACGATCACCGCTGTTGCATGGAGTTACTATGTGCCGTAGTATATATGAAACTGTATATCATTGAGACCGACAGTCATGCATACGTAGGTCATGACAAAGCTCGGTACTGTCTAATTGTACAAGGCGAAAGAGTTCTCAACCGAACCCTCTATGTACACCCTCACCATTGTATGAATGAGTCGATAATAAATAGGAACAAGTCAGACGATGATCCGATCCGCGGGTATCACGACTCCCTGACTCCTGTAGCGCCATTCCCCTACTTCCTGTGCGTGATTTATCCAGATGAAACTCCGAAAAAGATATTCACCCGATGCAAGGCAAAAGAGAAAAAAACAATGATGGCGCAAATGGACCGTGCCGACGAAGCAAAGACGAGGATATTCCGACAACGCCTCTCATGGGCTGCGGATAACCAAACAGGAGATATCAAGAACACAAGAGAGCGAAGCGGCAAAGACCGGCCAGCCCTCCGACAACGACAAGTGGGATCGATTGATCCGTGCGGCGCGCAACGTGCCCTGGAACTGAACTTGACGTCCACTTCCTTGGTACGAACCGTGAATTGGCGTACACCCTGTGCTTCCAAACAGGCGTTATCAGGGTGTCGAAGCTGACGAGATTGGCCCAACACTCCTTAACACGGTAGAGCTTCCGATGATAGGCGAACGAGCATTCGCGCTGCTTCTGTTGCCGAACCCCGTGCGGAGCAAGGTCGCTGTCGAACGTACGGCAACCGGACTATCCTGCAGTCCGGATGAACGAAGATCGTTGCGCGGCTGGCGGATTTGGGTCAAGCTGATTGGGACGCGTCCGGAGCTGCTCTAGCGCCGACGGATAGCGTAGTATAATACCAGTCAAAGCTGGTCTTCTGAGGGAGACGTATCTGAACCAGTGAGAATCTCCTATGACCCCACTGCCAAATACGCATCAAGACGGGCATCCATAGCCCGTACATCTTGCTCCGTCGATCCGACCCAGGTCCAGTCGTCGTCCATGATGGGGATGGGATCACCCAATTCGACGTGATATCCAGTGTAATCCGCACCATTGTATGTATGCGCCTTGGAGGGGAGATCCGGCCCAGGGGTTGAGTTCCCATTGACCAGTTGACCTCTTGATATCTCTGGTATACCATTCGGGACGTTTGCGTTGGTGGAAAGACCATTGACAATCTTCTCCCTATCCTTTCTCCTCGGCGGACTGCTGACTCTCCGCTCGTTCTCCAGCTCCTCCACCCCAGGGGCGTCCAGATACTTTCCATTGAAGATGACTCCAGAGATAGCGGGTGCCTGGCCGAGAAAACCGTCTCCGAGGATCATGGCCATCTTCAGGTCCTCCATGCAGAGCGGCTTCCGCTTTCGCATTTCCTCTTGCTCCACGGGTAGTAGGCCAGCAGCAGTGCGGGCAATCTCTCCTTCTGCAACGAGTCGCTCCTCCTTGTCCACCCTGCGCCTGAACTCTGCTGTCTTGATATATCCAGGGCCATTGGATGAGACGCGCTGGAAGAGATTGGTAAGGGCCTCCTTTATGTATGTTTCGGTAGCGATATTCATGAATACGGGGCATTCGGAGGAGTGGCCTTGGGGCAGACCCTCTTCGTAACAGATAGGCAGCATACGCGCGCCGATGGTGGAAGGATCGGGGAACTCGTGCGTTTCAACGAAAAGAGGTAGTGTGTAACGTTTCCGAATCTCAAGCTCCCAGTCTGTTTGCGCATATCAGCTCTGATTAAGGGTGGTAAATGGGAAGGGCAAAACCTACTGGTCTTTTGAAATCCACCTGCGCTCGCACTCCCAGTATCCGGCGTGTGGATCTTCTTTGCCTCTCCTACAGCTAGCATTTCCTCATAGAAAGGATCATAAGCGTCGTCAGTGAGCATCTTCAGCCTCTTCCGTTCCCGCCGCGCGATGTGCATGACCTCCCTCTTCAGCCGCTTTTCCACCTCATCATCCTGACTTCCGCTTCCTTTACTGCCGGCACCAGCGGCTTTCCCAACAATCTTATCGTCGGCCCAGCTCGCGGTGCCTGGTTCTGGTGGATCGCGCATAGCATTGCCAATGATGGCAACAATGTACTGGTTGTGCGCATGCTCGAGCGCAGGGGTGGTTAGGATACGATCGAGACGGGCAGTTAATTCTTCCTGGTTGAGATTCCCGCTCAGAAACGCGTTGATCGTGGATTTATAGGTCGCGAAGTCGGCATCGCTTATGGCGCTCTTGATCGCATGGTACAACGGCTGGACGTCGATGCGGGGAGCAACAGTTCTCTTTTCGGCTTTCTGGAGGTTTGGCAGCGGAGGTAAGGTTTTCGAAGAGAGGGTAGGACTGGTATTCCCCATATCAATGTCATTGGGGCGGATCGTGGGGGTAGCCATATTGGCGGACTCGGTGAGGGCAGACTGCGAAGCGTCGCACGGTCGCGGAAAACGCCCTCTCAGCCTATGTAGCGCGTCTCTTGATGCGGGATGGATGCATTTGCTGTTCCAGGGGAATTGCGGAGTGATGAAGTGATGTCGGAACAAGCTCCGATGCTCTCAATCCCCTGTCACTGCCAAGGATTCATGATTGACGCATATAGATTCACGTGATGTGACCCTCAAGTGCTCAACGAAAGGCTCCATCATATCAATATATTGGATTCATTGGGATTACTTCGTTGGCGTTTTCGGTAAGAGAGAGTTGGAGAAACGTACGCTTGCAGAAATTGGCCCATTCCATCAAGAATTCGCTTTTCTCTAGATTCATAAAACGTTCGGCACCATCTATTCCCGCTATGCATTTCCACAGGGTTTCCTTTAATCACTACCAAAGACATCCCCCAACTCCAGCCTCCCCACACTCCACACCTCCCTCTCATCCTCCACCTCATCACTGCTCAATCCCAAACCGCCAGCACCGCCTTCGGCCTCTCTCCTCTCCCTCGCCTGTCCCGCCAACCTCAAGCTAACCCTCTTGAAATAATCTCCCATGCTCCTCTGCTGTCCCGGCGTCAATGACTTGCCAGACCCGGACATATACTTCTCAAACACAGCCCCCTCCTCGTCCACAACGGAGAAGAGCGCCAGGAATGCTGCTTCAGCAGCCAACTTGACAGGGATGACGGGATCCCGCACACAGCTGAAGATAACGGGCGCGAAGAGGGGAATGTGAGGGCGCACGAGGTCGTTATGTTGACGTGCTACGGTTCGCAAGACGACGAGGCTCAGGCGGCGGCTGTCGACTGGATGGCCAGGTTCTATGATAGGTGCCAGTGCTTCAAACAAAGGTTTTGTGTGTTCGAAGGTCTTGGTGGTGTGAGGACTGAGCAGGTATTTGCCTGCTGCAAGGACGGCGTTGTCAGAGATGACGGGTTGAGAGTGGGCAATGGCTTGGCAGATGATAGAGACTGTGTCGTCCGCGAAAGACGATGTAAGCGTGTCGGGGGAATCTAGGAGAATGGCATTGAGCGCTAGAATGGAAGATTTGCTGAAGTGGGTCGTAAGAACGCGGGACTTGATCAATCCAGTTGAAGTCTCCTGTGGAAGCTTGCCAATCAGGGCTCCGAGAAGGCGGGCGTGAGTGATAGACATGGCATCTTTAGATCGTTAGCTTGATGTGAAACATCAGGGGCACAAACATACCGTCTACTTGGTCGGCGTCGGTATCGATGAGGCCGAGAATGGCATTCCGGCTCGCCTCACTCATGTTCGTCCCCGCCTTACTCACCACTTCAAACAGGGCCTTCAACATGGCGTTCTTGACAGCTTGGTCACCAGTCTTGGAGCCACTGACCAGTTCTGCGATCAAGGGATCGACGCGGGGTGTCATCGTAATCAGAGTCCCGAGCGCTTTGGCGGCACGCGCTCTCAGAACTTCAGATGAGGTATCCGCAAGGGCCTTGGCAAATGTTCTCTGAAGTTGAGGAAGGAAGGGCTTGAGGAACGTCGGAATCTTCTCAAGCAAGTTGTTCAGTGTAAGTAAAATAGCAGCCTTGACTTCGACCGATCGCTCTCCCACCACACGGATAAGAGGACCTGTGATCTGAACAACGAACGGTTGCAAGCCTTTGTCGCTTGTGCGATCGATGATATCCGAGATGGCTAGTGCTGCCTGGGTTCTCTGCTCCACTGTGCCGTTCATGAGACCTTGCAGGAAGATCGGCAAGATTGCATTGATGCCCTTTGGCAAAGAGAAACCAGGGAGATTGGCGCCAGGCACTCCCACCTGGTTGAGTGCTTGACGGGTGGAGATGACCAGAGACTCCATCTCCTCCTTCTTCAGTCGCTTCGTAAGCGCACTGAGGGCCGTCCATGCAGCCTTGACAACCTCTTTGTCACTGTCATCAAAGGCCATGAGCAGCGTTTGAATAATATTTGGATAGTACCGAGAGAAGTCCACTTCAGTCTTCTCGAACCATGTCGCCAAGTGGTTATCAGCAGCAGCTCGTCTCCGCTCGTCGTTGTGCTTCACAAGAGCAAGCATGACGCTCATAGCAGTGTTCAGGCCATCGAACTCGTCGACCGACAGCAGGACGGTGTCAAACGCAGCCGAAAGCTCGGATCTGAGCTCGGCGTCCTTGCATGCGACAATGTTGTCCATGATTGTATTCAGCACATTTGGCAATCGCCGTGTCATGGCTCCGCTGGCAACTTCAGCCAACGAGGCAATGGCACGAGCATTGAAGGAAGACATGGGAGATTTGAGGAGAGTTGGCAATAGATTCGGCAGAATAATGTTAGATCGGGCATGGTCGGTGAGCAGGGTGAGTAGAGCGGCCAGAGCATTCTCGGCGTCTTCCTCGTTGCGGAGAAGATTGAGCAGATAAGGCAGCACATGCTCCACAGCCCTCTTACCCAGGATCTGCTGCAAAGCATCAAATGCTTCTGCGGCAGCTTCCCGGACGTCACTATTGGAATCAACAAGCGCTGTGCGCAACACTTGTACGAGTGTCTTTTCGTGCTCCTCGAGGACCTCTGGCGACGCCGATGCAATTAGTTCTCGCAAGGCAATGCAAATACCCTGCTTCGCGTCGGTATCAGGAGAGTGCAGGCCTTCTTCCAAAGTAGGAAGCAAGGTCGCCAATACACCGTCTCCAGCTTTTCGAATAAGCTCTCCGAGTGCGTTGCCCGCGATAACTTTCTGTTCCATATTGGAGCTGGCGAGGCGCCGTATGAGCAATTGCGTGAGCGTAGGGATAAGCTCGCGAAGGGTTCGGGGCGTCGCAACCAGTGCCTTCCAAACATTGACAGCAGCCGTACGAACAAGTCCAGAAGTGTCGCAGCGACAGATATAGAGCGCGGACAGAACCTTGTTCCGCTTCTCTTCGCCGAGTACTTCCAACAAAGACTGTCCCGCCTCCTTGGCACCCTCCTCGGCTTCCTCGGCCTCAGCTTTGGCACTGATGCCGGTTAGGTTGAAGAGCAGATCGCCAACCAATTCAACGGAGCTGAGACGAATACGGTGACTGTCATCAGCAAGGCCCCTCTCCAGTTCGGGTAGTAACAGGTCGATGGCTTTGCTGGCAAAGTTCTTCACCAGCAGTCGGCCTGCACGTAAAGCAGTCTCGCGAATCGACTCCACGTCGTCGGCCAGACCTCCCAGGATAGGCGGGATGATCTTGCTGAGGTAGTTGGCAAAGCTGTTACCGAAGCATGCGGGCAGATAGATGAAGAGAGACATGAAGCCTTCCCGTACAGAAGATTTGCTGCTGGAGACATTCTGTAAGATGCTGGGAAGAGTTTCCTCGAGACGACTCGTTCCAAGGCCGGCCAGGACTTCCGAGAGCGCCTGGGCGGATCCCAACCGGTCGCCAGCTCCAGTGTCTGACTTGAGGGTGGCCATGAGGCTGGGAATGAGATCCGGTAGGGCGTCTTCTCCAAGTTTCTCCACCAGGGAACCAAGAGCTTTAGCAGCGGTAGCACGTGTGGCGGGTACCGGATCAACGATCGCCACCCGCAGACCAGCCACCAAGATAGGCAGATGCGAAATGAGATCCTTCCGTTCTGTCAGGTGAGCTAAGCTTCCAATAATCTGAGCCGCCTTTCGCTTGGTAGCAGATCGGTCGGCCAGACCACGTTCTAGGATACGAACAACAAGTGCAAGAGATGGAGCGTCGAGATAATGAGCAAACTGTAGCTTGATCAAAGCGTCCAGTGCGGCATCAGTGTGCTTGGTGGGGTCACTGAGAGCTTTAAGAATGATGTTGACAACACTCTGGATCTCTGGGTTGCTGATGACTTCTCCGAACCGCTGTAAGGCGCGGTTTGCGGAAGCCCGGACTTCTTTGTGGCTGTCAGTTAGCACCGTTGTTAGGGGAGGAATAATCTCCGGCAGGCTTAAGGCAAGTTGATTCGGATCCAAATAAGCCATGGCACCTAGAGAATCGCAAGCACCCTTTTTGCTGCGCCACTGCTGGTCGTCCAGGCCTTCTAGAAGGGTCGGTAACACTTGTTTGACGCCGTACGAACTGAGAGTGGAGAAACACGTTTTCGCAGCATCCAGACATGCTTCTCTTACATCGTTGCTTGAGTCTCCGAAACCGGCTAATAGCTGGGGCACGAGCTGGATAGCATAAGGTTCGAACAAGCGGCCCAGAATGAGAGAGAGGAGCTCGTAGGCCAGAAAAGCGGCTTGCCGTTGGTTAGCATCTTTCTTATTTTCTGTTGCGCCCTGCAGGGTTGACAGGATGCGGTATTCACGGAGAACACCCAGGCCTTTCCCGCGGACAATCCCTGCTAGACCATAGGCCGCACCACGTCGGGGGGCATACTTTTTTGACTGAAGAAGCTGTTCCATCATCTGTTCAATGTACTTGTCAAGCTCCTGCTCAGATGTTCGTACAAGCGGTGGAAGACATTGTGCGACAGCATACTGGACAGTTTCAGATGGCGTGCTCAATGTGGCGAGGAGGCGTTGGACGACCTTGGGCACTCGTTCGTCTCCTGCTTTCAAATGGCGACCAAGTGCACCGTAAAGGACAATGACGGCCTCGTTGACCTGGTCATATTTCTCGGATTTTCGGTCGGGTCCTTCCAAAGCGTCTTCAAAGAGTTTCATAAGCGCCTCTACCTGGTTCTGGGCTTTTGTTGTGATGATGGCGGTGGCTGCTTCGATCATTTCGTCGCGAACGGTAGCAGTACGATCTCCAAGCGGTCCGTCGTAGACCAAAAAGTGCATGAAGTCAGCCAGTCCATCCTCTGGGAACACATGAGTCATCTCTTTGAACGCAAGCGCGATGCCGTCACGGGCTTCCCATGGATCTCTCAGGTCAACCTTCCGTGGCATCCCGTATTCATCTCGCTCCGGCGCCCTTGGTTTTGCCTTTTCCTTATAAGCGTCTTGCAAGGATTTCAATAACTCATTGAACGCTTCGGGAAAGGTAGCGATGATCTCTCCAAGGGATCGCGCGGCGGCTCTCCGCAATTGTTTGTCCAACGAGTCTAGATAGGGCGTAATTTGTCGCACAACCTCTGGCTGAAGCTCAAGCTCATTGTCTTCCCATATCGTGCGACCAAGCTCCGCATTTTCCGAAACATCATCGTGACAAGCCAGCCAAATCTCCTCGCTGAACTCCATGTCGTTCATATCTAGCTCGGCATCAATGGCCTGCAGGCATGTCGTTCGAACGGAGATCTCAGGAACAATGGTACCCTTCAAAAACGCAGCGAGCTCTGCGTCGGAGATGTTTGGGGCAAGTCCTCGTGCCAAGTCCATAAGACAATCTTTGATGAGTTTATAGTGTTGATTGTACCGTTGCAACGACGCAATCAGGATCTCAAGAAGCTCCTTGCGCGGGAGTCTTTCATCACCGCCTAGTGACCATTAGCTATGCGGGGAGTTCTCAATTGGTATACGTACAGGAATTGGTGTGAAAAGAGAGGTACTCAAGCGCCAGCACAAGCTGTTCGTCGGCTTCTTCCGGATCCGAGCGCCCGATGCCACCTTTCTCGAGGACAAGGAAGATGAGGGGGAAGCAGTATGCGAGAGACACTGTGTCTAACGGGCGCTGCTCACTCATGAAACGAAGCCTATAGAGTACGCGTGTCACCAAATCTGTGTACATTAGCTTCCGCAGGGTTCCGATAGCCTCAGTCAACTTACCTCCGAGGTTTTCTTGCTCGTACACCTTTGGAAGTTGGAGCGTCCCAATGGTTCTCAGGGTAGCAGCACCGATGAATGGCTTGAGCACACCAAGCCGATTGGAGATGCGCTGGGAGCACTTGATGAATGCAAGCGCAGGCAGATCTCCAAGAACGATACCAGCACCTGCACGTACTATTTGTATAAGGAGATTGGAGGCAGGGCCCATCCACTGCTCGGCTTCAGTAGGGGGTCCGGTGGCGAGGCTTTGTATTATCCCGACTCCCCGCTTCATCTTCTTCGCTATCTTCGAAACCTCATTCCTTATAACGGACTCCTTTGCCAGTTGCGCGTTGACCTTGGCTTGTTCTTCGGCAGTTAGCTTCTTGGTTTGTCCTTTCTTTTGCGCCAGTTGAGCGCGAAGTTCCTCTTCCCATTTCAAAGTGTCGTAATCCTTTGTGTTCTTGTCAATGGGGCCTGGTGCTTTTTTGGATAGCACGTCAATATATGCCGTCCCTTCTGGAGTACGATAGATGGCAGCTTCCGTAGGTCCAACAGAGTCAAGTTGACCAGGATCAAGGTCCTCGCCGAATTGGCGCACCACAGCAGGCAGAGCTACGTCAGGAGCCACGTACGCCAGATCCGTAAACGCTTTATAGGCAGCCTGATTTATGTCAGGGAAGGCAGAGTCCGCATTTTCCTAGGAATCGTTAGCTGAGCACTGAATTGGAAACGCAAATCTCCTACCTCAATAGTTTTATTGGCCAATGCGAGCAATTGGTCGAGGTTCTTTCGCGCAAGAGCTCCAGGATCCACGCCCATCCTAAGACAGAGATCGATCCATGAAGCTCGGGGTATCACTTCTGGCCGAGCGAGGACGAGAAGCTGAATGCATTGATGGTGCAGCTTATCCTCGGGGATGTTTGCCCCGTCCTTTGACAGCTGGTCCTGAGGTAGACAGAATGCATGCAAAACCATGGACAGCTCGGTGGCGCCTGTTTTGGCTGCTACCGCCGCGCTATCCTTCTCACCTTGCAGGCTCAATTTGTACCATGTCCAAAGGCCCTGGGTCATGATTTTGCTGACTTCAGCCGGTGATTGGAGATACAACTGCGTGAGGGCTTTCCTCGCGGCAGACTTTGCCTTCGACGAAGACGTTTCGGAAACAATGAAATAGATCATGGCCTGTGCCCACGCCTCTCTCGTCTCCTCTGGACTCGCATCTTCGTAGACCCATGGTGCGACGGCTATGAATGCGCGGAGAGCGATTTCTATATCCTCTACAGTGGACAGCTTGGTGTAGACACGCGGGTTTAAGAGAAAAGATGGCTTCGGCCGAATGGCAAGCGTTTGGCTAACAGCGTCCGTCTTCCTGTAGATGGCAGAGAGATTCGGCTCAACTGTCGTTCGGACTCTGGAGAGCAAGATAGCGGTGAGGAAATGGCCTACAGTCACCATCCCGCTTTGCATTGAAGGAATCGGGTTAGCAACTACGTCCTTCCACATCTCAACGAGCGTGGGCAAGGTTGCCTGGCAAAATGATTGGATATCAGACTGGGCATATTGATCCGAGGAGAGTTGCCACCACAGTTCTGCCGCACGAAGCGCCCAGAGCCGACGGATGGGTATCCTCTTATCTGCCATACCCTTACCGAACGCATCAGTCAACGCCTTCTCCAGCTGAACGCCGTTGGCGAGGCCGAATGCGAGATGCTTCGACAATGCGGAGACCTCTGCAATCGCTGCTGCCTCGTTGGGCTCCTTCAAAGCCACGGGTGCCAATGCTACGGGGATTTTCTGGGCCAGCTGCACGGAACTGCCTAATGATGCAAGCATCTGGGCGTGGAGCACCTTTTGATCGGCGGACGGAAGCTTTCCTTGCTTCAATGGACCTAGAATCTCGTCCGCCACCTTGTCAATGAGTGTATCATCATGAGATCGCGCGGCTAATGACTGAAAAGTGCGAAGCGCGCCTGCTCGTATCGTCGGATTGGTCGACTTGACGTTGGACAGGAGAGGTTTCAGCAGGTTATCATGCAAAATCGAGGATAGATCGAGAGATTGGTGAAGCGCCATAATCATAGGCGACACGACATCATTGAGGACTATCTCTGGAGATCGGAGGAGAGCCTTTTCGATTGGCGGGATCACCTCTTTCTTGAGCTCATCAACGGTGGGGAAGGCATCGAAGAAATCGTGGAGTCCGTTGGAAATGTGGCCGGGGAGCTGCGTTCTTGAACCGATGATTTCTCGTACATAGAAAGTGTAGTACTCTGCTTTCTGCTGCTCCAACATGGGTTTAACAGCGGACAGACGTGACGACACACCGGCAATGACCCCTAGCACAACTGCATTTCCAGCGGTGGGGGAGGAGCCCTTGGCCGTGAATGTTGTAACCAGTTTGGACAAGGCCTCCTGCCCAATCTCTTGCGATCCAAATAGTCTCCGGAAAGCCCTACGTGTGACAACCAAAGCGGAGTGTTGTATGCGAGCGGCACGACGGGAGTCGCCTGAAGCCATGCATGTCTCGAGAAGTTTTGCGTCTGCACTGGCTATCTCCAACCCCCACTTTGACCATTGTTCGGGCTCCTTGGCGGATTGTTGAAGCAGAACAGAGCACCAGTCGACCAAGACAAAGGCGTCGGCGGCGGAAATGTTCTTTCTCAAGGACTCCTTCTTCAAGAAGGCTGATATCGTTGGTATGGCGGCGGGGGCATAAGAGCCATTTGCCAAAACCTTCAGAATGTTTTCGACCGCTTGACGAGATGCACGATCTTGGTAGATTGCATATGTTTCGAAGAGCAGGTCGAGAAGAAAGGGAAGTTCGGACTGAGTGAAAGCTGCAGGTTCATGGCTATTAGACTCAATCTATGTTTCCAAGGCATGCGGGGGGCTCACTCTCGTGCTCGAACTGAAAGTGGAGGCTTGACAACTCCGATGTCCGACGTTTTGTAGAGCTGGTCACCAGCGCCCTACGCAATTCGGCGCGGTCCACTACATGGCCATTTGTCGACACATCAACCGCCATCATGTATGGTCCATATGGAGTGCGGAGAGGGTGCAGTCCGATTTCTCAAATTTGAGATAGATGCACGTCGTTTTCGGCGGAGGCAGCTTTTGCCGAGCGAATGCCAAGCCTTGGTGGTAGCTGTAACCAGGTCGATAGCCATACTTGTTTCTCTGCACCCGCCAGCTTCACGCGGTCTATCACAGTACTGTGTAAAAGAGCATCTCGCAGCTGGCCATTCCCTCATTCTTTGCAAGACCGCGGTCTTGAGCGCCTAGTTGAGTCCACCCATTCACCCCGCTGCTTCAATCACTCCCGGTGCACCTGTTTCCCGTATGGTGCGAACATCATCAACTTCCTCATGCGAAGCAGCAGAGTGACCACTACCGCGAACCTGGATCTCGTCAAAGACCAGGCCCCTTGGTTTTCTATACCCATACTGACCTGAAACCGCCCCTCACCCAGCTAATCCTTGGTCTCATGGCAAAGAAGAAGAAGCCAGCGGCCAATCCTTCTCGTGGATTCGCCACAACATCCATAGCGAGCAAACCAAAATATGACAAGCCGGCTGAACCTGACGTCAAGGCCTCCGAGAAGGATGTGCCAGCTCCCACTGTTTCAATTCCGGCTTCGGCGGCCGTAGCAGCCAACAAAGCCTCCACAGAGGTTCTGCAGCAGACTCCAGAAGAGCTGGAGGCCCAATTAGAACGGGACGAGCTTCAGCTACTCGTTGAAAAGCATGCAGCAAAGATTCGAAGAGATTCACGACGCCACGTTGCCAGGTTCGAGAGCGAGAAAAGGGTGTTGCGACCCCAAGCTCAACAAGTGACCCTCCATGAATGGCTGCCTGCCGAAGCACTGGACCGTTTGATCGAGCTGGCACACGCAGATTTGCATGACTCAAACTTGAGGCAAGGACAGCAATTTCTGCTGAGAGTCCTTTCCGAGGAAGATGCAATGGCGAAATTATGGGCTTTGGATGTCACGTTACGGGAGCTGGGCTTTTCCCAGGGGCAAATAGAGCCAGTCCTGCGGTGGCTATGTGCAAATGCCGCTGGTGTGGATGCTACAGCGCCCATCTGGGGATTCCAAGAGGCATTAGAATGGCTCGTCTTGACTGACCCCTCGAATAGCGTTCTCTCTTATGAAGAGCCTAGGCCTAGAGCGTTAGCCTCCTCACGTCTTTCACGCGTTGGGACGCATGATCCATCCGAGATGGACAAATCTAGCGAGACTCTACGAAAACCATCCTCAAGGGCTTCGCCTGCCGCCTCATCCCCAGCTGCGCCACAGGTTGCCCCGCCAGAGACCGGAGATATAGCCGTCAGTGATCTGGATAGTGATATTGAGCCGGACCAGATTGTACCGACGTATCTGAGAATCAAAGGCCGGCTCTTCGAGATCGATCCAGATGCTGTGGATTCTCCGTCTACAACGTCGCGGAAGAAAACCAAGGGACAGAATGCGATGAATACTAAGCAATCCCCCGCGGTACGGAAGCTCCTTGGTCAGCTCCAACAGCTTGAGTCGGATGCGCTGTTTGATCAAGATGAGGCGGAAGCGCTATGGCCGACTCGCCGCAATCAACTTGCACAGGCAAAAGCTGCAGAGAAAAGATTGCAAGCTGAGAAAGCAGCACCGACAGAAGCTGGAAGGGCATCTCCTACTTCCGGAGCCGACCAAGAAATCAAGGCTCAGTCTGCAGCTGCCGAGGAGTCCGACGATGAAGACAGTGGAATGCTCGGAGGCATGTTTACTGAAGTTGCCACTGATGCCGACAGGAGCATCACCAAGGGAGACGACACTGCCGAGGGCCTCACAGTACGGGATTTTGGTAAACAAAATGGATTGCCTCCGAGACGGGTTCTTGAAGAAGCTGTTCGATCGAGGCAAGTAACCCTTCTTCCTTGTGCTTCCTGCGTTCGATGGTCACCCCCATGAGCTTCTTCTCATATTGGGAGCGCTTTATAACGGCTTGATGATAGTCGCCCCACCGCATCTCCGGCAATGGCCTAACATGATCTTCGTCGATTGTTGTTCCCTTCCCCTGCTAACCCACCCTTCAGAGACCCTGGTGCTCGGCTGGCATACAAACTAGTGTCTCCTACTACGTATGCTTGCAGACATGCTCTTAGTGTCACTTGGTCCAAAGACCAGGATATCGACTATGAAGAAGCTATACCTGGAGTGTCTTTTGACATAGAAGGACTGCGGGTCAATTTCGTTGCAGCAACCATCGCAACTGTGTCTGTGGAGCAGAGCGAGGGCTTCATATCAACTGCAGCTCTTTTCTCCATATTCTCAGCGTCTGCAAAGGAAGAAAAGGTCCATCTACGTCTGCCATCGAACTGGAGAGATCTCTACCGAGATTATTTGGAGCGTCGAAAAGATCGGCTGGACGCGGAAGATCGTGAGACCATCAAACGGCTGCAGCACTTTATCCAGGAGCAGATCGAGAACGAAGAGTCGGATGGCGTGGTGCTCACCAGCCGATTCAAGTTACGCAATCAAGCAGCAGCCAATTCAAGCGCCTCAAATTCTGGCCGAAATACGCCTGTGCCATTGAATGAGGGCCTCGTCGATCTTTGGTGTCAGAAGGCATCGAGCGAGAGCTATCGGAAAATGCTGCCTGGCCGCATGACCCTCCCGGTTTATGGCTTTCGCTCAGCTATTCTCTCCACAATTGACAAACATCAGGTTACTATCATATGCGGCGAAACCGGTTGCGGAAAGAGTACCCAGATTCCCTCCTTTATACTCGAACACGAACTCTTACGGGGCAGGCGGTGCAAGATTTATTGTACGCAGCCGCGTCGTATCTCGGCAATCTCTCTTGCACAGCGTGTCAGTGAAGAACTTGGCGAGGGTATAAATGATCTTGGGACACCACGCTCACTCGTTGGATACGCCATACGCCTCGAGACTAAGGCGTCGGCGAGCACCAGGCTGATCTACGCCACCGTTGGTGTCGTGCTACGCATGCTTGAATCCTCTGGGCGATTGGAAGACATCACGCATCTTGTCATTGACGAAGTTCACGAACGGAGCATCGATACAGACTTCCTCCTTATCATTCTTCGCTCTCTCATGCTGGTACGACCTGAGTTGAAGGTAGTCCTCATGAGTGCAACAGTCGACGCCGACCGTTTCTCGAAATACCTCAACAATGCGCCAGTTCTCAGTGTGCCAGGTCGAACCTTCCCTGTCCAAATCAAATATCTCGAGGATGCAATTGAACTTACTCATTATCACGTTCCGTCAGGAGACAAATTCAATGACTCGGATACCAGTGGAAACGAGGACGAGCCTCAGAGAGAGAAGTCCGGGATTCCCGGCAAGCTGCCGGGGTACAGCCCTGCAACACTCGAAGTTTTATCCAGCTACGATGAATATGCCATTGACTACGACTTGATCATGCGCTTGATCGAGGTTGTTGCCTATGATCCGGGTCTCAGCGTCTACAGTAACGCTTTTCTCGTATTTCTACCTGGTATCGCGGAGATCCGCCAACTCAACGACATGCTGCTTGGGCATTCGTCATTCAACCGTAATTGGCTTGTATACCCGCTTCATTCTACAATATCAAGCGAGGATCAACAGGCGGCTTTCCATATCCCCCCACCAGGTATGAGGAAAATAGTGATAGCAACAAACATAGCGGAGACTGGCGTCACAATTCCTGACATCACCTGTGTGATTGACACTGGAAAGCGCAAGGAAATGCGCTTTGACGAGCGCCGTCAGCTCTCACGGCTGACTCAGTCATTCATCTCGCGAGCCAATGCCAAACAGCGGCGTGGTCGTGCAGGACGTGTGCAAGAGGGCCTCTGTTTTCACCTCTTTACCAAATATCGGCACGACAATTTGATGATGGACCAACAAACTCCTGAGATGCTGCGATTGTCACTTCAGGAGCTGGTTATGCGGACCAAGATTTGCAAGCTCGGGGACATCGAACAGACACTTTCAGAGGCTCTAGATCCGCCATCGTCAAAGAACATACGACGGGCCATTGATGCGCTGGTCGAAGTCGATGCGTTGACCTCCTCTGAAGAACTCACGCCCTTGGGACGCCAGATTGCAAAACTGCCCTTAGATGCACACCTCAGCAAGTTGGTCCTGCTATCAACTATGTTTGGTTGTGTTGACGCTGCTATCACCATCGCAGCTATCTTGTCCTCAAAGTCGCCGTTCCTGACCCCCTTCGCAGCGAAACAACGTGCAGATGCCGCACGCCTTTCCTTCAAGAAGGGCGATTCCGACCTCCTCACCGCTTACAACGCTTACAAATCATGGAAGACCGTGTGCACGACCGCTGGACGCTCGGAGGCTACCTTCTGCCACAAAAACTTCTTGAGCGCTCAGAACCTGGCGAACATTGAGGACCTCAAGGCTCAGCTTCTATCTTCGCTTGTGGATGCTGGCTTTGTGCAAATGGCGCCTGAGGAGAGAAGGGCGTTGATGCGCTACCGTGGTGCTGGACGTCACCGTATGTTTGTCGTCGTCCCGTCCCAATATGACGCCCACTCTGCCAATGATGTCCTCGTCAACTCGGTCATTGCTACAGCGCTATATCCTAAAATCCTCGCTCGCGAAGGGAAGGGATGGCGAAATATTTCCAATAATCAAACCGTCAGTTTGGCCCCGACGTCGGTAAACAAAGCCACCTCGATCAACCCATCGCCTCCGGCGAAATTCCTCTCCTACTACCACATCATGCAATCGGCCAGTAAATTCTACAATGCACACTCGACGTCCATCGTACACCCCTTGCCAATGATACTCCTGGTCGGAGGCGACATGGACTTCAAGCTCCACGCTGGTGTCATCGGCCTCCCAGGCAATGTTTTGAGGTTCGCCGTCAAGGATTTGCGGAGTATCGTTGCACTCAAGGCCCTCCGACGAAGGGTCAAGGATATCTTGGCCTTGGGTTGGAAGAATCCTGGCAGAGTCTTGTCGGGCAGGGAGAGCGAATGGTTGGCGCTATTTCTCCGGATCTTTGAGGAGAGGTTTGAGAAGGAAGAGAAATCTCGGGAACGGGCCGCTGGGAAGGGTAAGTAGAGTCCGGCGCATATATTTGAGATGGGCGATGTGTTTGGAAAAGGTGATGACGGTGAAAAAGTGTTCTGGGGCGTAAAATGGTGTTGGAGACTTGAGCACGACCAACTGTCAAATAGATTCTCGAAGGACGGGAGTTTTGTACATTTGGCGCATAAAAATGTACTCACAGATAACAACGATCTTCTCCACTGCAGTCGTTTCACGAGAAGCTACAGAAAGATGTGATGGAGGCCTGCACTCGCTGCAAGGCCTCCAGTTTCACACGAGTTCAAATGACGAGGGAGAGTGTCCGGCTTGTCACAAGCAAAATAAACCTAAGGACAGCATATTTACCACAAGAAGCTCTATAAATATACTAACCTTCACCTTTAACAAAACTACAGCGGTAGACCTTGAATGCAGCCAAATGCGCTTAGAAGCGGCGTTGCTCCCGGTCATACTTCCGCGACGTACCGCACTCACCCTTCCCATTCGGAACTAGCTTTCCGACCGGGCATTCCGATAGGCCAGTCGGCAATTCCTAAGCTAAGTGAGAGTCACGTCGAGGTCTAAGCAGCTCCTCCATTCAATGTTGCACACCGCGCCGTTTTACTCAGAAATCTTCAAAGATACCGCAACTGAAGCCTTGCAAGGTACGTACCAGTTATGTTTCCTTGCGGGGAACAAACATTCTGATTCGAGAAGCCGGGGAGAGGCGTGTAGGGCATTTAAGAAAGAGATATTTCTTTAGGACAAGGGTATATATCTGGTCGAGTATATATCGTGGAGAGGCGCTGGTGCGCTTGTTGTGCGTCTTTGTTGTGGTTGTTTGTATGAGGCTTGGAGAGCTTCTCTTGTTTCTCACATTATCTTTGAAGCTCGTGCTTTACGATATTGGTTTCATACGTCTAATCTGCCCTTTGTCAGTTCAGAATCCAGAGTACTAAACCTTCTCTAACGGCTTGTACAGGATACTTTGAGCCAACCACCATCCAACCGTCACGACTCCCCAATATCACGATGTCATCCTCCTCAACTACCCCTTCTGTCTCTCCCTCTCCCTCATCAACCCCCCTTTTTACACCCAAACCCCGCTCCAACCTCTTCGTCTCCCCGCTCCTCCCGCACGAAGCCCACCTCTACCAAGCCATCCGCCACGAAACCTTCCGCCCAACCATCAACAAGATCCTCTACTCGCGCGAACCCTCCCAAGCAACCCAAGACAAGATAATCCAAAAAATACGAGAGGACCTCGACAAAGGCGTCCTCTACATAGTCTGCCGAGACGCAGATAACAACGGCGAGATCATCGCAGGCGCACGATGGAGATACCTCGGTCCCAAGCAAGAAGACCCCGAACGCACCACAACCACCACAACCACAGACACCGAGAAGACCCAAACACTGGCTCCTGCACCAGGAAACAGGACGTGGGAAGAAGTAGAAGCCGACCTGACGATCCCGGACCCGTACCCGGAATCCCACCCCGCCGCCTTCCGCGCCCTCTGCGAAACCTTCAACGCCAACAAACGCGACATCCTCGGCACAAGGCCGTACTACGTTCTCGATACGCTGGTCACGCATCCGGATCACCACAGGCGCGGGGCGGGTGGCACGTTGGTGGCGTGGGGGTGCGAGCAGGCGGATAAGAAGGGGGTGGAGGCGTATCTGGAGGCGAGTCCGATGGGGAAGCCGCTGTATGAGCGATTTGGGTTTCGCGAGGTCAGGACTGTGTGTGTGGACTTGAGGGAGTTGGGGGCTGGGGATGAGAGGTTTGAGTTTATCGTGAGTGTGGCCCACTTTCTCTGTGTCTGCTGAAAAATCTTAGAAAAATGGTACATTGTTTTTTGCGTCAAGAGGGCATATGCTGACTTTGCGCGATAGCTTATGAGGAGGCCTCCAAAGGGAGAACGGCGGGAGTAATGAAGGACTTTGAGGATAGGAAGCAAGAGCGATAGACTCTTCCATCGCGGAAGTATTAGAAAGAAAGGCCTTAATCCTCAGCGTATTGTGGCATTTGATGCATCGCAGATAAAATAATATACAGAGGCGTCTTAATCGTACGTTATCTACACGGAATATGAAGTAACAGACAGGACTCTGTAACCCATCATCTCTGCTTCTTCGACCCCCTCGCACCTCTTGCACTCTTTGTCTTCCCCTTCGCACCAGCACCTCCTCCGCCGCCGCCACCACCCCCTCCACTGGCCCCAGCCATCATAATGCGGACCTTGCCCACAGGCAGGACGCCCACAACTTCAACCTCCTTCCAGCCTCGAATGAGATCGATCTCTTTAGGCCAGATTCGGTCAGTGTCAGTGCTGGACTTATCGGTCGCGCGAGGGTCTTTGCCGGCTGCATCCCAACGTGCTAGGATTTCCTTGACGGCTTTGCCTCGCTTCACCGAGCCTGGTTGCATCTTGACCTTGTACTTGTACGACGCGAGAGCGGACCATGGTGCGCATACGGGAATGGCAGCATGGATCTCATCACCCGGTAATGGTCGACCGGTAAAAGCATCCAGGTCGAGTAACTGAGCTTTCATATCGTCTTCGCCGTCATCTTGGCCTGCATTCCCTTCATGGGCGGCACGTCTTGCTTCCTCAGCGGCCTTGCCTGCAGCTTGAGCGCGGAGATGCTGTTCACGGCGTCGTTGCTTGTTCGCTTGTGCTTCTTCCTCCTTTGCGCGTCTGGCTTGAGCCTCCGCTTCGGCGGCCTTCTGGCCAGTCTGAGAACCAAGCAAGCGCATTGCCAGTTCGCGGTCCTCTTCGTCTTGGTTGGCATACTTTGCTGCTAGTTTCTTTGCTTTGCCACGTTTGCCGCGTGGCAGTGGCCCTCGTGTTTCCGTTTTTGATGTTTGGGTTAAGACTGAACCAGATCCCTTCTTTGGCGGCTGCACATCGGTGTTCTCTTCAGATACAGGTTCACTGTTTCCAACAGTGGCTTCTGGGTCACGGTCTCGTCCGGTTAAACTTGATTTCTGGTCCTTTCCTTTTCGCAGTAGCCGGCGCTCCTTTGCTGACAGGTATCGACCACCAGGCTTCGCACTGGTCGGGTCGGAAGTTGTGACTGATGCAGCGCCTTGTCCTCTGTCCTCATCAGATGGTATATCATCAGCATCAGCGGCTCCCTGCTCTGGTTCATGCTCTGCCTCCTCAATATCATGTCGTGCATCTGCAAAATCCACAGCTTGCAGAGGATTGCCGTGCTTGGCATTTTCATAATCGTTATCACTCTCGTCTGACTCCTCGTCAGCATTTGCATTAGGCGGCACATCCTGCGATCCTCTGTTGAGGTTCTCCTGCTCGTCAGCACCGCCGCCATTTTTGTCTTCTTGCAGAGCAGATGGAGAGTCATCCTCACTCTCCGGAGGTTCGTTAGCGTCTCCCTCAACGACTAGGTCTTCTTCTTGCGCGGTCGAAGGTTGTTGAGCGGGCGCTTCGACGACCCGATGCTTCTGATGCCGAGCCTTACTCTCCTCGCTGATTTCAAACATCACCGCAAGGCCAACAATAAGCTGTGCAGGCGGCAGGAACTCCTTCTTTCCCGTGATGTTGAATGATCCTGGTGCCAGATATTCTCCCGTATGTCCCGTTTTGCTGACTTGATCGCTGTGAACCCACCATGCAGACATGATAGCCTTCGAATCCCAAGCTTCTGAAGTGGAAATGGACAGGTTGCCTGCTTGAGATAGTGTTGATGGCGGTATAGGAGCATCTGGAGTGTGCGGTTTGTTTTTGATAATCATCGGAACCGCACCCTTCAGATCAGCATGAACAAAAATGTCGCCTTTCTTCAACCATCGCCGATAGAGTATTTCGTTCTGCTGTGCGTCCTTTCCTCCGAGAACCAAGTAACCATCTGACGAGATGAAGTAGATGAACTTCTCGAACCAATGTTGCTTTCTCACCGGCCTCAATACTTCTTTTTCTTGCTTCAACCCCTTCTTCAGATCTTCGGCGACCTTTCGCTCCTGGCCCTTCAGAGCCTTCTCGGAAGCCTGCAGTGTGCGCTCCTCCTTGCTCTTCGCTGACTTTTTCTGGTCGAAATATTCGCTTGAGTTGGCCCAGGCTGACAGACCGAGATCGATATCTATCGCCAATTTCTTGTCTGTCTTCGCTTGCGCAGCCTTTTCCCTTCTCTTGTTATTCTGATTGATCGCGTCTTCGTCGTCAGACTCCTCGCTGACAGAGCTGGTTTCGTATCCCTCATCATTCTCTTCAGGTTCGTCCTTTGACTCATCCAAGAGAAGCGTTATTGTATTCTCGTACAGCTTGAGCGGCAGTTGTATGAGTTGTGCAACTGGATTTCCCTGCTTCTGCTCCCGCTCAATCAAGCGAGCAATTTCCCCCCAGTCCATGCCTTGCCCAATGAGGCCGTTGACAGCTTCGATTGCTTCTGTAACACGATGAACATTGGCGAGAATAGCCTCCGCCTTGCGCACGTTCATTTCTTGCACTTGTTGAAGGCCACCAATCCGATTTTCGTGATCTTTCCGCGCTTGCTCCAGCTTCTTCTTCGCCAGCTGTTCGCGCTCAGTCAGTCTGGACTCTAGCTTCTGGCCCTCAATGGACGAGAAGAATTCGTCGACGGTCCTGTTGAAGCCATCGAATTCGAGAAAGGAGTAATCACTGTTCTCGAACTGTTGAGGGCGAAAAGGATGGAAATCATCGTACAGAAGGCCAGCCCTGCTGGAGGATTGGGTGTCGTCTTTGGACGCAGCCGGGTTTGGCTTCGCGAGTATATAGCCTTTGATTGGCTCGGATTCCGTTATGCGCTCAGCCAGTTGTCGTGCATTTCTTAAGGCGCCCAGCAGATCTTCCATGAGCTCTTCATTTCCCAGCACTTCAACAGGTTTTAGATTGGAGTCAAAGTTCGCAATATGCATCGCGTGGTCAACAAGCAGCGGTGGGCATTCTGTTATTGACACAGCGAGCGCCTTCCTCAGAGCATCTTTGTTGGCCTTCTTGGATTTCTTCCCCGATGACGCAGCATCCTGCTGCCTCTCGATCGCCTGTTGAAGCGCATCCCGAAGCCTCTCCTTGGTCAGATCTGGCACACCTCCGTAGTTCTGTCGTCGAGTCAGGTTATACTGCATCCCTACCCGTAACTTCTCTTCCTCTGCGCCAAATGCATCAACATTCCGCAACAAGGCCAGCACTTTCAAATCGGCATCGGTAAGAATTATGTTGCCTCCAGCATAGAACTCCAAGTATAGCCTATATAACCCCTCGGAAAACTGGAACTCTATTATGCGGTCGGTGCCGACTTGAGATACCGAGGTCACTCTTCTCGTCCTCAGGCATTTTCGTAGGCGGGCGACAAAGCCGGACGGTGTCGTTGCGGTAGTGCGCGCATAGTTGGTGAGGTGGCATCGGAAGCCGGATTCAATTATGAGCTGTTCGCGGTGGTCTGGTTCATGGAACTTGATCAGGAAAATACGCTGGACGCTGGTCAGAAAGAATCACAGTCAAAAGTTGGCGTGGGCGTACCGAAGAAAGATCGTAGATGTTTGTGACTCGTAGTCGTGTGAGAGTCTTGGATAGCTCGTGAGCAATGACCTGTCAAAGGATAAGTAACAGCTTATCCGAAGTTAGGAACGACGGACCTTGACATCCAAGGAAGAGAACCTCTGCTTCATGTTGTGGCTGGTTGAGTCAAGGTCGCGCGGTTGTGGCGGGGTATTCGTCCTTCTACTCTCAGAAATGACGTTCACGTTGCCAAGCCCTGACATGGGTTTCACTATCGCGGGTTTCCCACACCACCACCTCCCTGAGAGCTTACATAATGTGTGTCCACCAAAGTCATGTCGCCTATGATGATTGGAGCATGCTTCTGGACATGCTACGAGCTAACTTGAGCACGTAGGCGATGGAAAGGCAAAAGTTAACAACGCATTCCCTACTGGGTGCGAGGAGAGGGACCGGCAATCGTGCTCATGACTTGTAGGCTTCGGCTGTCTAAGGTATATCCACTGTCCACTTCCACAATGCCGAGGTCCAAGATGCATGCTGAAGTCACTTTACCCCAACTCCAAACGCCATAGAACGCTTTCAACAACAGGATCACAGCCCTTGGCGTATCCGCTCCGCCAAGTGCCTCTTTCCGAACTCCCACGCGTTCAGGAAGCCCTGTTCCGAAAGGTCGATGTTCTTCATGGAAGTCATGTCCTGCGCTGGCGGCCGGCTAACTCGCGAGGCAACAACGACAGGGTCCGTTTCCAGGATGATGCCGTCGTCAACGAGCTCGTCCACAGCAAGGGACTGATTGGGTCAGTGAATTCATTTTCGAGTTTCGACTCGGCGTACTCACCACAAGGTCGTAGTTCTCAATGACTGTGCGCTTGTCGACAGAGTTCCTTGAACATGTCAGTACAGGCCGTTCGAGCAGACAACGCAATAAGGGCTTACTTCAACAAGATGTTGAGGGAGTCCCGTAATGCCAGAACAACACTGTTATGTTCGTTAATCCCAAGGTATTCCAATCAACAAGGGTTCGTACCTGTATAGCAAGACTTCATTCTCTTCAGGACCGCCCACAACATAGAGCATAACGTCCGATTCCATCTTGAATACAATCACCTTCTGATCATACAGGATGATGTCCGTTGTTTGTTTTGCGGTTTTCTCTGTATCTCATGCTCAGCGTCCGTGTGCAGGCAAGCTAGCTTACAGGGCCTACCTAGCAGCCCCTTCTCGAATGCCTTTTGGTCCTTCACCGTTTTGTATGCTATCTGACCGGGGTACTCGCTGGGATTACCGGCAGGAGGGTGCGGATTCGAGTAGTACTTGGTAAGAATTCGCGATCCATCATCGATTGCTATGCATTGTTAGCACAACCCAAGAGCACATGTGTGAGAGACTGCACCAAGAATGAGGATCGCGGAGACGCTGAAAAGAGAGAGAGGTCGGGACATTGTCGCGGTCACAATTAGGGGAATTCGAGAACCGGAAACGAAGGCTGTACAGTTCGCAGCGTTCAGAAGAAACTCAGGTCTTGATAGCCGCTCCTGCGCGTCGCGGAACGGTAATGTGGAAGCTATGAGGGGCCCCGGGGATTGAGAGGTGTCCGCATCCGAAGCACACTGCAACCACCACCGACCAGGGTTGTGTCTTGGCGCGCTCCCAAAAAGTTCCAATCCATCTGGCAGACGCCAACAGAGTCAATTCTCCTACTTTTTCCTCTTAATAGGAAATGCCACTTATTTTGCGAGCGTCGCTCGCCTCTGTCGTTTGCCCGTCTGCGCCCTTTCTCGCTCCTCGTCTTCTTCGCAGACCGGCGCATCTTGCTGCCGCTCATCCTTTCGGCATCACCAGCTGGACATGTCTCCAGCGATCAGCCCTCACTACAAAGCGTGACAACAGGCCGCGCAGGGATCCAAAGAAGAGTCGGGACTCAAAGAAAGGTGGCAAGCCGCCTAACGAGACTCCATGGAGTGAAAAGCGAAGACTCGAGGACGAACAGTTCAGAGCACAGGTACCTATTCATCCTTCCTCGTGCAGTGCGATAGATGCTGACGTGCGATAGCTTGCTGCAATAGATGAGTTCATGCATGCTTGCAGCATTCGAGATGCCCGCACAGCCATGTATATGTACCCGGAGGTTCTCGACATCCCACTGTTGAGCCGCGAACACACCCGTCGCTTAGCGCAAGCACTGCACGCATTCGTCCGGATCGAGACCAAAGCGTTAGAGGAAAGGGTCCGCAAGGTCCGTCTCCTACTTCCTTTTCTCGAACGCTTCACGGCGGACATACGAGCGGGAAAATGGCCTCCTCATCCCGCTGCCTTCGTACACATTCTCGGACTATACAAGGAGGGAAAGTGCTATGAAGAAGGCCGTAAATTCTGGCTGTGGCTAGTAGAACAAGATGACACATATGTGGACCAGGCCGTCTATGGTGCCGCTATTGAGCTCCTAGCCTACCGCGGCAAGGACAGCCTGCATACGCTGGAAGAACTATATCACGATGCTCTGAAGCGCTTTCCTGGAACTTTCGCTGAATACCATCTCTCGCCAGAAGCCGTCGTGCCAGATCGTGCACAACCAACCAACATCCCAGGCATACCCATGGCCTTGCTACAAGGCATTCTGACAGTCCGCATTCTAAATCGGGATTGGAAGAACGCCTACCTAGCACTAGACACAGCACTTAGACTATATCCGACGGCCGTACCCCAACGTTTCTTCGAAGTCTTCATGAACGAACGACCCATGTCCGAAGCTTACACCATCTTTCTGTTGGCATGCCGTGCCGGCATCGTCTTCAAGCCCAGCCACCTCACCAGCCTCATCTCTACCAAGCTGCGACCAGCCATGCGCAAAGTCGCGACTCTTCACGAACGAGCGCTCCTAGTCCGTGGCTCTGCCAACGCAATCTACGCCTACCTAGAAGCAGGAGGCACTCTCGAAGCTTTCCACGTCTCCACTTTCCTCAGCACCTTCCATCACCTCCTACCCTTACAGCTGGGTGAAACCTACAGCCCCAAAGAGGAGAGAATCAGGAACTTAATAGTCGGGACTGCGCATAAAATAATCACCATGCTCATCCAATCTGGTCTGCCGCCCAGCCCTCAAGTATTCAGCGCTTTGATCAACCTAGCAGCTGAATTTCGAGTCCGGGAATTACTCGACCTCGCGTTAACCGATATGACGACGTCCGGTGCAGATATCAGGGAAGTGGAAAGGAGAGTCATCATCAAAGCTGCGGGACTTTTCAAAGACAAAGAATTGTTGGAGAAGTACTGGGCCCAGGTGTCTGCACGTGCGGAATCGGAAGGCAACCTGATCAGTCGGCTAGATTGGATAGCATTCGCGAAGGCATGTAGACAGGCGGGCTGCCCCGATCTTTTCCACAAAGAGCTTGACGGACTCCGACATGCTATTGATAGTGGGACCGAGGAGAATGCACTGAAGATTTTGAATAGGAAAGAACTCCCTCCAAAAGCGCAGCGGGACGGACCTGGAGACGAGAACAAGTTTGCGAGGGAATTTGAAGAGGTGGAGAGGATAATGAAGAACGTAGCTGCAGTGACTATGGCGGGCAGCCCTCTCGATCTCAAGAAAACGCCCTTTGATATGTTTTTGGATGTACACAGGGAGCCTATTGCTACAGAGGAGGACCTGCGGTCTGTATATGATGAGTTGACCACGGACCCACATCAGCCGGAACTTCCCAACCGGACCGCCAATGTTTCCGTCAGCCCTACCGGGATCCCACTAGAGGAATTGAGGTTTCAGAACTGGGTCACCATTGTAGAGTTGATGGCTGATGCGGAGGCGGAGGAGCGGTCGTTTCAAAAACAGGTGGATGAGGCGATGAGGAGAGGCGAGCCTCTGGATGCAGTGATGCGGCCGCTGACGTTCAGAAGGGGGAAGAAGGAGGTGGAAGAGATATGGGGGGTTGCACAGGGCCAGGAGTACCAGGAGGGGAGGATGCCGTCGCGGCTCAGACTCCTCAAGACTGTCATGAGATTGAGGGGACCCTATGTGGAGAGCCCTTACCAATCGGTAGCTTTCAGGAAAGTGGAGTTGGAAGAGCCACAAAAGGCAGTGAAACTGGACGAACGGGTGACTGAGACGATGAAGGAGGAGGGCGCAACGACGCTGGAGCCAGAGAAGAACGTTGAGCAAGGTGTTCCAGCCCGAGCGCTATTCCAGCCGACACCCTCGCTAAGGTTCTGGCTGATGATGAACGCCAAGGGGTAATGGCCCTTCACATGGGTATTCAATGTGTGTATCTTTGTATCGGAACTTGTATTCATAGAAAATCGGCGCAGTGTGGATCTTGGGGCCGATGAAATAAAAGGATACCACGGGTGTTTCTGCATGATTCAATGATATGTATTATATCTACTACCAATGAACCTCGCAGACTTACTGAGTCCTACGTAATATGATCGGTTTTCATCTCCCGTTGGTGTACAAGTGCTCCTTATATGCAAACCCAGCAGCCCAAGTGTAGGCTCAGTACAAAATAAGTGTCATTTACAGAAATCCCAGGTTGCCTGAACAACGAACTGGACACGTAAACCCGAATGAAGGCTCAGGCAAAGCTTACGGTTATATCAGATTCCGCGCTAATCGGCCCAAGATTTATCTAGATCTATCTCTGTATGAAGCTTGGGTCCGTTACCTGCGCTGTAGATAGTTTTGGAGCGCAGCAACGCCTAGCTGACATCCTCGTTTCAGGAGATTGACTACAGACCTGGAAGAACATAGGCCTTTGCCATCCGTGACTTTAATCTCCCAATATGTGCCCGCTCAAGTATCGAGGCCCCAGCCACTGAACCCCTAACAGTACTAAATTTGCACGGCAACGAGATCATTGCTACACCCCGGACTTTCGAAGTCCTGCATATGCGATGCGCACGCGAGGGCCGTTGAAGCCGTTGAAGCCGTCGAGAATGACGAGCTTATGCTATAATTATCATAAAGTTCGTCTATTTAATATGTATCGTCGTCAACCGGCGCCATTGCCGACGATGGGTCTCAGCGGGTTCACATCAGTTCGTCAATCTAACTTAATATTCGGCTCCCTGGTAGCATTATTCTAGAAGCTTTCTAGAAACAAGGGTCACGCAACATTATTGTTGAAATGCACTGCCGTTTATTGGGCTGAATTGATTATTATAATTCAGCCTTACGGTATTGGGGCGTCCTCATTCCGGCGGCGTTTCGAGAAAGGAGGGAGGTTGATGGATGTTCGGCAAAACGTTTGAGAGATATTCGTAACGGGAAGGTGCAGTGTTGGCTGATTGACCAATCGAAGTGCCTATGCGCGAGCGGGAGAGTGATCGGGATCCGTCTGCCCATGAACGCCATGACTGATCACGCTTCAGTGCTGCATTTTTGGTCAAAAGTCCGGCGTGTCATCACTTATGCTGAGACACTTTTAGCAGGATGGATGAATTGAGTTCGTCCTTTCATGACTGGGTTGCATGCTGTCATTCGACGAGAATTGCATCTGGAATTCCCATTTTGTATTCTTCGAGCAAGCGAGGAAAGAGTTCCAAAACCGTTTCACACTCCCACGTGTTATTATCCGTAAACCGGGGTCCGGTCAACGCCGGATCTGCTGGCCAAACACGCCACCGACAACATCGCTTCGAATCATATCGCCTTTCCAAAACACATGCTGAATGAATGTGATCTGAAAGGCCTAAATTGGCACGCCCTCATCCTGCACCAGCCCTGCCGTCCCAGATGCAAAGGCAAGACGGCGCTCCCGAGTGCCGGTGTGCGCTGCAGTTTGCGCCTGATTCACGACGCAAGAGCAATCATGATCCCAAACTTTGCATGATCAAGGATATGCATGCTTTCGCCATGCACGAAGCATGTGAGGCCTTGGCTCAAACGTCCAGGCAACCAACAACCCTCTCAATAAAGGCTGATATGGAAACTTTGTGGATGAACCATGCCATGTCCCCCAAGAAAAATTGAAGCTCTTAGGTAAGGGCTGGGGGTTGCGTCTTACTTCGTAGACTCCGGTCCTTTTTTTGGTTTGATTCATCCTGATTGTAAGCATATGCTTCGGTTCTTATCAGCCGTTGATCTACTCCGTAGACCACCCAGGTGGGGGTAACTTCGTACATCTCGTAGGCCACGGCAATGGTGGTGAGTCAGATCCGGTAGTCTATGCGAAGGGTGCGAATGGAACCTGAGAGTCCTTCGATGCGGGCTGACGAGAGATGTCGTAACGACGTCGCGCAGAGGATATGGCGTGCGCATGTTCTACTACCCTAGGGTACTCATGAACGGTCGGTCTATGTTTCGGTTTCTGGCTGCAGCGCGATGATGTCGCTGACGCAGATGCCGTGTCGGGAACGGAAGGGAAGCGGAACGGGACGATGGGAGTGAGTATCATCGGTGAGCTACTCTTAGGGTAAGGGAGCGGGCGTGCTGAACCGGCTTGCCGTCCCCGTATGAGGTGAGACGAGCCTGTGGGCCGAATAAACGTGTAAAAAAGGGCACATGTCGTTCGGAGCAATGATGTGCCGCGACGGAGGAAGCGGACGCTAGGTTCGGACAAATTTGTGGGAGCGAAACTGGTAGAAGGAACGGAGTTTTTCATGGCAGGGAAGAAAACTGTCAAGCGGTGGAGGGTAGAGATTTTGAATGAAGCTCTTGATTACCAAGCTACAAGCGCCTCCTGAGACAGGAAGAGGCTTGATATGGAGCAAACCTTAAGAGAGCGCGAGCAACGAGAGAGACCTAATCGAGAAGACATACTCGCGTTCAGCCAAATCTATCGAAAAAGGTATAAATAATGCACAAGAAGGTGATATCAGAACCCAACACCTAAGTTCAAAACAACAAAGGCCCATGCTGCGATCAACGCCACGCCGAACCAAGAGGTATCAAGGTGAGAAAGGGGAAACGCAGTTTAAAAACCAAGTGTGAATCAAACACAAACTCAAAGCTGCTGTGCGCCCGACCCGTCCTCTAGTAAGGCGTACCCGTGTGTATCGTTGTTTGTGTCCCATGGGATCCGATTCCAGACCAACGGATTCTGTGCGAGTGGCACACGTTGTGACGGACTGGCCGAACCGAACCGATGGAAAACCCGCTCGCTATGTAAATGCACAATCATGATAAGGGAAAGGCGAGGTCAAATGAAGTCAGACGCTGCGAGTCGAAGCGGGCAATGAGGTCTTCAGTTTGATTCGTTTCCAGACTGGCTTCCGTGCTCCGCTGGTGTGGAGGGGAAGGAGAAGTCGATGGGCGATGGCGGAGGTGCTGGCGTCTCGCGGATCTCATGGCTTAAACGGGAGGTGACGGACGAAGCCTTGAAAGCTGCACTGACGTCGTGGCCCAGTGTGGAGTTGGTGAGGATGGAGAGACGCTGGCGCGGGTCGGTCGAGGTCTGAACAGGCATGGTTGGTGCTGAGTTGAGGATAATAACTGAATGAAGTCCTTTGGAGGTCGGATTGACTGATTTGCAAATGCAGAGATCAGATATTGAACTCGGAGTGCTGGAGTTGAACACGAGTGATGATGGTGAGACGAGACTTTGATATGCGATCAGATCTGACTCCAAGTCTAAGTGAACACAAGCTCCGGCGAGGGCTTGGGGCTCAGCGAGATGGCTAAATACTCGTTTTCGGGGAGCGAACTCGTATTCTCGAGGTTGCAACGGACAGTGGCGGCGCAAAAGTGTGAGTTGTCGCGAACAACTAATAAATTCGCTGGCAAAATTGGAATGGCTGATTTCCAAGCTCCAGGGCAGCAGCGCGGGAGTGGCTGATACAGGTTACAGGATGCAGCGCGAAAAGTGCCTGGCCGAGAAGGTGAGTAAGACTTGATCAAATATTCGGAGTGGATGTGGATGAAGATGCGTTGGCATGATGGAGGAACGCGCTGCATTCGTCCAAGGGGCATACATACTATTTGAAGGCAGGCTGGGGACGGGAGCAAACACTTGTTGTTGTGCTGTCTGCGGTAGGGAGCAAGATAAAGAGGCGGTCTGGGTAGCACAGAGGCGTGGGAGTACGCAATAGGTGTCTGAGGTGAGGCGAGTTTTGGAAGAGGGCGTCAGTCGGGCTGGGTGAAAGGTACCTGTTATATACTCTGTACCTCTTGTCGAATCGCGACTCGCCGGCAGCATGATATGGACGGGGAGCAAACCCAGAAGGAGAGAAAAAGAAAGTCGTCCGGGGGGGAGGGCGTTGCCCATGGGGTGTGTGGGGTGTGCAAGTGCTCCTTGCTTTGGCAGGCCCCTACTCTGATCCCAATCCGGCCCGTGAGTGTCGTTGCTTGAAGCGCGATGAGACGGTTGTCACTTGTGCGCCCACGCCGCCTGCCGGACGGCTTTGTTAGGACAGCAGAAGCAAGCCAACGCATCACGCCCATGGCCCATACCATGGATGTTCCGTGGCTCCCCGACCAGTCGCAGGCGGGGAGCAACATCGCCATCCCTTGGTAAGCACCAGGCGAAGGCTGACCGCCTTATGCAACATGCTTCCCCACGTCCCACCAGCCCTGCCTCCGGGAGCGAGTCCCGGCGGAAGCCCGTTGCGGCCGACGCCTATCTACCGTCCTTTGTTGCTAGCCGCGTGGTGGATGACCGCAAATTCCCCTGGGTGACAACCGGCTCTCTGTCCATTCTGGAACGGCAACGCCAAGAGCTAGGATACGGTGAACATTCATCGTTCTGGACGTAACGACTCCATCCAAAAGTTGACTGCTGTTGCATACTGCCCGTCAATAACAATAACTGCCCCTTTTTCCTCGCTCTCATCGCACGCCGCATCGCACGCTTTGGTCACGGGCCTGTTTCTCCTCCGACTCGTCTCATCGTGCTGAGACGACTCGCCTTCGGTTGGCGTTCTGGAAGGACGCTCGAGCCTTCACGTCTGCCCTTCGCGGAACTCTGGGGAAATTCCCCGCGCGACTCATTCACACCACTCAGAGCTTCCGCCCGTCCCTCCGACCTTCCGAGCTATGATCATTTCGCTGTCTTGCATGGAAGCCGGCAGATGTCCGGTTGTCGCATGCAACATCACCGTGTAGAACAATCAACTTCTGGCAAAAAAGGGGTTGCAAGGAGCTATCAATGATGTCTGCACGAAAACTCCCACCACCCCCTCGCCTTTCTCCGCATAACTGCAATCCCCTATAGTTCCGGATATTTGGCCGCCCTCGAGGACTTCTCTGAAAATGCAAATGCTACTTGGGTAGCAACAATGGGCGCATGTTGATATTTGCCGCCACCAACCTCGGTTCCTGTCGTCGTGCAAAGGTTTCTAACCCTTGGGAAGTTACCTGAGCATTCACGAATCGGATCTGGTTTCAGCAATCGAGATGCCTCCTCTCCAGAGCGCCGTTTCTTGCCTGTCGCTCTCTAACTTTTCTGGGCTCCCGTCTGGGGTACATACCCACATTTCCCCGTCGCCTCCATCTGGGGCGCCGATCCTTCCCCTTGCATGGCGCCATCAAACATCTTGACACCCCAGCCTGGGCGGACAGAAAAAAAAACCTTGGACGAGCATGTCGTGCGACCTTTGACGCTCGCGGCTCCCTCCCGACCACTGGACAAAAAGATGCCAGAATGTGTGGAGTTTGGTCAGCTCTGCCGCGGCCGACTGCGTCCCATTGCGACCGTGTCCAAGTATGGAATGATATTCCCTTGCTGGACCTGTCTGTCTACATGAGTTTTCTCACCGCTAATGTGATGCAACACCTACACAGTACATTTTCGTGCAGGACCACTTCCACGTATCGTGCGCTCGCCGCGGGATGTCACATAGCCTACAGAAACTGCGAGGGAGTGGCAGATTTCAATGGAGTGCAAGACCCATTCTCGCGATAGCGGCGTTGCTGCTGCGGCGGCGTGTTCACCGATCATTCAAAAGTGCAATATTGGCTTCGCATATGTGACCTTTTGTAGCCCACCATTTCCCTGCAATGGGATGTTGGCTTCATTCCAGTCGGGTTGAGCCTTTGTGCTTGCAGGTGTATCAATGTGGCTGACTTATCCGACCATGACAGCAAGCTGCTTGAGTAGCAACTTTGTTCTACCTCTTCCTTGGAAGCACACCGCTTGATCCTGGGAAATTACGGATACCAGCGCAAATCCAAGTCCAAACAAGATATTCAGAATGTCATTGTTAAGGTCGTGGGACTGAAAAATGTTGTTCCCGTCCTTTTCTGCATCTCAAACCATATCTCAGAGCCACTCTCTTTATACTTTCTCTTTGAAAGGCAGCCTAATGCAGGAACGATATACTTGCATTATGCTCGTCGGGGAACGTCTTTTTCATGGATTCGCGAGCACACCTTTCGAGGTCAAGATGAGATCTAACAAAACGGGCACCGTGTAAAGGCATTGCTAAAGTCTGTGGAGATAGAACCTCCCTGCTGCGTTAAGGCTAGCAACAATCTTGACATGGAGAGAGCTTCGGCGACGATTATTACTGCACCGCAGCTATAAGTATACCCGGAACCTGTAAGTCACGTCCTTATCCGCCATGAACGTCGACACCAACACCAACAACTCCATGTTCTTCTGACAACAACACCATGATTCACCTCCTAACCACCCGCCTTAACACCCCTTACGACCCCGCGCGCGTCAACCCAAACTTACTCAACCGCACCCTGGGCAACACGCCCGCCAACACAAGCACACTCGCCACAATCACCGCCCAATGCTGAATCCCCGCCACTTTACCCCCATACTCTGTCCAGCTGGCTGCACACACCGTCGCGAGGCCCAACGTCGCAATTACGTATCCCGCCAACCTGTGATACTTGTATACCCTCTTAGCGCGCTCCTCGCCCCCATACAGATTGGGCGTGAAGTATTGCGTGAACCCCACAAGTGCTTGAATGAGAACGAGAATGTAGAAGGTCAGGCCAAGGATGGCGTGGGGGGAGGCGAAGTGGCCGTGTGGGGAGTCGCGTTTGCTGATCTCAATGATGACAAGGCCCGAGAGGAGGGAGGAGAGTGCGACCAAGTGGAGGGAGGCGTGGATGAGGGTACCAGTGCGTTTCTGCTCGGGAGTGTGGGTTGGCTGGAGGATGAGGGCGGCTTGAATTATGAGCAAAAGGCCTGCGGAGTTAAGGAGCTGAGGGGTTGTCAGTGGGGGGAGTAGTGAGAGACGGGGAAGTGGACGAACTGGGTGGGGAGAGAAGATGATGAGTTTTTGGGAGAGGATGGCACCCCAGACTATGGCTGCGAGCTGGATCGTGTTAGCAGAGGATATGTAAAGGGTGGATGGAGGGATTGTCTTACGATCCAGATGCCTGCCTGAGCGATAGGTGCAGTGCCTGGAATTGGCCCTTGATGTTAGCCGCAGGATAACGGATTCCGAGGCCTTCAAGTCCTATGATGGCACTCACCTATCCAGAGATTCAAAAGAATGTTCCCCCCCTCCGTCTGGCTCGCATCGCCTCTCCTTCCCAGCAGCGGTTCCTCCTCACTGACACCCCGCGCCGCATATACATTCTCCGGAATCCCAGTGGCGGAAGCCATAGTTTTCTGTGCACTCTTTTCAAGCTTCAAAGAAACACAAGAATACTGAAAGGAGAACAAGAGAACCAGGAAGCACGTATAGCGATCAGCGTGGAGGTGGCGAAGCGGAGGTGTCGCGGAGCTCGAAAGCTGGGGCTTGTATGACGTAAGAACCCCTGTTCATCTGGGGCCAATGAGATTGGGGGTGAATGTACTTTATGGAGTACAATTCCGCATCTAGCTTATTGACCAAGATCATTCCCATAAACCACCCCGGCGCTTGCATCAGAACTAAACAAAAAAAGCGACAATGACCTATGAGCTGCGCACAAATGCCTGAACAGCGAGGTTGTCCCAATGAAAGAGAATGTTTCGATTCCACGCTATGGCACTGCACAACCCGCACGGCGAATCAAACAAATCAAATGGTATTTAGGTATAACAGTAATAGCACTAATACTGCACTCTCCAGGCCATCCGGCACACTCTATCGACAAGACTGGCCTAACCAACCATAATACTACTCATCTTCCCAAAATGATCCCACCCAACAAAGTCATATCCAAGCAACACTCCTATACTCTTCCTACGCCCTACTGGTCAATTATGTTCACCCTGGGATTGAACCGCTCTCATCCCCCTTCCAGACCCCGTCATACTTCCCACTGACAATCTTCTTCACAGTGGGTACTCTCTTGGACTGCGGTTGCCCATTCTGAGTCCCAGTATCCTTCTCTTCCTCCTTTTTCTCCTCGCCCTCAGCATCCTCGTCCGCAAACGGATCCTTCTCAATATCCTCCTCAGCCTTCGCCCTCTCCTTTCCCTTCACATCTTCCTGGCTCACCCCCAACCCACTCCCCAAGCTCAACGCCTGGGCGCCACTAATCTCCCACCTCGCCTCGGCATTCCCTGGTTTAGCTTCGCCTTCTGTGAAGAACCGCGCGCGCATCACCTGCGCAGGCTGATCCTTCGTGAACGTCACATCCCCGAGGCGCCAATAAATGAAACCCTTTTCTCTGAAGAAAGTACCAGTGGGTTTGGATAGACAGGAGGCAGCTTTGACGCCCGGTTCTAACCTGAGGACGAGGACGAGATTGCGCAGGGTAATCGATGATGCGGCGCCGAGGTTGAATTCTGGGTTAAGAGAGTAATGCAGTATCGCTGACGTTTGTGTCGGCTCCACCTTCCAGGCTGGCGAAAGGATGAGCGGCGCAAAGGTAGCGAGGTTATCAGCGTCGAGATGTAGTTGGTATTTGAACGCTACGGATGTCTTGAGGATTTTAGAGAGATCGACAGTGTAATCTCCGGGGCTATCTGGGACTTGCTCAATGAATACAGGGTTCGTTGCAACTTTCTCCAGTACCGAAAAGTTGTCTAGATGAATGTTTTCGGTGCCGAAGGGGCCGGCCGAAATGTCAACGGGATTGTAGGCGAGCGCAACCTCGCCGATGACCCTGGCTTTGGCAACATTGCCTTGCTCAAACGTGGTGCTGACTGCTTCCACGATGGAGGCGTTGAGTCCGGGTTCGTGGAGGTCGGCGTGCTTGATTGTAGTGCTTGCTGCGCTGCTTAGCGATCTCCCAGACATGATGGATTGTGTGTCAGACGAAGGATGATCGTGGGAAAGGAGTGTTCTGTGTGGCAATGTGAAGGGAGGTGATGCAGGCTGAGCAGGAAGCGTAGGTGCCGGAAAGCTACTGCCACCGATACCAGAGCCTGCAGAGGCAGGGAGGCGTGGGACAGTTTCTCCTATGCTTGTTAGTTCTGGTGTAGCAGGGTTCGGCACGAATATCGTGTTCCGGACGTCTCGTCTACCTCGAAGAGTACTAGAGCGTCGAGGTTGAGCTGCTTGCTTCACGCATATCAGCAGCCGTTAGAGGCGAAGGCAATATCTCAACATACTGCTCTCAATGTGTTAGCCATGCTAACCAGAGCGGCGTCCGCATCGTCTTCTTCCTCTTGAATGGGTGCGTTTCTAATGTCTAGCTTGAACTGAGGAGGAGGGTTGCTCTCGCTCGTTTCACTACATTTGTTAATGCAAACCTGGCTTTCGTGATTGGAACGTGGTCTTACATGGCAGCTTCTCGTTCCGCCTGTGTTATGGCGTCAGTGGTCGATGGAGGGAGTGAGAAGCCTTCTGAATCCTTCTTCGGCTGCTGGATCATCAGTTTCCAAGCAAAGAACGACCGATAAAGTATGTTACCTCTCCCTTCGGTTCTAACGGCGGCTGCGATGATATCGGCTCTGCGAGGTCTGGTACGCCCTCCGTAGCTGCACCCACGCTGGCGGCACTTTCTTTGGGCGTATCCGGCCGCCTAACACCGTTAGTTCTCTCGCTGCCCGACTGTCGAGTTTGTTGCGGAGATCCTGATACGTCCGAATCTCGCGGGGTGGAGAGTCTCCTGAGGGGGGAGACAGGGCGCCCAGACGAACTAGGAATATCTCTATCTTTTGATTTGCCTTTGCCAAACGCGCCGAACGCTGAACCCAAGTTAGTGGATGATTTACGCTCTGGTGAGGATGCTCGGCCGTAAGGATGATGGCTCTGCCTTCTACGGCCCAGCACCGTACCAAAGCGCTTTAAGCTTAAACCACCGTGTTTGACCTCATGAACTATGTTTGTCAGCATGTCAAGGATTACGGACTCTTGTATGAACATACCCGATCCGCTTTTTGTGCTATGATCATCGTCTGCCAGGGCCGTTGAGCCTGAAGACGGTGGTGCGAGGTGTCGGGATGGCGATCCAACAGCACTGGGTTTTCTCCCTCCATTCTGCGTTCGTGAAACAAAAGTTGCGATTTCCTGAGGGATTTCAATGTTGAGGATAGTGTCCACGGTCTCCTGGACGGTGGTACGATTTCGGTCAAGCAGGTCCGCCTCGTGTGTTTGAAACTGGGTCAAAATACTACGCAAAAGGTTGCATCTACTCTCGTCGACGGCCTGTAGCTTCTCAAAGACGAATGGCGCCTGTGACTCCCACTGGGATGTAGCATTCTCGACATCGGCCACGGCATTGGCGACCTTGCTCGCTTGCGCCTTTGCACCCTTGTCTCTCAGCTTGTCTGACTTCTTTTTCGCCGTCTCGATTTCCTTCGCCATGGCGGATAGGTTGCCGGTGATGGTGGACATAGCGTGGACCTCACGGTCGGTCGCAGAAAACTCTCGAAGGGGACGTTCGACATCTGCTTCGACATTGTACGCGAATTGTTGGTGCGACTTTGCAAAGGACTCGGTTGCGCCGACAATCTTCTGCCACGGCGTGGAAAAGATGCTGCCGCAGTCAGCGGAGACGGCTCAACCCACATGGTTGAGGAGCTATACCCAAGATCTGCCAATTCTTCGGGGAGACGCCTGTTCGCCAACTTCTGCAGTCCCTGGACGTAGAGATCCTCGACCCGACGGCGTTCCTGTCTTCTCATAAGCTCCCGCTCCCTTGCTGCTGTCCGGGTCAGGGCCAGCCACGGACCTGTAACCAATCCGCAATGCTTGTGTTGAGTAGGTTGATGTGTCGCATTCGGTCATTGAGCACGTTTACGGCTTGCGCGGGGGGTAGATGTTCCTGCGGAGCCTGTGTCAGTAGGAAGCCATTAATAGCAAGCTGTCAACACACCAGCAAGGCCGGATACTCGTTGCGCTGGAGCTCCATTGTGCAGCAGATGGTAAGGATATAGGAAGCTTGGAAAGACTAAAGGGGCGCGCGGCCACAAGCGAATGTGGTGCTGATTACATAGAAAGTACGGAGGGGTTGTGGGTGTTCGAAACGCAGCAGAGAGGTGTCGCGACGTTGACTTCGCTGTCACCTGTCAACCTGGTTCATGCCGCTTTGGGTATGGCTGGAAACGGAGCTTTCGAGCGCCCGCGGACGGCTTCCACCTTCGACTTTGACGTAACAGATCGGACCCTGGACTACACAGGACACGCGTTGTTTTCAGAACGACCAGGACCAATCTCCTGAGCCAATATCATACTGTGTACTTGTAGAGAACGGATGGGGGTCCTATCCAGTTACCTACTCTGGCTCCCATCTTCCTCTGGTATCCCGCCCATCATGCTGGTTGTGCGCCGGAGTGCTTGACATATTTGGTCACAGTGAATTGGCGAAATGCCTTGAGCACCTCTGTTTGAGACCCTCAAGTAGACTGCGAATTCTCGCCTGGGAGGATGACAATCCTCTCCACTGCTCTCCCATTCACTCAGCCATCATCACCACTCGCGCGTATCAGGCCAATACCTAGGTATGCCGGCAACCACGTGGCAGTTGGATCTAGCCTTCTCCAGCCGACTCGAGCAAGTCACGAAACTGTGAGTCAACTGTTCTTATAACTGTCGCAAAGCAATTCACACCATTGTGTTGGACGCCATTCCGCCTGACGCGTATACAGAGCATCTGCTGCGGAAACATGCTCCCGTCTGACAACCAAAGCGGATGCTAGGCGGGAGGCGACTATCATTGAGACGGAAATCTTCAATTGTGCATGCTCAATTGTACGTACCAACTTTCGTTGGCCTGAGACACTTGGCTAATGCACGGGTCAGGAAGATTACCATCGTCGATGCGCCGATAGGGTAGAGTTGTTGCAAAGAGCATCCAAGCGACTCCCAGTCGAGGTATGGATCGATTGTGTAGGGAAGCTACCCAGAACTAACCTTGGTAGCGGGACGGAGAGCCAAAGCCAGAGCACGAGCCAGAGTCAGAGCCAACGCCAGTCGCGGCTGGAATTGATATTGGCCCGTACAAGAAAGCCGTTTATCATAGAGAGGGGCTGTTTTCTGTTGTCTACAAAGCCTCGCCGCCTCCTGACAAGAAATTCCTTGCTCCCCAGGGCTTCCCAGAGGTTGGGAATATCAAACTTGTCGCATTGAAGCTCACGAACCCCTCCACAATGCACCCTCCCCATGACTGCTTTCGGGAGGCCAAAATCTTGAAACTGGCTCAATCGGCCCGCGTAATCCCTTTACTGGAGACCTTCCGTGAAGCTTCCCACTTCGTCATTGTGTTTCCTTTTATGCCTTTCGAGTTCGGCCAACTATTGAAGCAAGACAGACTCTCCCGTGTTCGGATACGGGACTGTCTCAGGGACCTGTTCACGGCGCTCAACTTCGTGCATGCCCAAGGCATTATTCATAGGGACGTTAAGCCGTCTAATATACTGCTCAAGAGTGCAGAGGGCCCCGCGTACTTGACGGATTTTGGCATTTCTTGGAGTCCGGCTGCTCCCGGTTCAGAGGCTGCCGGCTCTCTGATCACGGATGTTGGCACCACTTGTTACCGTCCTCCAGAGCTGCTATTCGGCGACAAAACCTATGGCTGGCCCCTTGACGCTTGGGCAGCTGGCTGCGTCGCCGCAGAGGCATTGGTCCCGGGTCACCCGACTCTGTTCGATTCCGGCGAACTCGGTAGCGATCTGGCTCTCATACACAGTATCTTTAGCAAGATGGGGACCCCGACATTGGACGAATGGCCTGTAAGTTGATGAGGCCCATATATTACGTGCGTTCGGACGCTGACATGCTGCAGTCCGCTGCCCGATGTCCAGATTGGGGCAAAATGGTGTTCAAGGAATATGGCAAGCAGCATTCGTCTGAGCTGATGCCCAACTGCAGTTTAGTTGAACGAGATTTCGTCTTCAACCTCGTGCGATATGAGCCTGGAGATCGCATGTCCGCTTCCAAGGTAAGAATATACCAGGATATGATCCAGAGGAGGATCTGACTAACCCGGAGCGACAGGCACTTGAACACGAGTATTTCACAGCGCCGTTCGCTTGAGCCATATCAGCTGTGCAATTGATACCCGATCCCTCCAGGAGGGTAAAGTGATTCGTTGGGTGGCTTTCATTCTCGGTAGCCTGCAAGAGCATCCAAGACGCAAGATCCGTATGAACATCCTGCAGCCAACATAGAAAGACGAATATCTAGCAACACAAGCGTACCGAAATTGTAGATCCGGGGGCCCTAGCATGAAAGTACAATACTTACATGTCTTTCATTTTCGGAGCCACTCTTAATTTATATCGTCTACACTACGCTCCCAATTCTTCTGCACTTTATGCAATAAAGAGTTTTGGGCAGCATCCTCGGGACGGCGAAAATATGAGGTACGAAGGGACTGGCTGAGGTTGTAATGCGCGTTCACCATGTTTGCAGTTGTCGCGGGGTTTCCAGCACATTCAGGTATACTGTGTTGTGGTGTAGTTACACTGTGTAGCTATCCTGTATAGTCTACACCTGAATACACACTTGATGTGGAGCACGGAGTGGATGGCGGGGCTGGGCCCGAGCGTTGGCGAGTAAATTGCCCAGCTAGGAAAGGCGCGCTGCAGGACGTCCGCAGGTCGACCAGGGTCCGATCATGTCGACGAAGGGCAAATACACAACAATTCCCACGTCACCCTTGTGTACCGCTGCCGCTTCAGCTTCCCAAGGACGTCCTACACCCAACGCACTCCATGTTTACCAGCCTGTAGCCCAGAGAGCGCTGGCCGTCCTAGTCTCCTCCGTCTCCGCCTACGGCCCAAACTTGAGCGCCGCACAATTAACACCATCCCACTTCCGAGGTCAACGTCCCACTCCAGGCCAACCCCATGGCCTTCCTCTTCCGGAACAAAGCAAAGAGCAATGCGGAGCTCGTCAAGTCGACCAAGGAGCTCGTGCTCAAGCTGAGCGAGGATCAGAAGCTGAATCCTAAGGTCGTGGCTGCATCAGTCCACTCCTTCGCACCGCCCGAGCTGACCACTGGCAGATAGAAGAGGAATTGGCCAAGAACCTGCACCAGATGAAGACAATCCTCCAGGGCACGACCGGTATGCAGTCTCACATTAATAGCCGCTTTGCCATGATTAGTATTAGTTTGTTTGTTTTCCACATGAAGCCCGGCACGATACTAACAGGTGGCAGAGATAGAAGTCAGTCCCGAATCCGTGCACCAGCTGCTCGCCATCATCGTGCAGGAAGACCTTCTGTACCTGCTCGCCAACAATATACACAAGTTACTCTTTGAATCCCGCAAAGACGCTCAGGTGATCTTTTCAACCGCCTTCCGATATAAGGCCCCAGGTGCCACAGAGCCGCAGGTCCTGCACCATGTCATACAATACCGGCCGGAGATCATAATATCATTATGCAGAGGCTACGACAGGCGCGAGAGCGCGATGCCATGCGGCGGGGTCCTGCGGGAGGCGCTCAAGTACGACGCGATTGCTGCGCTGCTGCTGTATGACGAACCCACGCCAGATGGAAAGACCAGGGATCTTGCAAGCGTCAATCCCGACATTCCATCATCGGGCAAAGGGGTATTTTGGAGATTTTTTGATTGGATAGACAAAGGCGCTTTTGAGGTCAGCGCCGATGCATTCAATACGTTCCGGGTAGGTCCTTTTTGGGAGTGGCGTGATCAAGCGGGCAGTACGAGCTTACGAGACAGGACATCTTGACCAAACACAAATCCCTCGTAGCAACCTATCTGCAAACCAATTTCGACATGTTCTTCGAAAAATACAACACGATTCTGGTCCAGTCGGAGAGCTACGTCACGAAGCGACAGTCGATCAAGCTTCTCGGGGAAATCCTGCTCGACCGGGCCAACTACAATGTCATGACGAGATATGTGGACTCGGGCGAACATCTGAAGATCATCATGAAGCTGCTGCGGGACGACAGACGGATGATCAACTACGAGGGGTTTCACGTCTTCAAGGTGCGTACTACCCGTCTCAAAATGTTGGACTGCAAACTGAGGGTTGCAGGTGTTCGTGGCTAACCCCAACAAATCCGTGGCAGTGCAACGGATCCTGATCAGTAACCGGGAGAAGCTGTTGCGGTTCCTGCCGACTTTTTTGGAGGACCGCACCGAGGATGACCAGTTTATCGACGAGAAGAGTTTTTTGATAAGGCAGATCGAGCAGCTACCGCCTGCGCCCGTCCCACCGCCAACTGCATCATGATAATGGGGTCACTGGGGGCATGTGCTTTGTGGTGATTTTTTGTTTTTCTTCGCACAGCATCGAATTGGCGTTTTGGCGGCTTGGTCTAGCAGCAAAGCACTCCACGCACCTGCTCTTCCTGTTTGGGCGCTCTGCTTAGCAGCGCAATACCTAGGTAGTAGATGAAGACATCTAAGTGCGTACAGGATGGCAGCCGAAGATCTGACTTGGCGGCGCGCATCCGATCGATCGGTGTAAGCGCATGGGGAAACGGCCACGCTACGTTGTTGAGCTGGCTAGGTTGTTCTCAGATATGGAGATGGAGGAAGTTTTGAGCCCCTCCCCTTCTCCCGCTTGCATCAAGAAGATTATCGCAGTGCGTGAGGTTGCAGCTATCATCAGTACTACTGGGAATCCCACGGTATTCAAGTGAAATTGTCCTTTTTGATGCCATAACCGAATGTGTCTAGGGGAAGAGGCAGTCTGACCAAGTCAGCTTGGACCCTCTTCTCACTTAGAACAATCTTGCAAACTCAATGGCTTCGCCATACAGAGTACAAGTAATCGCTTTTCCTCCTCCTCTCCCAAAATAAAAAGTCGTGAAACCGAAATCTGGGGGAACGGGATACATAACAGTCAGTTGCGGATTAAGGCCCGCAGATTGCCTGCTTCAGCCTAGCATGCTACTCACTGGTGCTTGTTTCCAGGGGCGGCCGAGGCGTTAGATATAGATACAAGTAGATAACCTGGGCGTCATCTCTATGAAGGCGCTGCAGCATCTACCCATCAGCATCGTCAAGGGGTTGGGGCAGCCGCAAGTTTCGCACCTCCAACCCTTCCCTCTACACGTCGTTTTGCGATCACGGCGACGTAACGAGACAAATTGCGCACGCGACTTGCCCCAGACCCAGACTCCTTCGCGGAGCACACCCCAGAGTACCCCCGGGCGGTACCAGGCAGAATGCAGCTCGCCTAACCACACTAAAACTTTGGCTAACTATCTTATATAACCTTAAACAGGCAACTATATTACGTATACTAACAACTTGCTTAATTTGCTTAATTACTTAACTATAGATAACTTATCTATACTAGTGTCAGATTTGATGGTATCTGAAGATGTTATGGTGACAGAAAGATTGAATAAAGATGGATTGACTGATTGTATTCTGGTGTGTGCTTTTGTGTGAGGCTGGGGCCTGACACTGGTTTTAATGTTCTTTCTCTGGGCACCAAGGCTGCACAGGGTACTAGCTACTACAGAATCACTAGCTACATATCCTTAGACAGTACCAGTACAGATACCTTCTCCCAGTCCTCATCTGTAGTCCCAGATGGGATGTCCATAAACTGGCTTACTATCTGATACACCCCCTCAGCTTGGAATCTATTGCAAGCTGGATCTAACAGCATCTCCTCTTCAGAGTAGCATGTCTTCTAACTTGCCTTACACTTCATCTAAGTCTATCTCCTTCAGAGCATTTGAGCTCTTCATTCTTTGCAGCCCCAATTGTTCCAAGAACCTGTTCCACTTGTTCCCAGGCAATACCTTTGTGAACCTATCAGCCAGCATCCTTTCTGATTGCAGATACTCAATCCTGATGATCCCAGATGATATCTTGCCTCAGCCAGTGATTGTGAATATCCACATACCTGAGCTTGGTCTACAACCTTGAGATTTCTGCATTGAGGAGCCTGATGGTTTGTTAATTATCATAGTAGATGGTTATTGTCTGCTCTGGGAGTGAAACCTCCAGTTCCTTAAGGAGTCTTGAAATAAACATGGTTTCCTTTGCCACTTGTGAGAGTGTAAGCAGTTCAGCTTCAGTGGTGGATATGGTGACTGTATCTTGCTTTTTTGCCTTCCATGTATTGAGACCATTGAACAGTTTGATCATGTATCCTTGAGAACTCTTCCTGTCTAGTATATTATCTGCAAATGATGCATCACTTAGAACTTCCAAGGAATCACCTCCTCCTATTTTGAGGCCAAGGTTCTTTGTGTCAAGGAGGTATAGGAGGATGTGGTCTACTCTATTTTGGTGTTTCTATCCTAGGTTCATTAGGAAGTAGGCTAGTCTGGAAGTTGCAAAGGTAATATCTGGTCTGATGGTGACTGCAGTAAATAGCAAGGATTTAATCTTTCTCTAATACTTGTTGATCTCAGATAGTATTGCTAGGCCTTCCCTTGGCTTGAGTTCAACATTTGCCATTTTGGTATCATGTCTGAGGTCTGTTCTGTCCACTAGATGGCTGATCTTCTCAGCATACTTGGCTTGGAAGAGAAGGAGAGTGCATTCTTCATAGTCTCTCAGGACTTCTACACCAAGGAACCACTGAAGATTACCACCTTCTGTGATGGTGTACTTCTCTGTGAGTTTTCTGATAGATTCCTGAGCCTTCCTCTTTCTAGACTTATAGAATGCAATAATAATATCATCTATATAGAAGAATAAAATGATTCCATCTTTAATGAGACAATATGGTTCATATTTCACTGTGTAGAATCCTATTGCTATCAGTGTCTTTGTCAATTCCCTCTGCCACAGCAAGGAAGAAATCCTGAGTCTATACAAGGCCTTGTGTCAGATGGTAAGCCAGTTTATGAACATCCCATCTAGGACTACAGATGAGGACTGGGAGAAAGTGTCTGTACCGGTACTGTCTGAGGATATGTAGCTAGTGATTCTGCAGTAGCTAGTACCCTGTGCAGCCTTGGTGCCCAGAGAAAGAACATCAAAACTGGTGTCAGGCCCCAGCCACACACACACAAGGACACACCAGAATACAATCAGTCAATCTATCTTTATTCAATCTTTCTGTCACCATAACATCTTCAGATACCATCAAATCTGACAACTTGCATAAGGTTAGGTAATATAGTTAGCTAAAGTTTAATGTAGTCAGCTAACGTGCATGCTCGTACTAGGACTCCGTAAACCTGATGTGGGTCGGTTATCGAACATCTCCACTGGTCCCGCCAAGGAGCTAGCAGTTCCACTTGGTCACATCCCCCATATCCTTCCCCATCATGACCATGACCTCTCGCTATGCCCCAGCTTCTCCCGAGTTGCTGGCCGATGAATTCCCCCTGGCCACTCTCCCCAGTCCTCCCGGATCCTCCTCTCTGTCTCTGTCCGACATCGCGAGCGTCGACGGTCGGTTTCATCCCACCTCCGCCGCCGACGTAGCTGGGCTGGTCCACCCCCCAACCCCTAGCATGGAGGAATTCCCGCCCACCAACAACGCACGCCGTCGCAGCTCGTCTCTCGCTGGTCCGCCTGGAGCTGCCGCCAAATCGTCCAAGGCGCACCGGAGACACCACTCGGCGCACATCCCAGAGGAGACCGAGGGCGGCTCCGCCTCAGATGACGAGTCGTCGGAGAAGACAGACAGCGATCTCGACCCCGATGACATGAGATCTTCGGACGGCATGGAAGACGACGAGGAAACGGGGCTCACAGGGAAGGATAGGAGGAGGCGGAGGAGGAAAAAGAGACGGGCTACATTGCTGGATCAGAGGGTAGCTCCATCGGTGCATTACACGAAAGAGGAAGAGAAGATGGCCAACAAGAGCTTGATAAAGACCATCGCCATCGACGCGCTTCTTATATGTTTATGGTCAGCGTCAGGGCTCGACGGAACACAAACTCGGGATTGCTGACAGCAGCACAGGTACCTCTTCAGCATATCCATCTCCGTCTACAACAAGTGGATGTTCAAGCTCGACAAGGGCGACGGCGAGACGGAGAACATTTTCCCATTTCCGCTATTCTCGACATGTTTGCATATGGTTGTCCAGTTCTCATTAGCGTCTCTTGTGCTGTTTTTGATACCCGCTTTCCGGCCACGGCACGATTCCTTGAACCCCCACTCTGCCTCGTCTCGATCGGAACCCGTTGATCCTAAGAAGCCCCTCATGTCCAAGTGGTTCTATCTCACTCGGATTGGTCCGTGCGGCATAGCAACCGGCATGGATATTGGCTTGGGAAACATGAGCTTGAAGTTTATTTCGTTGACATTCTTCAGTGCGTATGCCGATACCTCTGCTATGGAGCTTTTCGCTAACTACCGTTCTAGCTATGTGTAAATCATCCGCTCTCGGATTCGTCCTCATGTTCGCATTCCTCTTCCGCCTCGAACAGCCGTCTTGGCGGCTCGTCTTCATCATCCTCGTCATGACGGTGGGCGTGGTGATGATGGTAGCGGGTGAAACGGCCTTTGACGTGCGCGGCTTCATCCTCGTCATGACGTCGGCCTGCTCGTCTGGGTTCCGCTGGTCGCTCACGCAGATCCTGCTTCTCCGCAATCCGGCCACTGCCAATCCCTTCTCCTCCATCTTCTTCCTCGCACCCGTCATGTTCCTCAGCCTCGTCGTTCTGGCCATCCCCCTCGAAGGCTTGTCGGCCATCCGAGCGGGACTCGCGACGCTGTTCGAGGCGAACGGCAAGCTGCTGGGCATGGGCATCCTTCTCTTCCCTGGCACGCTGGCGTTCCTCATGACGGCCTCGGAATTCGCGTTGCTGAAGCGGACCAGCGTGGTGACGCTGAGCATCTGCGGCATCTTCAAGGAAGTCGTGACCATCACGACAGCGAATGTCGTGTTCCACGACCGGCTGACGCCCATCAACCTGACGGGCTTGGTGGTGACGATTAGCAGCATCGCGGCGTACAACTACATGAAGATCAAGAAGATGAGGGACGAGGCGCGGAAGTCGGCGCATCTGGCGGTGGCGCACCAGCACCAGCATGGGGACGTGTATGCGCCCGTGGCGACGCAAGATCCGGATGGTGGCATTGGTGGTGGTGGGTCGCCTTCAGGGGCGATGTTTGTGAGGAACAGCTTGAGTTTGGCAGCGGGAGTGCGGACGGGGAGCCCGGCGACGGAGATTGCGAGTCGGACGAGTCCGGTGAAGAGAGCAGAGGACCTGGAGTGAGGGTTTGAGTGGCATCTTCTGATTGGATTTGGGTTGGTGGTTGTGCGAGAGCGTCAAGAGTCGGAGACAGGAGACCGAGGGGCTACGACAGCACTCGTGATGGATTCTGGAAGAGGTCGCATCTCGGTACTCTGGACAAGCATCACGGGCGTTTCTTTTCTTGGACAGCAGGGCATGGCAGATAGATACATATACCCCAAGACACTGTGAGGATTACTGAGGACTGAGTAACAGTATGTTGTGCTATACTTGATAGCTAACACAGTAACACAGTACTGCGTATGTTGTGGAGGAATTAAGGGAATCAGGTGGAGCTGCACTGGAGCAACCATGGAGCTGGGCAGACCCTGGCCGGGTTGCGGGGCTTGGCTTACGTCGATGTGAGCTGCGAGCCGTGGGAGGCATGCGAAATTCTCCTCCGAGCATTGAACAAGTACATAGTACAAGTAGATGGCATATCGTCGACTCTTCTCTACTTAGCACAGTGTGCCCGTGATGCTCCTATACACAGTACTTCCCCGGTTGGCTCGAGTCCGCAAGCACAAAACAACCAAATACAAGTAATACTCACCACGAGTGCGATGTGCGAAAGCAACCTTGAAATATGACGCCAGCTTAGGTTGGACCCTGCACAGCACAGGCAACCCACCAGGAACCGCGCGGGCCCATACATAGATGGATAGCCACAGCAAAGAGGCCACTTGTGTCATGTCCCGCCGCTCCTCCCAGTTTTCCCTCCTCCCAGTTCCCAGCCTCAGCAAAAATTGGCACTCGACCATCTCTCCGCCCCCTTCACAGTAGTGGCCCTCCCTCTCTCTCGCTGCAAAACCTTTTGCCTGTCCCCCGCCCATTTCCGTCTGCTGCTGTGCTCTGTCTGTGTCTTCGCACATCCCATCTCGCCGCTGCCCCCCTCACAATACCTAGGTAGATCCCCTCACCCGTCACCCGTCACCCTTCGCCCTGCCGGCTCCCCCGGGGCTACGTCATTGCCGGCTGCTTGGGTCCCTCGCCCTGCATCGCCCCCAGCAGAAGCCAACCTCCACACCACGTCCCTCTCACACCCACCCACCATTCAACATCGTTCACCACCATTCAACAACATTACCAACACCACAATCCACCACCACCACCATCCACCTCGAATTCCCCATCTCGTCGAATGTCAGGCCTCGTCGTCGCGCTGCCCCCTCGCCCCGTCCCTCGCCGACCGTCCTCCGTCGTCTCCTGCTCCCGCGCGACGTGGAACGGCATGCACCATGAATAACAACCCGCCGCTGCCGTCTCCCACGCACCCGCCGCCAGCATCACGAGCCACCACCACCCTCCCCCAAACAACTCCAACCCTCCCCCCACCTGCATCCTCCACCACCACCGCAGCCACCGCTCCTGTCGCCCGCCCCGTGCTGCACCATCTGCCTGCGAGCACTTTTCCCTCGGTCCCCTCGCCCCTGGCCTCGTCGACAAGTGCACCCTCTCCACCCTCGCGCCAGGATGACGTTCAGACGAAAAAGGAGCCGCTGAGCCAACACACAAGAGACAGAGGCCAGCCGAGCCCGGAACGCTTCGAGGAAGAGAGTGCATCACCAACCACTCCACAAGTCACACCAAACGCGTCGCCAGATGAGTTGGAGGTTGAGCGCTTGCGGAACCTGCAATTGAAGATGCTGCAGGAGAAACAGCGTGCCCGTGTCAAGAATTCCACCAACAGCACCATGCCCCGGGTGCCACGCGTGTCCCCCATCAAGGAGGAGGAAGCCTCGTCCACTTCGGGCTTGTCCCCGACGTTGGAAGAGGCCTTTTCAAGCCCCTTGCACACGACCAAGACCGCTTCCACGGAATCCACAGAGTCGTCCTCAAGAACCATAAGAGGCGCATCCGTTCCCGCCACCCCTGCTGGCCATAGCCTCCGCACGCCCTCCTACCCCTTCCCCACCGTCCCAAATACCCCCAATGCTCAGAAAGCTCGGCCGTCAGCCTTCCACCAGCCATTTACCGCCCTGTCCCCCACGGCCGCCGTCGTGACACAGAGCGACATGGCCACCCCCAGGGAGCTCATTGCCTCCGAGGGCAGTACTCCTGCTGCTGGCTCGTTTCCCTTTGCACCCGCTGGCATTCGTCAAGATCCCGTTGCCCAGGATCCTCGATATCCGAGCCCCAATCTCTATGATCTGGTTCTGCAACTCAATTCGGAGCCCGGCCTCTTGGCGTGGTGGAACTCGGTCGTCCGCATCCTCCAAGAATGGTTTGGCGCGCAAAGGGCGACCTTGGCCGTACCTGCGGATGCCTCCGATATTGAGAATGTGCCGTGGGGCCAGAAAGCCACCTTTGATGCAACGACGCGCGACCCCCCGCGGATACCAGAACAGCAGGACACCACTGCTGGCCATGAGCGGGACCGTCCGTCGAGCTCAAAACCGTCTGCCGGCGCGTCATCGCCTCCATCGCCCGTGCGAGAAGCTCGCCCTGCTTTGCCGACACGTCATTCCTTTGCCGGTCACGAGCGCCTCAGATTTGACCATGGTCCTGCACAGCGTCCAAGAGGCCCTCGCCGAACTGCCAGCCATGTGCCTCATCTGACGCAGCGCCAACACCCTCTTCGCCAGGTTTCCCCAGTCCCGGTCGAGGGAGCGCCTCAGCCTCCAAACCGAACTCCGGCGAGAGAGACCACCTTTAGCGATCTCGATTTCTCCAGCATCGGCGGCGACGCCAATACTCCACCCACCCCCACGGCCGTCTTCCCCATCTTGCGCGCCCTCGACCATGAACCGGATACCCTGATAGATAACCCCGGCATCAACCGAGTATTGGAGCGTGGACGACTGGTGACCCTGACTCGGGACTACGCCGCATCTCTTTGCACGCCCGAGGACGATCCGGCGGCGTCGGACAGAAAGGATGAAGATTCCCAACCTGCCCACCAGCATTCCGGCAAGGGACACTCGGATCAGGCTACCACGGGACCGACTCCAAGGAAGGCAGGTTCCAATATGAAATCTAGCCACACCGGCTACGGGGAACTAGGGTCACGTCCGCGTTATGAAGAGTATGAACAGTATCCCACATCTCCTTGGGCGCAATCGCCTGCCCCTTCACCCGCCATTCAAAATGAGACAGATGATAATCCCTTCTTTGCCGCCGCAGGCAATGTTGACGAAGATTCCTTTAATCCGAGGAAGGAGAGCGAGGACTACACTCGCTTTGATTTGGTTGAAGCCATCGGCGTCGATAAAGCCAGCACCATCACCCATATCCCCTTCATTCATCCGACCTTGTCTCAGGTCATGTCGTCCGCCGAACCCATCGATCCCTCCCATGTACCGTCTACGCCAGGCAAGGCTGCAATGTCCGCCCCAAGAACGTCGTCTTCCAACGCCGAGTACGAACGGCGAGCGCCCATTGCTATCCTTTCCTTCCTTTCTCCCATCGTACCCTACCCTCGTAATCTGACCAACGCCCTCAAACTCCTTGGACCCCATCTTGCGACTACATTTTCAAACGCTTGGCAATACACTAACCTACAGACCCAAGCAACTGGCATTCGAGCTCGACGCTTTGGAGCAGGAGCCCAGGCGGGGGTAACCCCTCAGGCTGATCAAGACAGCCTCGATGATCTCCTCCAACTTGACTTGGAGCACGTCTCCGGCTCGGCAACGGGAAGTGTCACCAGTCCGTCTGACTATTCTGGGCGATCCAAGTATAGTCCAGGCGGATCCATCGGCGGCACTCCTGGTTGGGACCCTTCTAATGTCGGCTTTTCCAGCAAGCAATCCGTGGGCAACACCCCAGGGCACATGTCTGGGACTGAGGCTGTAGAAAGTTACTTTGATGCGAAGAAGCGATCTTCACGCGCGAGTCAAAGTGTCTCTGCCCCTGCCACTCAAGACAGGCCGCCACGAACCCAAGACATCGACGCCGCACACCAAACGAAAATGACTAACGAGGGTGATGCGCCGACACTACGCAACGAGAACGATCCAGGTCGCTACACGGGCTCCCTCACCAAGCAGCGAGCCGACCCGTCTCGCCCTCATTCTTTGTTGCATTCCTATGGTGCTGACTTCAGCGCCTCCTTCCAGTCATTGCCGGTAGCCACTACTCCAGGCTCGAAGCCCGGCGGTCAAGGTCGCTCCAGCACTGAGGAGCCGGAAATGCCCCCGCCTTCGGAAAGCCTGCTTCGGACCATCATCGACTCCCTACCCGTTCAGATCTTCACCGCCCTCCCCACAACAGGTGCGCTCACTTGGGTGAATTCCAAGTTCCTGGTCTATAGGGGTCAGGACTCTCGCCGGGTCCTGCAAGATCCCTGGGAATCCATACACCCAGACGATAAGGAGGCTTACTTACAGCAGTGGAACCAGTCTTTGCGCACGGGACAGCAGTTGCAGCGTAAAGTCCGGCTGCAGCGCTTCGACGGCCACTATCGCTGGTTCTATGTTCGCGTCGCTCCGTTGAAAAACAAGCGCCAGCAGATAGTGCATTGGATTGGGACCAACATGGATGTGCATGATCAACATGTCGCGGAGCTCAATTCCGCCCGCCAGCAGGAGACGGCTGCTTCAGAAGCAAAGTACCGGGCACTTGCCAACTCAAGTCCGCAGATTGTATTCGTCGTTTCGAACAGACGCGGACTTAGCTTCTGCAACACGCAATGGATCACTTATTCAGGGCAAGGCGAAGCTCAAGCGCACGGCACCGGATTCCTCGAATGTGTCCACCCCGATGATGTGCCGAAGTGTAAGCTCCCTGAGCTGAGCGAGGATGGAACCGTACCCGTCAATGTTCCGACCTCCCTTCCACCGGACCACGGCCGCAGCAGCTCAGGCTCATCCGACGGCTCTTCTTCCGATACCGAAAAGGCAGTGACAAGCCCCAGAAGCCCTCTGCCAGACAAACTGGAAATGCCGCAAGCTAAATTGTCCAAACTGGCCAGTACCGGTATTCTTAGAGTGAGCAAGGATGCGTCCGGTCGGGCCTCCTACTCTACGGAAGTTAGACTGCGCAGTAAGAATGGCGAATATCGCTGGCATCTCGTCAGGATCCTCTTGGAAAAGGCTCTGGCAGACGACACGGATGAAGAGACTTGGTATGGCACCGCGACCGATATCAACGATCACAAATTACTCGAGCAGACCCTGAAGGAGACGATGGAGGCCAAAACGAGGTTCTTGAGCAATATGTCCCATGAGATCAGAACCCCCCTGAACGGCATCTCTGGCATGGTCAACTTCCTGCTGGATAGTCCGCTGAACGTCGAGCAGCTCGAACACGTCAACATCATCAAGGCTAGCACCGACAGTCTGCTTAACTTGATCAACGACATTCTCGATCTATCCAAGGTCGAGGCTGGCATGATCAAGCTGGACATGGGCTGGCTTCACATACCCTCCCTGTTGGAGGAGGTGAACGACTTGAATATGGGCTTGGCGATTCAGAAAGGGCTCGAGCTCAATTATGTCGTCGACGAGGGCGTCCCGTCCATGGTGAAGGGAGACAAGTTCCGTATCAGGCAAGTGCTGCTGAACGTGGTGGGCAACGCAATCAAGTTCACGCAGAAGGGCGAAGTCTTCGTCCGATGTCGACCCGTCCCAGCTGAACGCCAAACGTCCGTGGGAAGTAATGAAACGTTGGTCCGTTTTGAAGTCATCGACACGGGCAAGGGCTTCAATGAGGAAGAGGCTAAGTATCTCTTCAAACGATTCAGCCAGATTGACGCAAGCAGCACAAGGCAACATGGTGGCACCGGCCTAGGCTTGGCGATTTCTATGCAGTTTGTCGAGTTGCACGGCGGAAAGATGGATGCCCGGAGCGTGCCGGGCAAAGGATCCACCTTCTTCTTCACGATCAAGTTTGGGTTGCCCACCGAAGAGAGCCATCCGCCGACACCGACCCTCAACCCCGCCACTCCTGCGTTCGAGCCTGTCAGCTTGCCGTCGCCGTCGCCATCAGCAGCGCCCATCAGCAAATCTGCGCAGAAGCCGCCGCACCCCCTCAATGAAAGGGTGTCTGCGCAATCCGTTACTGGCGAGTCACCCATGTCGCCGGTTCCTAGTTTGACACTCTCGGACCGCTCCAAGGACTCTCCATCGGTCTCGTCAGCTGGATCGGACCCTTCGCTGGCGGGAAGGTCGAGTTTGCGGTCCGAGACGTCTTCCGCCTCCTCCTTCCTGCAGGAAGTCTCCGCTGCAACGAAGGATACACTGAAACTCGCCCTCCCCCACAGACTGTCCGAAACTGAGCGAGCGACTTCCGATGATTCCTCTGCCTCGATGAGTTCGGAGAAAACATTGCGTCCTCCGGATCCACCACTTGCGGGTCAATCTTCCGCTGGAAGGCCCGCTCTCCCGCCGCCACCTCCCATGTATTCCATCCTTGTCGTCTGCCCGCTTGTACACAGCCAGGAGGCAACGATCCGGCACATCAAGAACACGCTACCGCAGGGTATCCCGCATCAGGTGACTGGCCAGTCTAGCGTAACTGAAGCGCAGCGGATGATTGGTGGTGAGAACCCAATTGTTTTCTCCCACGTGGTCCTGGTCCTCCACGATATTGTCGAGGTCATTCCGATTGTGAGCCAGATTCTCTCCTCGACTCTGCACGAGAAGACTTCAATTGTTGTGGTGTCCGACCCTTCCAAAAAGAGGGAACTCCTCAATGCTGCGCCAATGTACGATTACGACCTGCTCAACCTTCAGCGCAGGCTACAATTCGTCTACCGTCCACTCAAACCCTCGAAATTCGCGGCCATATTTGACCCGCAAAAGGAACGCGAATTAAGTACAGATCGTAATCATGATACCGCTCAACAAGTCGTCAATGACCAAAAGCTGGTCTTTGATGAGCTCAAGCGCAGGCTGAGTGGGAAAGGGCATCGAGTCCTACTGGTGGAAGACAACAAGATCAATCAGACTGTACGTGTCGATGTGCATTGCTTTCTCTACACGGCTGACAGTTTTGACTAGGTCATCCTGAAGTTCTTGGCAAAGATTCACGTCGAGTCCGAAACCGTCTTGGACGGCGTCCAGTGCACAGATGCAGTTTTTGCACATCCGCCGGGCCACTACTCTATCATTCTGGTGCGTCTCATCTCTCCCCTTCTCGGCCTGGCACTCGATGGCGTCTAACGATGCGCAGTGCGATCTTCATATGCCGAACAAGGACGGGTATCAAGCTTGCAAGGAGATACGACGATGGGAGAAGAAGCATGGATATCGTCCCCATCCCATTATTGCATTGTCGGCCAACGTACTTGGGGACGTGTATATGAAATGCGTCGAGGCTGGGTTCAACTCGTACGTTACCAAACCGGTGGAATTCAAGGAGCTCTCGAAGGTGTTGGCGAAGTTCCTGGACCCCCCGGATCCCACAAAAGCCCCTGAACTTATGACGAAAGCTCGAAAGCCATGAGCAATCGAGCCCGATACACAGATCTGACGATTTCTCGGAGCATAGCAGCGAGCGTCTTGCATCGGATTAGCAGCTCGGCGCATCTGAGGATATTTGGTTTTCTTTCCCGACATCGAATTTTGGACTCAAAAACTGCATTCAGCATGGCGAGGAGCTTTACCGCAGGGACCGTGTCCCGCGTATGGTTTAATGAGTTGCATAGAGGTTACCGCCAACCTTTTTGTTCTGTTTCTTCCCTTGTCGCTCGTTGATCCGCTTCTATACCACTGCTTTATGGTTTTATGTTTTGGGACCTTTCAAGTCAACGCGGGAACACGTAATTCTAGGAGACATGCGCATTTTCCCCGGCGTAGAGGAAGCGCCGACTGGAGGCGGGAGCGGGAAGTCACTGGACCGGCGTTCGGGTTCTCTTCATCTTATTCTGTTTCGAAAGCCGGAGATCATTGAAGGAAGGCGGGAAGCAGCTACAGCTTCCGCAGGCATGGCACCGGGTTGTTAGGAACCTTGGAAGGATGGGTGGGTGTATGTTCATGTGCTCAATGGAACGCACGCGTGAGTGTTGTGTATGATAGATGCTTGAATGACGCGAATCGCTCTGGAATACACATTCGTGGAGTATACAGTCGTGATATAGGGTCGCGACTGCTATGTCTATCAAGAGTATGCTTCTGGTACCTAATCCAATCTAGCTTGCAGGTTTGACTTCCCCACAAATTGCAGCCCCCCTGCCAAGACTAGCAGCGCCACCCGCACCCTATCTGCGCCACATCAGATCGCCTGCACCTGCCACCGAGATCCTGCAGGGGGTCAATGCCGGGGGCAACAACGTCGACACGTCGCCGTCTCCTCACATCACCTCGCCTCTCCTCTCGAAAGGCTCGACTTTTTGAGGCCAGCTCCCCTTAGCTTCCCTAGCTCACGCTGCCTGCAACATTGTATGGCCGAGTAGATCAATCGCCAGGGCGAACTTGCGCAGCGGGATTCGCGAATCGAATCGCCAACAACGTCCCAGGAGCTCCCTTCGGCTTCTTTCTTTTTTTCGGTTTCCACTACTTGGATTCAATTTGCGCGCGATGCGGTTCTGAATAGCTGGCGGGAATAGCTAGGTTTGGTTGTTCTTGAGGCAACGATCTGAGGTTAACGAGAGAGAGTCCCCTCCCTCCCTCCGCGCCGCAAATGCGGCCTCCCACGACGAAGCTGCCGCTCGCGGCGCTGTTGCTTGCGTCCCTCGTAGCCCTCTCCCTGTCCGCGTCTACCGTCGTCCCTCCTCTAAAGATCGAAGTCACGAAGCCGGCGTCCTGCACCCGGAAAACACACAGCGGAGACAGGATATCCGTCCATTATAACGGCACCCATGCGACGGACGGCACATCCTTCGACTCGAGCTACAAAGGCGGCGTGCCCTTTACCTTCACCTTGGGAGCTGGAGACGTAATCAAAGGATGGGATCAGGGGTTACTGGATATGTGTATAGGAGAAGGGAGAAGGTTGGTAATACCGCCACATTTGGCGTATGGGGATAGTGGAAGCGGGCCGATCAAGGGAGGTGAGACGCTGGGTATGTGCATCTCCGAAACGGCATTGAATTTCAGCTGACTGGAAATAGTGTTTGAGACGGAACTTGTTGCGATTGCGGGCGTGAAGCCGGAGGTGGAGGATATACCACCAGTTCCGCCGAGACCGACGATTGTGGACGTGCCGCCTGTACCACCGAGGCCTACCATTGTGAGACCTGATGATGAGGGCTCGACGGAGGATGTGGCAGTTGAGGCTCCCAAGCCGGCCTCATCTCTATCGCAGTCCGGCGCTGCCGATGGACCTCCAACGACAGCAGAGAATGCCGGTGAAACGGCGCAAAAGCCAGAAACACAAGGCAGTCCGCTGGCGAACAACGACAACGAGTGCCATCTGTTGGGCCCCTACGCGCTCTTCGTCCAAGGCGCTCTGGGCCTGCTCGCAGTCACTTCGCTCGTCGTCAAGCGGTGGCGGGAACATCCCCGTCGACCCCTGAAGATTTGGTTCTTCGATGTGTCCAAGCAAGTCGTCGGCTCTGCAATGCTCCATCTCGCCAATCTGTTCATGTCGATGCTGTCATCAGGTAGCTTCGATGTTGCTACCACGACGCCAGCGGTGGACGATGGCGACCAGCCTAACCCCTGTTCCTTCTATCTCCTGAACATTTTTATCGACGTATGTTGAACTTTTTCCCTCTCTTCATCTACGAAAGAGTCACTGACAGATCTAGACCACAATCGGCATCCCCATCCTGGTCCTCTTCCTCAAAATCTTCCACCACCTCTTCCTCCTCACCCCGCTCGCCAAACCGCCCTCGTCCATCCGCAGCGGCAACTATGGACACCCGCCGCGCATCACGTGGTGGCTAAAGCAGTGCCTCATCTATTTCCTCGGCCTCTTCTGCATGAAGCTGTGCGTCTTCTTCCTGTTCCAGCTGCTGCCCTGGATCGCCTGGGTGGGAGACTGGGCGCTCCGGTGGACCGAGGGCAACGAGGCGGTGCAGATTACGTTTGTCATGTTTGTGTTTCCGGTGGTGATGAATGCGGTGCAGTACTGGATCATTGATGGGTTTATCAAGGACCGGGAGGATTATGGGGCAGAGGGTGCGACGGGACGAAGGGAGGGGTACGTGGGTGTTGGACATGGGAATGAGGCGGATGGGGAGGAGAGTGGGTTTGGGGAGGAGGGGGATGATGAAGCGTGGTTGGATAGGCATAGGAGCGAGAGGAGGACGAGTAGAGGCGGGGTGGGGGATGAGGAGAGGCAGCTGCTCACCGAGGCGAATCCGACACCTGTGCCGGTTCGGAAGGGGAGTAGTGGGAAGGCCAAGGCGAAGGAGAGGGAGAGGGAGTATGATCCTGGGGTTGATGGGGAGGGGAGTACATAATATGTATAGAGGGAGGAGGCGGGATTGTATATGGCGTAGGGTTCGTATTGAGAGGAATGTATCGTATTGTTCGTCACTTGTGCATATTGTCTGAAAGGCTTTTTGACATTGCCTAACTTAACGGTGGGATTACTCCTGATCGCCATGTAAACGACTGTGCCTGTGCCTCGTTCACTGTTTCGAGTTGTGTCGCCTGTAAAGGGAAGGAGAGCGGCTGTTATGCTCGCCCTTCCATGGGATGGCGGGCTGCGGCTCTCAGGCCTTGTCATCCATGTCATTCCTCATCGACTTTGCCTCCCGTCCTCCTTCTCCTAGTTTCAACTACCAGCAGTACCTCGGTTTTTCCCTTTCTCCTTTCTCCTACCTCGTTAAATCCAGGAAAAAAAAGGTCATGATTTGCTGGTACGGCGTCTCATGCACCGTCGCGGAGATTGTTCTCTCTATGACAATTAGCTGTACAAGTAAAGAATCTTTGCCACATAAGAAGCCGCAAACACGTTACACGTAGGCCTCTATTAATACCATCTACCATCCACCTCCCGCTTCCTAAAAAGAGATATAGGACACTGCCATTCTTCCGAGTTCTACTCCACTTGCTAATCCCCCTTACGCATACCTCCGGAGCTGCCAAATAATGCTTGAAAAGATACGATGCCGAGGCTTTTCCTTTCCACGCCCGCAAAACAATCGTAATCAGTGTCATCGTTGCGGACACGCGCAGTGTAGGTGTTATTGGATATCTGCTACCGTAGCTGTCTCTTGGTTTTATTTTCCCACTTCTATTGGCCATGTTTGTAGTTTGTTACTGGATTTGTCGTGGTGTGTACTTTGAGATACCCCAGCATTACATACTAACCCTCAACATCCTTGTTATCCTTCCCAACACCACCAGCACTACGCTTTTCCCCTCAGCACCCTCAGAAACACTCTCAGAAACCCATCCTCCTTAGCCATCTCCCGATTAATCATATTCCCCGACCTCATCGTAGAGTCCCGAAACTGGCGGAATGTTGCAAACTTGATGAGAGTCACGGCAGGATTCCGCCGGTGATTGAGCAGGTTGACGATATTGATCAGGACACCTTTCAGATTCTGGCCAACACGATTAGCTCTCGCAAGCGTTCCCAACCGCCAACCAAACTAGAACACCAATAGTGACTGCTTTTAGCTTACCTTCTTGCACTGCGTGATGCTCCCCCCGGACTCCACGCCCACCTCCGCACACAGCTCCCGCCACGTCTCCAACTTGGACTTCCCATGGACAAAGTGGAAGTTGAACTCGGCCTCGTACGCCTCTGTCTTACGCTTCCTAAATTCCTTGCCTGTCCAGCCCATGAACTCCGCAAGGCGGTCAAACTCCTTTGCGACGCCGGCGTAGGGGTTGGGCGTGAAGCCCGAGAACTGGTTCCACCAGCTGCATCGGTCGTTGGAGTTGGAGGTGGTACTCGGGCCGGCCTGTTCTGCGTAAATGTTAGTTAGATGGGCATGGGAACAGAGGCTCGAGGTGTAGGCTTACGAGAAGGTCCCTGATTCTTGTTGTTCTTCCTCTTTTTCTTGGCCATCTTGACCGTCGCTGCAGAGAGATCGGAGTGTCACTTCCACTGTGTACAGAGGGAGATCCGCGAAGAAAGGGCCTCCGTGATGTACGGTTGGGGGTTTGTATTCAGGGAGCCCGAAAATATCAGAAAGACGGGGTCTACCAACAACAAATAGCTTGTGAGCGGCTTGGCCCTGCACCTGGCGCACCGCTCACAACTTGGAAATTTCCGTCAGTGGGGGGTTGCTTCAGTGACAGAAGGCTCGCTACATCAGGGTGCGCTGTTTTCACCGCTTTTCCGCAGTTCGGATACCTGCAGGGACCTGTCTAGGTATGTATGCTTTCAACACCAGTCTCAGCAAACAAACTCCGGATTTAGCCCCTTCACTACAGCGTGCTTAACAGTCTGAATTCGTTCCCCTCCCGCCGAGAATTTTGAAGGGCTATGTGGTGACAACTTGGTCGTTTGCCTTTCCCTTTAGCCTTTCTGGCTTCGAACCACTTTTCCAGCGGCCGGGTCCAACTTGGCGAAAGCAGTGAAAGGAAACCATGGAAACCGTGGCTTTCGTTGATATGGCCTCCAAACCTCGCTTATAAACACACATAACCCAGAGATTTCTAGATTTCTTCCAGCGCGACAACAATCTAATCTCCAACTTCCACCTCAACAAGCGACAACCGCCCGTTGTGTTGACTCCTACTTCCACCTCGCCCGCGTCGCACCCAACTCTTCGCACCCAACCCGTCCTCGAGTCGAACCTTTCAGTACCTAGGTAGCGTCTTCAACGCAGCTCCGACAAGATGCCCGGTAACAACGGTCGCGACCGATCTCGTACGTCTCCCAATACATCTCAACACTGCACAACCTTACTGACAATCACCCAGAGCGCACTCAACCCGTCCCCAACCCATGCCCATGGTGGGACCAATTCCCGGACTTCGTCCCCAACCCCGACGCCGGGTTCCGGAGCCGCTTCGACAAGCTCGCCAACATGCAGGCCTGGACGGCTCGGGAGCGCCAGCAGTGCAAAGTCGAGGCTCTTGAGGCTCACCTCGCCATGGGTACGGAGGGTCAGTCCAAGCTGGACATCTATCGCGAGCTTTGTGTCGAGGTGGGCGTTGTGCCGGGCGAGTCGATTACCAAGTGCAAGAAGGTGAGTTACTCGTGTGCTACGCCGGTCTAATCATCTAGCCCTCTCCAAATATCAAGGGCAATGTGAGTATAGGTACTAACATCTCCGTTCCTACAGGCCCTCAAGTCCGTCTACATCAACCTCGTCAACCTCATCGATACGCGGTGCAACCCCAAGATCCCACTACTTCCCTTCGACACGTACGCCGCCTTCCAAAAGTATACTTGCAAGCCGAAGGCGGGTCGCAAGGTGCCCAGGGATCTCGTCAAGAAGGGCGGTTTCGTGGACGCATTTTTGCGCGAGCTTAATGGGTCTGGTGGTCGCCGTCGCGGGGGTGGAGACGTGGCTAGGGGTGGAGAGAATCATGGAAGGGATGAGAACGATGCCGGTGGTGATGAGAACGACGGTGGCGTGGATCTGGCTGGCCGTGAGTGGGGAACTTGGACGCCGGTGGAGGCCCGTTCCGACTCCGGTGAGTATGTCGTTCTGTGAGGGAGGTAACGGAGAGAAAGGCACAAGGCTGGGATGAAAGTGCGAATAGACAGGGATTGAGAAGGAACAAGATGAACTATGGGCATAGACGGCGTTTGGGTGTCTGGGTACATGGAGTTGGTTAGTATTGGCGTGAATGACGTCGGGCTTCAGGAAGTGATGGCTACCATCTGTCCCTTGTATATCCAGGGAACCCGTCTGTCTCCTTTCCACATTTCCACAATCACGGGCATGTTTGCCCTAGATGTAACGTTCAGAGGATTTATATTGCCCCCTTAAAGAGAATTATCTCAAAAACAGAAACTACGAGGATGCTCGCGCATATGGTGTCTCCGTTTGTCGAAGTGTGTTGGAGAACTTTCAGTTTTTCACCCTCCAAATTGTCACTCACACCCAGCAAAAAGAAACAAAATATCACCCAGCCTGGATTCGAACCAGGAAGCTCCACGACAGCCCGAAAGCGCATCTTTTAATCCCGACGCAGGAACGAGATTGCCGTGTCTCCGGATGATGATAGGGAGTAGAAAATAATTACTTATATAGGGCATAAAATGAGGTTAGCACATATTTTCGAGTAGCATAAGGGTGGCTCAAAGAAAGATGTTTGGTTGCAAAGCGTTTGTTTATACAGTGGGGATGACGTCGCGCAGTGTTTGGGCCGTGCCGGTGAAATGCAAGCGCGCTGAAACCACTGATGACCTGCGCCACAACCAGCCACCTCATTCAAAATATTGGGCGGTCTCACATATAGCTCAGACTTACCAGATCATTCAATATACATTACGAGACGCCTTCAGGGAGATCAAGGGACCAGCACAAAAGATTGCGACGAAAATGCAGACAGTAGGTGCCTAGTACGTATCTGACACTTGAGCGCTGTCCCCCATAAACTACGTGTCATATCCATCTAGCCAGGGCAGAGAAGGTAATGAGCGAAAAGGCAACATCAGATAGACGATGGCCCGTATTCGGCCTGATATCCGCCTGGCAGTTCTGGAAGCCCTGCGTGAGAATTCATCAGTAAGGCTCAGTGTTCACTGGCCGATGCATGACACTTACACCCATCAATATCCTCATCAATGACTGGCTTCTGCGTACATCTGTTCATCTCCTCCACCGACTGCAGTTTCGACCGTGACTCCACCGAACAGTTCGTCATAAAGTGACATCCCGGAGTATCCAGAATCCTTTGCAGCGAGTCATCCCTCCAGCCAAACACGTAGTCTGCATGATTTGCATAGCCCGTCGCGTCTCCGAACGACCAGACGAATGGATTACTTCCATCTTCAGGCCACTCCAACTCATTGAAAGGCTTGGTGTCCCACACGACCTCAAACATCACTTGTGCTGTCCGCACGGGATGAGATGCCGGACATGGCCCGCCGCTCTCGAAGGTCCCCGTCTCGGGATAACTCATGTGCGATATATGATCTGGACTGTCAAGGTTTTTTCCATCCCAACAGGTCGGAAAGCGTAAAGAAGTCATAATTCCCTCGGTGCAGCGGCGCTTCGGAAATGCGATTGTCTCTGGAGAGCGTGTGACGAAAGTGTCGAGACAGGTGTACGTTAGTTGGCGGAAGCGCGATGCTTGTTCGAGCGTTCGAGCTTGGACATCGCCGATGAGCATACGGAAGCCCTTGCGAACGTCAGCTCTTGGACATCCTTCGTGAGACTCGGGAGCTACCGGCTTAAAGGCTGTTACCGGGGACGTCTGGTTGGGCAGATATATCGCGTCCTGCATGTAGTACACCGTCAAACCACCATTCGCGTCCCTGAACTGGTTGTTTCCAAGTTGAGGAACGCGCTTGTACGTGCCATTCCGCGCACGGAAGTAAAGTATCGCAGTCCAGTAATTGGAGAAATCATCAACGAACTGGCAGCTTGTGCACGTCGATTCGCCCGGCATGTCCTTCTTTGGGTCCATGGTGGCGTTGAACGAGTCCTTGATTGGTGAGCAATGAATTACTTGGTTAAGATATACTTACACCGCCGACAATTTGATGGACATGGGTAGACGGTATCATTCCAGGATTTACAAGAGGGTCGAGTCTCTGGGTCACAAGCTGAGAGCAATGGAAGCGTACTAGAGCGTTGCTCGGCGGTACAAGAGCTATTGAACTGAGTGCTATGCTCCAATACATGTTTATTCCGAGATGAGATGTAAACTTTCTGCTCCTCCGAAGGGAACGGAGAAGTGGGCGACTGAACGTGCAGGTCGCGATGGTAGATGGTAAAACCTGAATATGCTCCAAGGTTCAAGTAGTATGCTTTAAATCTTGGGGTTCAATGGACAAGAACGACGATGAAGCAGGAGGGCAGATCCACCGTCAACTCGTCGAGACTTTGAGCGGTTCAAAGAATCTGAACTGGCCTTAGCTTCAACAGTCGACATAGAATCTTGTAATAACCCGAAGTTCGCGACCTTATAACCTATGGCCGTTCCACCAAGAGCCTGTCTCGTCGTTGGACTTGGACATAGGTATCGTAGTTTTGCCGATTGGGTTCCGAATATCCCGTCCCCAGGGGATTAGTGGCCCAGCTCCTCTGTGCGACGGCAGATATGACTAGATTGGCCTGTTACCTTGATTCACCTTAAGATATGCATGCAACAATCAAATAATATCCTCCGAGCAGGCCAACGTCAGGGTCAACGAAGTGGGTTGTGTGGGGCTTGAGTGGGGCTCACATTTACGATAATATAGGACTTCGTCCTTTCCACCGCATCTTAAACGTATCAGGAACGCTCCACAAAACGAGAGAAAAGAGCCGGACTCACTCTACGCATCAGTCCCTCTGACTGTTTTCTGGGATATTCAAAAACTCCAGAACCAATAATCCCAGGACCCACTGAATCTCACAATGCGCGTTTGGTGGCTGTTACTCTCAATCATCAGTGCCGTTGTGAGCGCCGGAACAGTCTATGCGGAGGACGGTTGCCCAAAGAACGAATACGCCTGCCACGATGTGATTAATTCCAGTCTATGCATTGAACAACTCATCATCGAACGTCGTGCGCCAGCAACCAAGGAGGCATTGGTAAAATGTGTGGAATATGAAGGGACAATGAGCGATCTGCCAGGCGCATCGAAGGTGATTTCGACTATACATATACACTTATCGTAGAGGCACAAGCTGACAGTCCTTCAGTTTTGCCGATGTCCAGGTTGCCATTCTGCGGAAATCAATACTGTTATTTCCGAGTTGTTTCCGCCGCCTTGTGGTTAGTTGCGCTTGATTAGGAGTTTTCATACATGGTGGTATCTGCTGCGATATCTATGTTCGGTGTCAACAATGATCCGGGAGAACACCGTAAGAGGGCAGGGCTGCTTCTAGACTACAACAGCACAGAACTCTGTAGGGACTTTCTTGGATGTCAGGCGCCTTTCAAATGTGACTATCTCTTCTGACAGGAAGGGAAGACTAGAAATCTTGACAAACGAAGGAGACTTCGTACGAATAAACGGAAGGAGGACCCCTTTATGCTTTAAATACTAAACTATAGACCAGCCCCTAGGCTCTCTTTCCACCAATGGTTTTCCATATTGACTCTCTGAACCTCAAAAGCCAGATCCATAGATTATCCAAGAAACTAATCTCCGGCGCATTGATATTGAGAAAAGCTCTTGTAAGTTGCCCAAGTTTGAACTTTTTCTCGCTATACTCATCCGTCTTCACAGTGAACGCATCTGCAAATGCAAACCTTGAATGGTTCAGTGAGAGTCGGTTACACGTGACTATCATAGATGGTCCGTGCCAAAAGTGACTCCCCCTCGTCTGACCGTCACGACAATAGCAGGTAAAAGAAAGCGTCACCAATCCTCCAACGCACTTTCTTCTCCCAAGTACCCCGAACGCCAAAACTCAAGCCACGTCGTGAAAAGTTACGCCATTCTGTCCCAAGACACCGTCTACTCGCCGACAATGTATCCTCCCCCTTCTCATCGTCCGACCAATCCGGTGCCTGGCTATCACTCTGTTACAGCCTACAAAATACCCATGGATCAAGCAGACGCAATTGTGAAGACCTGTTCCTACCATATGAATGATTTCGATCGCGCAGTCATATGGTTTCCATCCGGCACTCACTCTGGTGCGGCACCTGTCCCCCTAGTCTCACGCGAATGCTTGTCGCCTTTGGGAGACCTTGACAAGCTTCCTCTGGAACTCATCCAATGTATATGCCTCCAACTCGACATGCTTTCGTTATTCCACTTGCGTCAGACCAGTTCTCGTGCCAGGCAGGTAATCAACGCCTTGCATGAGTATAAGGTGACGGCCACACATGCTCTCGATGCGTTCTGTGCGCTATTATGGACGCGTTCTGCTTCGCGCGTAACGGTATCCGAATTCTACAAGCTTCTATGCACGGCGAACTGCTCAATTTGTCGTGGTCAATATGGTAATCTGGTTTTCCTTCCAACTTGGATACGTTGTTGCTCAAGATGCTTGTGGTATAATGCTCCTCAGCTCCGCGTGGCATCTGTGACATATGTCAAACGCACGTTGGAACTTTCGAAGAAGTCGCTCGCAAATTTACCGACAGTAACATTACTGCCTCTTCCGGCAATCTATCCTATGGAGAAACGCCCCTCGGCAACCATCGTCTCTACATACTCAGCTGCCCTGGAATATGTCGCGAAAAACAGTGGCAGTACATCGATCGAGGAGGCCTTGGACAAGCTCTTTGATAGCTCCCACATACGCTACATGGCATGCTGTGCCTTACCAACCTATGATCCACAATCTCTTCAAGTCGAATACGGCGTATCTTGCGCTGGCTGTCAGCTTGCCTTGGAATGCGATATTATCACGGGTGAATTGGGGGCCGATGTACGAGATATGGTGTATTCGCGTGAGGGTTTCTTGAAGCACTTCATATGGTGTGAAAAAGCCCAGCTTCTGTGGACTGAGAGCGTCAATGGGGCAGTGGAACCCAAGAGCATGCCAGCGGTCTGCAAAGAAGGATCACATTTGTTGTGGAGGGGAAAGCGAAGGGGGTAAACCATCCACGTGGTCAGCACGTACCTGGCATGGGAAGGACTGAAAGATCGTGGCTGGACGGAACAACCGATGGCTTTGTTTTTGAAGGTGGCCTGCTGGCGCAAGATTGCTCTCTCTCCAGGCTTTTGGGGTATGTCTATGAATAGGGGCGTGTGATTGGCTTTTTGCTCCAAAGACTCGACAACGAGAGCGCGCATTTGGCGAACACACAGGAAAGGGTGAGAACCCTTTGACACAAACAGCTACCGACGCGGCAGATACAATGTTACCCGACATACCTTTTTTGTTGGAGAAGACGCGTCAAACTTATTGTCTTCCAGCATTTTGAGGGGAGTGTCGTGCCAGCTGCACTGAAATCGGTCGGATGGTATTTGCTGTTTTCATATCAAGTCACAAAAAAACAGCGAGTGGGTTTGACTCGAGGATCAGACCAGGATTAAATGGCGTCCTGCAATCGTTTCTATCACAACTGGCTACGTCAAGAGACGCGAGTACACAGGGGCAATTTCAAGTTTGATTTCTTCAGTTCTTTTGCTACACGGGCTAGAGTGCAATTGCAATGCTGTTCGTAATACCCGACTGAGCAAATGTCTGCGCTCAAATGCGATTGCATTATCCATCGAGATGTATTGAAGGACCGATTACCCTGGCGATGGCCGTTTGACCCTCAGAATTACCTGCCACATAGCATCTAGGAAAGCAAACGGCGGTTGCGAGGCAGATGACCGTGAGAGCATGGTTGGCTGACGACCAAACCCTAGCCCTTGATTGTAACGCCACTCGATGCTATGGGAGAGCCGTCCTGCTTCTCGAACTCGCCTGTCAGTGAAACTTACCCGTGAAAATGTCAAGCCGAATGTCCACATACTCTTACTGGAGGGTTACTGCAATCAACGTTCTACAACGTGACTGCTCAATTGGGTGTTGCTATTACCTTCATCTTTGCCGTTTGCTGACCGCCGAGGGCCCGGACTCGGTGAGCGGCTCCTAAACAGAGATCAAATGGTTCCATGTGCTTCCAAAATTTCGTTCTACTTCTCGATCGGAGTACCGATGTAGGCACTCGTTCACCGCCGGCCCTCCCCCTCCCGCCCCCCACGGCTCAAGCGTCAGGTTGCCGCCGCCGCAGGGTAAACACTGCTTCACCGCCGGCCTCCAGCACACATATATAAGACCTCCAGATCCCCCCTCCCTCCCTTCTTCTTCTCCAACCCCCCACAACAACAAACTTCTCAACTCCAAGCTCCCAACCAAGTCCATCGTCAATCCAACTCCCACCAGCACATGACAAGGCTCTCTCCAACAACCTCCATCCTCAACTCACCAAGTCTTCTTCGATAAGATGAAGCTCTCCGTCATCCTCATCTCGGCTGTCGCCGCCATCGTCGCCGCGACCCCGGTCGACAACGGCCTCACCTTCGACAACGCCCTCGCCGGGGCCGACAACTTCACCGTCTCCAACGACTTCACTCTGCGCGAGTGCAAGGAACCAGCCCGTACCGACGGCGAGTGTCACAAGTGCCAGAAGGCCTGGGAGGCTTGCATGAAGGAGTGGAAGTGCCCTGGAGAGCCCGGCGGCTGCGCCAGTCGATGCCGCTGCCGCATCCAAGGCATTCAAGGCTGCCAGTGGCCATGCAAGTGGTTCTGCTGCTAAATACCACGACCAACCCCTCACTCACCTCGATCGACCCGGACGATACAAGCGACTTTTCAAGAACGATGCTTTGAAGGGGGTACACTGGTGAGACACAAGGGAAAACGTGGTGGACTGCTGGCGAACAATCCTGCAATGACTGACGGACTCCCATCATTGGGCTTGTCCACTGGGGTTTACACTGGAAGACGGTACTGATAGAAGAATACAACAATTTCTTCTGTCCACTTTCATGACTTCATTGATGTGATGCCTTGCTTTGAACATACTATGTCTGTGACCCTTTCCTCCTACCTTGTGATTAACTGTGGAGATACAAGAGAGCTCCCTCGGTTACCGTTGCTTTAGTTGCATAGAGCTATCTTACCAGTAGATGCTCTTCATTGAACATTGCAAAGTAATACTATTACGATAGAGAGCATGATCATGGCGCGTGGAACGAGGTACATGAAAAAAAGCACCAACATTGGACCAAATTTTGTGCTTGGAATTACGGCTCCAAACTCGAAATACTGTTTCTTTGCAACAAGACGCACCTACAGTTCAATTTGCAGCCTTCTGCAGGCTATACAGCAAGAGTTATTCACTGAGGAGGTGTCATATTTGATGGTATCTGAAGATGTCACGGTGACAGAAAGATTGAATGAGGATGGGTTGACTGATTATATTCTGGTGTGTGCTTGTGTGTGAGGCTAGGGCCTGACACCAGTTTTGATGTTCCTTCTCTGGGCACCAAGGCTGCACAGGGCACTAGCTACTGCAGAATCACTAGCTATATGTCCTCAGACAGTACCGGTATAGACAGTTTCTCCCAGTCCTCCTCTCTAGTCCCAGATGGGATGTCCATAAACTGGCTTATCATCTGACACTAGTAGTATACTTACCTAGCTCTCTATATAGTTTATTCTCTACTTAGCTATTTAGCTAATAATCTAGGTATATCTTAGTATATAGAAGCTATTACTAGTATCTACTTAGCTAGTAGTGGTTAGCTAGTTACTAGATTAATAGGCTACTTATAGCTACTTATACCTAGCTAGCTACTAAAAACTACTTAATTACTAGTACTTAGCAAGCTACTAAAAGCTATATAATTTCTAGTAGATTACTAGCTATAGATTGCTACTTAGCTATAAGTAGCCTAATTTAGAATATTACTAGCTTATTATATATACCTACTACTTAGCTAGTTTATTATATCTATCTACTATCTAACTAGTTTATAGTAACTATATAGCTACCTAGCTAGTAAACTCTTAGAATAATACTAGCTTTATAGTAAAAGTCTTAAAAAGTATAATAAAGTTATTTAATATTATAGGTTTTATAGAAATAAAGGTACTAGATACTATAAGTTTTATAGCTAAAGTCTCTAGTAATTAGTAATTAAGTAATAAAAGGTACAAGTAAAAGTCTCTAGAACCTAGCTATCTTTTTAGTATAGAGTTTCTAAGATAAAACTACTTACTTAGCAAGATACTAGATATTATAACCTTTATAGTAGAAGCTACTAGGAATATAGCAAAGCTGCTAGATATTTTAAGTTTTATAGTATAAGTACTTAGAAGTAGAAGTTCTAAAAAAATAGTAATAAAGTTACTAGTAATTATAGAGTTTTTTACTAGATATATTAAACTAATAAGAATTAGAAAATTATTATTATAAAGTTTATTACTAGAAATTATAAGCTTTATAGTAGAAGCCTTTAGAAGTATATTATAAAGTTGCTAGATATAGCAAGTTTTATAGTAGGAGTCTTTATAAGTTGATAATAAAGTTACTAGATTTTATAAAATTTATTAACGTGATCTACAAGCGAACGATGCACGCAACCAAATGACGTACCCCACTAAGCATCAACATCTCTCATTTTCAAATAGCAATGTCTCAACCACACAATGTTGAATTACTTTCTTATGAAGAGACAATTATTATGGTGATTCAAGCAATAAAAAGAGATCTGAATCTAAGCCAGTGATGCGCTGCTTCAATCTACAATGTTTCTGAATGCACTCTTCGAGCGCGATGCACCGGACGACCTTCAAGATGTGCTTCTCAGCCTAATGCATCAAGGCTTACTAGGAGCGAAGAGGAGGCTATTATAAAATATACAAGGAAGCTCGATGCATGAGGCTTTGCCTCTACTCTAGGTTATCTATGGGAAATGGCCGACCAACTCCTTGCTATACATGGTGGAGGCCAGGTTGGCGTAAACTGGCCTACCAACTTCGTCTGTCACATGCCCGAGCTTAAATCCCAATTGACTCGACAGTGCGATCGCCAGAGAGTCCTTTGCAACAATCCAGCAGTTATTAGCCCTTGGTTCGACCTTGTACAGAATGTACAGGCAAAGTATAGCATCCTGGATCAAGACATCTACAACTTTGATGAGACTGGCTTTACTATGGGT